GTGAATTTAATAAGAGAGATTTAAAGAAAATAAACATGCACTTGTAGGAAGCATGGGATATCGCTTATAATAATTATGTCTTGTGAATTATCGAAATAAGTGCAAAAGGATAATTTCACCAAGTGAAGTATAAACGCTTGGCGAACAATAAAGACTGATCGTGTAGATCGATCAGGAGGCAGTAAAGTGTGGTAGTGTTTAAGCTGCATATGCAAAAATCATGATTGTTAAAAATTACTTAAAGAACAAGCTGTAGTTTACAATAAGATTAAGTAATAATCATATTTCGAACAAAGCATTAATTTTTGGATAGAACTGAAAAGTCAGAAAAAGAAAATTTTAAACCTTAGTTTCTGATACCTTATAAATTTTATTCAAGCTCATTTATAGAAAACTATAAAATGTAAAATAGGAAAAATGTTAATCTTTAGTAGACATCTGTCTTAATGTTGTTATAGCTTTATTTGTGTATCAGTTTACATACTCTTCAAAAAAAGAAACGCACAGTAGGAACAATGCCCTGAAAAAAGTATAAAAGTTTTGTCATACCTTTTATCTTTATATGGATATGATGTATTCGAGTAAAATGCGTGATTTTGTAATGCAATTGTTAACTTTACAGCTATTCTACAAATCTCACAGACAAAAAGACTTGATTTTGCAAAATTTCCCCCAAAATTTTTATCTCAATTTTCATTTGTTGAATTCTGATGCAATTTCTTCAGGTACAAAGGGGCTATCAAAAGCGGGGGTTCTCGATATTTTAAATCTGGTTTTATCTGAAAAATGACGCTTCCTAAAAATGCTGCATCTGAATGTTGCATAGCACAAAAAGGAAAATGGGCGACTGGAAGCAGGTGTACCACAATCTACATTTGCAAGAGGTTTCAATGTTACGCACAGCGCCATATCTAACCTATAAAACATAAACCATTAACGTCGAACACCCAATGCTTGCAAAAAATATGGTAGACTATTTGTGACATCAGCAGCACAACATCACTTCAGAGGATTACGTAAATGCATGAATGTTATGCAATGACGTCATCTAAAGCATTAGCTATCCCTGAACTGCACAGACCATCTAACAAGACCGTTTTCAGTTGACTACAAATTATTGCAAGAGGACTATTCATGCCATTGTTCTGACCCCACAACACCCCAAATATCGACTTCAAAGATCGCAGATCAAAAGAATATTACCACAGCATCACTGCTGAACATTTTGGTTTAGCTAGTAGTCCAGAATGTTTATCTGAAAGCCTCATATAAGTTTAAGAGTGCTAATGCTTTGTGATGAATGTTAGATAACTGCTTCCAGGACGTTAAAAAAGTTGTTGGTGGTAGTGTAATGATATGGAAAACGGTATTATAAGAAAGAAGATTGATTTGGTTCGAATTCAATGGAGTTTGATGGAAAAGGTACCCTAACCATTCAATTTTGCTGCATCCTAGAGCCGCATTGCAATCTCACAATACACAGCCACATACGGCTCGTTTGACACTCCAATTCTTGCGAAGCAAAAACAACCCGTTTCTGCCACAGTCATCTAAATCGCTAGATTTAATCCAAATTAAGCAGCATTGGACAAAATGGATTGACATGATTTGCCAAAGACAATTGCATCACCAGACTCTGCAAAAGCTGACCAAAGTTCTACATTTGGAGTGGGAGAATATTCCTATACAGTTTTTATTACAAATATTTGCTTCCAATAGATGCTGTTTGTGGCTATCATTTGTGTCTGCGGAGGGCCATACCAGATATTGATCTTTATTGGCCTTAAACTGACTATAAATTTAAAACTGTTGAGTAATTATGACATTTAGATAGTATTCCTGTTGCTTACTGCATTTCTGTTTTATCAATGCATCATTTTACTAAATAATCTTTATGTTCAATGTGTCACTAAAATTCTACTATGCGTTTCTTTTTTTGAAGAGTATTTAAGATAGTAAGATGATTATCTTATATATAATCTATATAAATTTAGGTCAGAAGATGTTATCATTATAAAATTTGATAATCATAAACAATTTTATCAACACCAAAATAAGTTAACAATTCAGGACAAACAGATACATGTACTTTTACTCCATGTTTTGTCTCTCATATTTTGATTGATTGATTGATTGTATTTTCGAAAACAAAAATCACTCTTAGAGACACATCAATGTTGATGAAGGGCTTCAATATTTGAAGAAAAAAACACAATAGTTATGAGAAGAGCCTTCGCTAAGTGATCGAATTTAAGGTTGTGGGTTCAAATTTTGCTCATAACTGGCCTTATTCGATATACAGAAATCAATAGAAACTGTTCCTTTAATTTCTTGATCAATCAAATGTCTATTGAAATTTAGGAAATTCCTTAAAATGATTTACTATATCAACCATTTAAATTTTTCAGTGGATTTGAAAATATATATATATATATATATATATATATATATATATATATATATATATATATATATATATATATATATATATATTAACCTTTTATGTAAAATATTAGCTCTAAGCATAATAGGACAATTTTCTTTCAAAAGAAAAAAGTAAAATTAATATTAGATTTTTATATCAACTTCTGTTACAGCAGTTACTGCAGATTTTCTCCCAGCTTCAAAAAATTATAAGTTCCGTCACAAGTGGAAAGATTTTGTTAATCTCGTCTGAACGGGATATCATCTAGTGTATATATATAATTTTTACTGACGACGTGGACTCTATCTTTGAGGATACTTCATCGTGCGCAGGACCAACACGGGAGAGAATTTTATTTAGTGGCACATTACGCAAATCAGATGCTTCTTTATCCCTATTCGTCTAACAAGCGGGTCACCTACACACTAAAGTCACCCAGTTCTCTAATGTTTGTTTAACTTCTATTTTTATTTGTAATCCAACTATCAGAATTTTTATATATTGGATTAAAAACAGTCATTTTGACCGTATAAATAATCCCCTGACATGAGATAACTAGGTTAATATGCACTATCCTACCCAACACTCAATGTCATTTGGCATTCTTCTTTGTCCTTCAGATAACCTTCAGAGTAAATTGTGAAATGTAACAAGGATTTGCAGAGGATTATCTGTCTAAACTATGATGGTGCTACATTTCAAATATGAATAAAAATTTGAATGGTATGTTAATGTAATGAAACTGTATGCTACCTACAAAAACAAAGACCACAGCCCCCTTAAAACCTTACGGGGAAATCAAACCAAACAATTGCACCATGGTGAATTACAATGCATGAGTTAAAAAATTCATTTTAGTCATCAAATACTTTATTCATGAGTTTTAATCAAATTGCAAATTGAAACGCATGTATTTAATGCATACGCTTCTAGCTCAGCTAATTAAGCCAATAATTGCCTGTGTAAGTTAAACATTAGAAAAATGCAACAGATTTAGGAGATTTATAATAACATAAATAACTATGTGATTTGACCACAATATAAGAATAGACCACTGAAAGTATATTTAAAACTATTCTAAATAATTTATCTATTAGAGGTGATTTTCATTGTCTGTCAGGCAAAGTGATTACCTTAATATTCATTGTGTTAAAGTTGTAAAGAAAAGAAGGTTTAGGCAAATTAAATATTTGAAAACATATACTGGTATCTGTGGTGTGGCTGGTAAGTGAAATGTAGGTAAAAAAACAAATTTTAGGGAAGTAAAAAAAGGTCGTCTTCATCTAACTACAAACAGAACGAACATCCACTAACTTTCATAATATTTCAGATCAATTAAGTTGCATAACATATTTTTACCTGGGTTCCATATAAAATTTACATTCTTTATCTTTATATTTTATACTTTATCAAGATAAAAAGTCGGCGGCTCACACGGTATTTAATCCATCTTAGGCTACGTTATCACTTGCAATTTAATGGGCTTTTAGAATGTTTCAGTCGGTCGTTTAAGATGGAAGTTAAAATTCACACACTGACCTAGATTTAAGAATTTGAAAGGTCATCCAAATCAAAGTATTTTCTACCTGGGGTTATATTAGCCACTGATTATATCAGGTCTAACTAACAGAAATGATTTTCTAAGGCACACAGTCATACATCTTGATATCGACATGTTAATTTTTAATCACTGTTTACCGAGATAATGTAAATATAATGTAGGAATCATTAATTAGAAAATAACAAATGCGACGACGAAAAAATAAACCCTAAATGGTTTAGGTGGGGACTAGACCTTTTATCACGTACCGCCGTGAAATTCCATTATTTTAATTGGATGAAGGGATAAGGCACCCCGGTGGGCAATTTACAGATCCCCTGGGTTTCCTAATTGTTCGGAAGTCATAGGGTTTATCTCCACCATTAACAGCCTCTGCAAGTGAGAAAGCAAATTTTCTTTTTCTATTCTAATTTAAAAAAAAAATATATGACATTTCGATTATTGTATTCTAATGATCGTTTTATTTACATCTGAACTTGACATAAACCGTCACGGTTCAGCAATTTGGAAGTGTGACATTCATTTTTCGTTTTATCTGATGGAGGTTTCAGTTTACTTTTGTGCGCAGCCTTCTAACGATTTTACATGTATATAAAGTCTGCACGTACTTGGAAAAAAAGTTATTGTACTGACAGAACATGGAATTGAACAATACAAGGTAAAAAATTATAATCCACATTTTGTAGGTTAGTAATGATAACGGAAAATTATTTATTACAGCCAATATAATCTCAAGTACTGAAACATATCAATCTTTGAGAATCCAATTGCAATATAGCAATATGAATGTGATACAGTGATTTTATTTCAGTTTCTTCTGAGTAAATTCATTAAGCGCACATACATACCTTTACAAGGTTTTTTTTTTTCAATTTTAAAGTACACAGGTACTTTTACATGTAAATGTACAATGCCATACTGTATTATTTTATGTGGAATATAAAATTCAGTCATCTGTAACATAATTATCATGAAATTAATAAATTGATATTTTATTTTTTCATGTTTTACTACAGAGTGTGTTCTATTTACATCTCATAGTTTAGAAAGTACAAGATGGTACCATTATTATGAAAATATGTGGAGAAAATAAATTTCAAAAGTAAGTTGCTTTGAAACATTTAGATTGAAAAAATACATGATTACTTCTTACGAAACACACACACGTGCAGACAATGTTTAATAACGCTCGTTAAATGTTTTAGACCATCTTTTTTCAGTATAAAGTCTATTCTTATTTATGCTATGATAAATAAACCATCAGCTACTTTTTTTTATTAAAAGTCACGTCATTGCTTGTTGCTTTAATCGTAACAGCATGATAAATATCCTTTGTATTTTAGAAAGATAAAAGGATGAAGACGGTCAATAATGCACAATTAAAATAACAGATTCTTATTTTAACAGAAATGTCGGAGATAGATACCGAAGAAAAAGAACCCAGAATTCAAATCAAACACGTAGCAAATCCACTGGGTACCTGTGTAAGCAGTGCAAGTGAAGACGAAACGGAAATAAAACCACCAGAACTGAAAACAACGACCAATAAAATTTCCAAAACTAGATCATCTAGTGAAATTAAGTCATCAAACCGGACAGACGAGCTCCAGAGAAGACATAGTGCAATAGGGAATGAAAATGTTTCTTCAGAGAGTTCTAAAAAGAAAGAAGACAAAATCAAAAATATACCTCAAGACAATCAGAATCTTTTATCCAAAAGCAGTGATAAGAAATACGCTAATTCTAATAAAATGAGAAAGAAAAGTGTTTCATCATACAAAGATAATATATCTGAGAATGAAAATTCTGAAAATAGCGCTCCTGTCGAACGCCCAAGCTGTTACGTCACTAACCAATCCAATGACGACATTTTGGCGCTTGTGGATCTTGGACCAAGGCGAAGCCGCCATAATTCAAGTAAGTATTCTCAGATATGACAGATAAATCAAAGTATAAACAAACATTTGAAATTTCAAGTGTAATATTTCTTTATTAAAAGAAATTTGGGTGAAATCGAAATAGACAATGTACATTAAATTAATTCTAGTCAGAATTTGTACAGATTAAATGCCATGCAATACAAGCTAGTTTATCATAATACATTACAAAGACTATAGACCCTATGAAAGCAACTAATTACATGTACATGTATCAACAGTATAAGACTTTTTGTCTTCCTTTGATACTTTATCCAAGCTACCAAGAACTTTTCAGATTCATGAGTAAGGGATAACTTTTTGCAATTTATTTGATATATTGGCAATAAAATATGCTGATTTATCAACTGATAAACCTATCTATATTGAACAATAATTACTAAGAGTTTATGTGTCGTTTCTTGTTGAGCATCATCTATTTAGTGTTGCCTTAAGAATATTACGTACAACGGATTTACTTTTACATGTAGTTTATCTTATAAATGCACATTTAAGAGGGATATACAAACCATGGAAAAGACCAATAAGCTGACATAAAAACACAGGTAAAATAAAAAAGAATAGTAATGAGTACCCAAACCCAAAATTATACCTGACACAAAATCATTATTGTTTTACCATGTATTCTATATAAAGGCTAAAAGAAAGGCCAAGATTAGAGACCTTGCGATCAATGAACTCTCATAACGATATTTCTGCTCTCATATGCATGATCATGAGTAAACTGGTCAAACGCATTTCCTGTAAGTTTGTAAATGAGATAATTTGATTCTGAGAAAGTAATGAAATCATTTCACTCAAGGGTTTAAAAGGGGTCGTGATAACCAAATGGACGGCCGCTTTATCTAGTTTGATTGTAAATACCACCCTTTGCTATGGGAACCCCGAAATATCTGTACGAGCAAAAAATTAAAAAATTAGTTGCACTATGGCACTTTGTAATACAGATTCTGTGGTGGTCTTACAAAATATAATTTTGAATGGTATTAGAGTTGTGGGTAAATGATGGCTAACCTAAAGTGTACCAAGAATGACAAGGTTCGTGATTTGCTAACGGAAACTCCACATATCTGTTTGATCAGAACGTAAAATGGGCTGCACAATGGGACTATGTTATATAGATTCTACAAGGTCTCAATAAATTTCATTCAGTGGTATAGGAGGAAATAATATGTTCACCTTTATATTAAAAAAAATGGCAGTGTCAACGCTTTGCCATTGGAAACCCCAAATATGTGTCCGCTCGAAATGTAATACCATAATGTCATGAAAATACTGTATGCAGGGCTATTTTCGCCCCGTGTTATGTACACCCTTTCACACTTGCAGACAATTTTGCCTCATTTTAAATTCGCCCTGTCAAAACTTTAATTTAAGTAATTATACTGTATTCTATAAATTCGACCCGTTTTAAATTCGCCCAAATGAAGGTAGGGCGAAAAGGGTGAAAATAAAACGGGGGCGAAAATTTCCCTGTATACAGAGTATAGGAAATTTGTTAAAGTTTCTTTATAAGGTGTAACAAGAGTTCCAGATAAGGGATGTAACGGACAAACCTACGGACGGAGTGTTTTTAAGCCAAAAAAAAAGATTTATTATATTGATAAAAAAGCTATAAAAGCTTAGGAATTTCAAAAATCGGTCACGTTCGTGACATTCCTGTGATGTGTGTGTTATCAATTTAACTGAATATAAATTTAATAACAGAAAAACAAATGGTATTAAATATCAAAGTTTTTATTTTAAGTGTAACGTTAAAGTGTTGACATAATGCATCATACATTTGAATCGTTTCTAGAACAAAATTTTAAGAATTAAAAATATGAATTGAAATTTAAAATTGATGCTCAAAACTGACACGAGTTTTACTGTAAATGTAAATGATATTGCTAAAAGCTTGATAAAATTTCCTACTTTCTTTCAGCTTGATGTGTGAAAACGCATCCGTTGAAAATTAAATTTGTCAATTTCTTTTAATAGAGATTAGGAAAGAATGAATTTGCAAGAAAAGTTGAGCTTTAATGTATACGAGTTTAATCTTTTGAAAACCCAGTCATCCTTGATACAAACATTACGGATTTTTTTTTCATATTATTTATTAACTTATCATGTATAAAAAATTCATGGTAAATTCTAGTTTAACCAGCAGGTCTTTTTGTTGAATACTAGTAATGAAGACAAAATCAACAAAACTGCAAACCTTTTTCACATATCAATTACTAGTACTTATATCAAGCTAAATACAAAATAAACTCAAATACTAGTATTATGGTTCTGGTAAATTTTAAATGGCACTGTAAGTGTATATGTTCCCTATTTTCAGCAATGTCATGTCTTAATTAGTGTAAAATGTTTAGACGGTATGAATTGTTTTGTATGGTTGAAAAAAAAAAACTTTAGATTTTTCTCTGTTCAAGGTGTTACTATCTAGTAAAAGTCTTTAGACTGACTTTATGGTACGAGATCCATTACGACGTCATAACCACTTTCAACTTTCTTTTTTCCATACCTTACGGCTCTACATGAAATAGACTTATGTAGAAAATAAAGTATTTGCATGGAATTCAATTTGAAATCACATGAAAAACGGGCCCGATACCTATATCAAATTTGACATTACTTTTAAAGAAGAGACCAAGAACAAAAAATTACCGTTTTCTGAAAGACTCTAGGCAATCTGGATATATTTTCTTTGTCTGAAATGGAAAATACTCCTATATTCATGACTGGTTTTTAAAATTTTTCATAGAAAATGACAGTTTAAAATATAATTTTTCATCTTGTTTACTTGCAAATTATGCCCCAAAACACCTTATTTGACCAAGCTAAAGATACAAAGCATCATTATAGGTATTTATTTCATTTACTAAATCTTGACCTTAAAACATTTTTATCCTATGGATAAATTAGAGTAATTCGCTGTTAAATGCAATAAACTGACTCATAACACTTTAATTCTTAGTGATTGATTTTGTTTAAGTAGCAAAGACAAAGCATATCTTTGTTTCTTTCAAGTTAAAAAATCCTGATTGACGTAAATTCTGACGAGCTTCATACCTGTTTTTCCATCTATAATTTTATTTTTTGATTGTACAATCCCCAAACATCTTTGGGCAACCTGAAATGTATGGAAAAAATGCTGATCACAAATTGATTAATAACTCAATTACAATGTATTACCTCGCCCGCGTGGCGCAGTGGTTAGAGCGTCTGCTCTAGAGTCGCCCAGTAAGGGGTTGATCCTTCCAATCCCAGCGGGAGAGAGGTCCTTCCGGTGAGACCGTATAAACCGAGGTCCATTGTCGCAGTAGGTAAATCACAGAATTCAAATAACCGATAAACAGAATACCGGTATATTTGATTTTGAAAACGTATTCGTTACTTTGAGTACCGTATAAATGCATAAATTGTAATTGAATACATTTCAATTGCTAAATAAAGATTTCATCATACAAAATGAAAAATTTAAACTTATAAATTAATGATTTAGACAATCTCTAACATTTCATTGGAATACTAGAATTATGTAAATAACAAATACATTAACTTTGTTTACTTTATTATCTTAGTTGTTAATTTCAGGGAAATCCCAAGACTATACTCCACACTCCTCCGACAAAACTAGAGATGAGAATGAGGAAGGAGGTTTGTTAGATGATGAAGAGGACCAGGCAGAGAGGAAAGTCATAGCTGACAAACTGAGGTAAACTTATACATATCAAAAATAAAAACACGAGCTCCTCCATGAAAAGTAGAGAATGTAAGATATAGTTTAAATAAGCTGTCAGCTGGCAGAACAAAAAGGACATGGCTCAAAAACTGAGGTAAGCTTAAACGACAGGATAAAAACATGAGCTACTCAATAATGAGTAGAGAATGTTCAATACATTTTGACTAAGCTGTCAGCTAGCAGAAAGAAAACATATAGCTGACAAATTGAAGTAAACTTAAACATCAGGATAAAAAAACCACAAACTCCTCCATAAAGAATAGAGAATGTAAGATATAGTTTAACAAAGCTGTCAGAAAGAAAAGACATAGCTAACAAACTGAAGTAAACCTAAACATCAAGGTAAAAACACGCGCTCCTTCATGAAGAGTATGAATGTAAGATACATTTACATGTAACTAAGTTGTCAGCTAGCAGTAAGACATAGCTGAAAAACTTAGGTAAACTCGTCAGGATATAAACACACGCTTCTCAACAGAGAGTAGAGGATGTTAGATACATTTTAAGTAACATGTCCGTGCAATAGGCATTAGCTATAGAAATGATCAATTAATTAATTTAAATAACTTCGATACAATCGAATTTAAAACAATTTTAAAACCTTCTATTACACACTCATATATCCTTGCGTAAACTAAGACGGTATTAGTTAATAAAGAACTAGAGGTGGGTATTCATAAAACTGTACAAAGTGAAGCAGAGGCGAGGATAAATTTACATGATAAACTGCCTATTGTATTTCTTGCAATAGTAATGAATTTACGATACATAGTTAGGAAATAATACGATATCATGCTTGTGTAAAGTAGAAGAAACTATACCAAAACAACAAAGGACACTAGAAACCTTTTCATTTGAATGGGTGTCGGTTTATATATCCTATTATTCAAATATAATTAAAACCAGAAAATAGAATAGAATCTTAAGATTACCTATCAAGAATAGACATTTATATCACAAAGCAAACTATTTTAAGCATCAGTTTTTATTTTTTGGTAATTTGCTTAAACGATTTGGACCCGAAAAATAGCTCAGTACACTGTACTCTTCGATTGTGTACCTTTTCTATAAGATCTGCAGGAAATGGCATACACGTAACACACATTTATAGGAAAATTTTACACTTGTTCTGTGATGCAATGATTCCAGTTTTCTCTTTGCTTGTGGGGAGGGGATAGATGGCTGATTTCATCGACTTTTACTAACATTGACCTCAAGATGACCTTCAATAAAGATTAGAATTCATGTTGACGAAACAACTACTGTTAACAATGAAATGTGTGTGGAAAAATCATTCAAATTCAATGACAACGACCTTGTCCTATGAGATATAACCTTGAATAACATCTCAAATTTGTTGAAACAAATTATCCTCATTTGACGTTTTAAAGACATTGACCAGATAAATTGATCAACTGTTACAATGAATTTGACATCTGAAATATATATAAGACATTAAACAAAACAGAATAGTATAAAATGATAAAATACATATGAGACTATATACTGATGTTTTTACAACATATTTAGTGGATTTGAAAAACGAAAGAATTAACAGCATATATATATTTTTTACGAACAGGGATAATATATCCGTTGTTGGGAGTGTGATGTACGGAATCTTGATGTCGGTTCTGGCGGTCGTTCTTCCCATCACAGAGACGTTTGCTTCTCACGGCCCCTCTCAGCTGTTTGAGGTGAAGTTCTAAGCTATATCTTTATACTTGGTCAAAAAAACTAGTATACATGTACATGTAATGAAATATACATAAAATGAAAAAAAAAATACTCGACAGTTTGATGAATTAAATTTCAGTAGCTCATGCAATTGATGATGGATGACTTCCATGATCCTTTTGTGAATCATCAGGTTTTTTTTTTAATTATGAAATTATAAGTTTTTTTTAACTTTTCTACCTGTACTTTATCGAAATGAGATTGACGGAGATTCAAATCTTAGAAAAAGAACTTTGACGCACTTACACTTACCTCGTATTTTTCACATCCATGTAAATGGATTGTAATTATGTAGTAATTTTCTTTTTAGATATTTTACATCTACATGTACCTGTTCAGTTTTATATTTGTGGTGTATGTCCACTTCTTCATCCTTAAACGGCGGTCTCGGTTCACCGTGCTGACGCTAACAATTGTCCGTCGTGTCCGAGGTCTTCTGAAGAATAACCCAGATAAAGGACTGACCAAGCGGAGATCCTTGACTCTGCCCAGCAGCAGTCCTGAAACAGAAAACGTCTGTAAAAGATTTTTCCACACTGGTAGCTTCCCTTTAAGAGTGGGAGCTATAGGTAATACAAAACTGAAGGGTTGTAGAATTATTTCTGCCTTTACCTCTGTGCAAAGTTCATTATCTGAAATATAAGAATTTTCGTGTTAAAACTCTGAATCAAAAGGAGAAGTTCAAAATAATACTCGATTTATATTTCAATGAAAAAAAAAAGTTTATGAACTTCTAAATAATCAACCATTAACTGTTAAGTTTTATTTTGTTTGCAGTTTTTGGAGTTGCTAGTATGATACACAGTGGATTAAATCTTGCCTACTTCTTCCAATTGCATGACGGGAACTCAGTGTGTCACCACCCTGTTCAGGCTATAAAGCCTTTCATGCACATGACGTTTACCTTTCTGCAGCTTTACTTCATTTTTCTGCATTCCAAGGTAAAGAAAAAACTGCAAACATTATATAACACACCAACACATTCTCTAGGCATGATATAAACCATATAGATGGCACGATTTGTCATCTATCCTTTTTGTGGTATGATGTATTTATACAGTCACAGTGAATAAGTATTCATGCATTTAAAAGGAGTTCAGTGTCAAGTTTACGTAATATCAGTACATTTCAATAATAAAATACCCTAATTTGCAGTATCATATTTACTTTTGACAGCTAATTTTCACTCATCAGAAATGCATTACTCGTCTCGGGTTGATGCATCTTTGTTGTACCAACTTAGCTGTGTGGTTTAGATGTATTGTTGTGGAGACTCTGAACGCTGTCAGTCGATTTCATCGTGAGGAAGAAGAGATGATGTCAAAGAGAAATGTCACAGAGCAGTCTGCCCTGGCGGGCGCTGACCCTTCGGCTGCTAGTAGGAAACTAATGAACGGTTAGCCTTACTTTAATGAGCCTGAATGATCATAAACATCTCCACTTTCTTCTGGGAATAACTACATATATGTAGTTTCCTATTATCCTTCAATTCATGTACCCATAGGAAAATGGGTGTGAAAATATCCAAATTAAAATGAATAAATGTACATCAAGTTACTTGTATTTTTTGTCTTAAAACGCTGTATGCTTTTTAAAAAATCGGCAAATTTTCAGAGCCTGCAGAAATTTACAAAATGTATGAAGATGTGTTCTTTAATTATTTGTACAGGGCCTGAGTCACATTTGATTTTGATAAGTCTTCCAATGAACAACACTAAAAATGTCTTCCTTCCGGAAATCTCGTGCTTTTGGTCCGATCTGTTTGGAGAGTTTGTGCAGAGGGCAGGACCGTACTTATATCCCTGTAAGATCGAATACAGCTTAATATGCGCAGGTAAGGGGTAAAGGTAAAACAGTATTTTGCACAATTTACTTAGGAACAATATCAAGGAATACATGGTACTAGCTTAAAAAGTTTTTTTTTTCATAATTATCTCAACAATCCATAATATATGCGTTTTATATTATCTATTAGTATGTAAAATGATTAATCTTTTTGTAGCCATTGTTTATGCCATGTGGAGAAACGTTGGTCGAAAATCAGATGAAGTGGTGTTGACATCATCAACTGAGCAGTTGAATTCCAATGACCCTAACTTGAGGTTGGATTGCTCGAACTCTATACGAGGCCTTTTCGCGGGCATTCTGGTCACCGTGGGAACGATCATTACTATGGTAGCATTTTATGTTTTGGTAACCAGACATCCTATGTCCAGTACCGCCATTATTTTGGTCCACGTCTCGGAAACCTCCATGTTTCTTCTTATGACCGGCGCAATTATATTTGCAGCCGACAGAATGAAAAACTTGAAGTTCACAAACGTTTCTTGGAGATTTCCTGTCGAGCTTCACTTGTTGTTTGTGTCTTTTACGGGAGTTTTTGCTTTCGCTGTTTTTGGAGTTATTGCTGCCGGCTTTGAAACCCACAAACCAAAAGGGGTTTTAAACATTCTGACTAATCTATTTATGATTCTGCAATCCACGATTCAAGTACTCTTCATTGTGGCAGGAAGTAAACTTATTTCAGCCAATGAATCTCAAGAGCGAAAGAAACGAGGTCGAGAGTTCGTAACGTTTCTTATACTGTGCAACTTTGCATTGTGGGCAATGAACACTTTTGAGACTCAGCAACCAGAGCATAACCCGGTGCAGATGGACTTTTACGGTCCATTAGCATGGTCTGTGCTCACTCACGTGACTGTTCCATTATCCATTTACTTCCGATTTCACTCTTCCGTTTGTCTGATAAACATTTGGCGGTATGCTTGGAAATGGCATGGAAGACAAGAGGGGCAACGGGAAAGTGCTTGTTAAAGGACTCTGTGATATTTACACGTTTTCTTCTTATATTTGTTTGATATTTTATGTCATATATATAACGTTTTCATTTATTGTTCTGCCTTTTGAAAGATTGAGTGCAAAGGCATTCCTATCTGTACTTATATGTCAATCGCACAGTCATTTTGTGTGGCATTGTTTTTTTTTTTTATTTCATTGCTTTTTTTCTTCTCTTAGTTTTATGAATAAAGCATTGATAATCGGACTTAAATTCACTATATTCTGTTCAGTTTTTTTTTCAATAAAAAGTTGCTTTAATTTATGTCAGGAAAGATAACTCTTAAATATGATCATGCAAGTCTGGAATAGCATGATCATAAATCACCTTAAACCCATATGCGATTATCTTTTAAAATAGGATAAAAATGATATTTTTGGAGTAGAAGATGAGTATGCAGTGTCTGCACCTTGATAGATTTCACAATATGTAAGCCTATTGTTCATTTCATTATATTTATAAATATACCTCCTTTTAAAATTAACCCTCATATTTACATGTTCTCTACATAAAGAAATTCTGTAAAATTAAATGAAATTTATACATTACAATTTAGTAATTCAAATCTTTGTAGACTTGTTAAGGACATTGGCAACGCTTCTGGTTTTAATATAGAATTTTTCAAGAACTTTTGAACAGATTTAATGGTACTAAACATGTTTATTTCAGGCCCTTTTAACCTATCAAGCCAGCCTTCCTTTATAGATTTTGTCAAATCAATGTTTTTACAATTCTCAATGCATTTCCTATGTAAAATGTTGATAAAATGGACCTATATTATTTTGAACCATAAGTTTTCTCTAAAGCCCAGTTATTTCATTAAGTTTACACATAAAATACATTGTTGAATCCTCATTTTCGATGGCATGCATATACTTTGACTGTAAATGCAAATATAGAAACAAGACACAGAAACACCAGCACTGTTCTTTAAGTTTGAGTTACTTCCCTTAACATCTAATTATCATTCATAATGATCAAGAGACTGGTTGTTTGTTTCTATTCTATAATTTACTTTATTGGAAACGAAATGTCCTAAAACATTTTTGCAAGGATTTATTGTTGCAATGGAAAAGCAAAGGGCAGTAACTCTAAAATTTGCCAAAATTTTTTGTCAAAAAATGGTGTAAAAAATAAACAAAAGGGTGGTAGTGTATTACGGGCTGGTACAGTGAGACGATGACGTGTACAGTCTTAAATTTTTTTCAGAAACCTTCTTGAAGTATTACTGCAAGTGTATATCGATGAAAATCAATTAAGTGCATCATTTTTATTGGAAAAAAATAAAAATGAAGTATTTCTTTCGTGAGAAAAAATTGAATTTCCGAATATACATCAAGAAGACCTGATTTTTATAAAACAGTGAAGTAATTTCAATGAGAATTTGATCTAAAATATTTTTTTAAACCTTGTATTCAACGCCAAATCAAGTTATATCACATGGCTTATTTTTGCCCGATAAGGTTATTTGCCCTTTGCTGTCAGGATCCTAGTAAATTGCTAGGTGCAAAAAGGTCACAACACTATGTGAATATCTTGCTTTCAACGATTTAGTTTATTTTTACTTTGTAAGATTGCATATGATGAAGGTCGTGCTGGGGGGGGGGGGGATGTATGCAGCATATAACAGTGTCGGCTTTTAATGTTTCGTATTAATTTTATTAATTAAAAATTGAAGATGGTTTTCTAAATACACTCAAGAAATGATAACTTACTTGATTGATCATTCCAATTAGCATATCATTACCACCCCCCCCCCTCCTTTTACCTATCAAGCCAAGCTTATCCATATCAACTACAGATTACAGATCGATTTGATTTACTTCATATATAAGTTAAAATAAATCAATACTTTAAATTGAACTTAGAAATTAAAGTACAATCAAGCAGAAGTTTGTACATCACATCTGACTGACAGAAACAACATCTGTAATGTATAAAAGTAGGTTAATGAGAAATTATGGGATTTAGAATCGAGTCATTTATCTTCTTGAACATGTCAGAATATAAATAAATCATGCAATTTCAGAAATATCTGATCATGTTAACAAGTTTCTATCTTGCAAAGAATAAAAAAGAGGTTGAAAACATGAGCACATTTCGAGCTTAAAATTTCTGGCAACCATACAATATTTGATTTTCATGTTATTAATATATTATATACACTACAAAACAATTTAAATACATATTTTTGTTTACATACTTATTTAAAAGTAATCTGCATTAAATGAAGAACTGCAGCTTAGTAGATTTTGTCCCTTTATTTTTTTTTAAAAATGGCAACACTTTTTGTTTCAAGATAGGAAAAGATGATAACAAAAAAATATCATAACTTTTTAATTTTTCAATCGATTTTAAAAAATGAAGCTGTCTTGGAAATGGTATTGAAGGCTCTTAAATATAAAGCATTGCTTTTCAATCTAAGAAGTGCTTTTAAAAATCATGTTCCATAGCTATTTATTGTTAACTTTTAATTGTGCCTCGTTTGCATAACCTATAAAATCGTTAGATCATCCGGTCTACCTAGCTATCAACACTTTCAGCATAATATTGTCACATCTTTGCACTTCCAAGCATACAAGTACCTAGCTGCAATAATGTAGCCCTCTCCCCCTTTTTTTTTTTTTTTGGGAGAGGGCTACAACTCCTTAGGATCTTCCTAATGGTGCAGCTGCGGGTGTGATTCGCTCCCGCACGGATTTCGGCTCAAATGATCAGTAAATGGCTATTTTATTAACATTTCTTACCTTGACTCCAAATAAGTAGTCATCCAAGACGTAAATCAATGCAAAAATATACAGAACGATCCCTATATCGCTTATTTTTCGTGTATGCCAACATTACAACTCGAATTTATCCGCCATGTTTACTGACCTTGATAGATTGTATTTTGGGACAGCCAATGAGAATTTAGGTTCTATAGGAGCGGATCTTTTTGGAATTCCTTTATTTTAAGCATAAATATCGCTGCTTGCATAAAAATAACACTCAAAATAGTTTCATATACCTATGTTTTTGTGATGAAATTCAGCACAATCATTTATAAACACCGATAATTGCTTTATTCAGTTGTTCTAAATTTCAAGCGAAAGTCTCATTACGTCACACGTGAACTGTCATGGCTGCTGAAGTAAACTACCAGGAAACATGCAGAGTTATTTTACAAGTTTTTCGCATTTAACGGGGTCTGTTGTTGACAGTGAATAAAAATTTCGTCTTATTAGAAGTAAGTTGAATGTAAAAATAATTTATTTTGCCTGCAGTCGCTCCTATTAAAAAAAATATTTGCACCATTACGGAGATGCCATGGAATTGTAGCCCTCTCCAGAAAACATCAGATTAAAAAAATCGGAGAGGGCTACATTATTGCAGCTAACAAGTACCTATTCAAAATGACGACCTGTTTACTGTCTGCCCCCTCAGCACAATGTCAACAATCTTATAGCTACTTTTCTTTTATTTCTGTAAGTTGAATGTATCCGATAAGAAAACACACGTGCTTTTTGTTACCTATCAATTCTGTGACATTTGCTTTATTTGTTTTCACCGCCTAAAGAATCCCATACGGGAGATCACTCTCAATGACTGTTTTCATAAGTGAAAAAACCAAAGTATAAACCCTTTTTCTCCGGAAACCCTTCGTTGCCAATGACCTTAAATGCAAAGTAAATTCCCCTTTCAACTAATTTATATTTATAAAAATACTTTGTTTGCTCAATACATGTACATGTAAGGATACTACAAGTCTATAGTCTGTTGACTACATGCATTTAAAAATCACTCATTACACGCTAGGGCTGGGTATTGGCCCGAGATTTCGTATTGCGATATATTGCGATATTTTAAACTGTATTGCGATATGTATTGCAATATTTTCAATGTAATAAAAGTGGCATTTTCTTACTATATTTACTTTAATTTACATACAGAATGTACATAACTATGATAAGTAACCAATACTGAAAAAAATTCTTGTTGATTTCATTTAAGTTATGCTCTGAAATGTTTCCACAAAACAACTGACTTACTGTTTGGCTTAATAACAAACTTTCATCAGTCCATTTTTATATCTAATGACAAAATTCCTTAATCTATGCATATTGCCAATATATCGATATTACAAAATAGTATTGCGGTACGATATTTTTTGTCATTGTATTGCAATATATTGAAATATCGATATTATTGCCCAGCCCTATTACACACATAAATTAAACAAGAAATCCAGCATGTTTTTGTTTAATTAGAAAGATACAAAATATATAACATTTTAATAAACAGTAAAAAAGCTGATAATCCAAATAATTCAACAATAATGAACAACAGTATTTCAATATCATAACTAAATTTAAAATAGTCTCAGAGTTTTGGTTTCTTGGCAAATCCTGTGAGTATTGCACTGACGAAGCATAAAATGGCGCCCGTTATTGAAAGTCCAAATGCCCATGACATGGAGTAGATCATTCTTTTGCCAGAAGTCATATCGAACCCAGATGGTGGATATTTTTCATCAGCAACACTGGCTCCGTAGATCACTGCCCCTATCAGGATCAGTACCCCTATATAATACAAACACAAGAATATATCACATCCCTATAACTTATAATACAGAGAATTTCAGTGTTTTTGTTTTGCTTTGGGAACTCCATATATATCTGTCTAATTGAAACCCAAAATAGTAAGTGCACAGTACATGTAGCTCTATGAAAAAGGTAAACATAACAGTGACCGATCTCAAAAAACCTATAAAAATACACATCAGTGATTACAGAGCACACAGCATGGACCCCTGGAAATCTCGAGGTGGGATAGGGTGCATAGGACGAGCCATTAAATAAAGAACACTTTATAATTGCCTTGATCTTGGAAAAAATTTAAATATTATATTAAGAAGAACTTCAGCTTATACTGGGGTATGAATCAGTGAGCAAATGTGTAGCATATAGTTGGATATATGCATGATAACTATAAAACTAGCACACATACTGATTTGTAGTGAACACTGTAAACCCAACATGAAATGATTTTTATGAATAGTGATAATCCCAAAATTCCAAAAAGAAAAGATCATCAATTTACAATTTTTTTTATGGCCCTGGATGACCAATTGCAAAATAGATATCAGAGATCTGAACAGTTTCTTCAAAGCTGAGATGGACCTTATTAAGTGTGGTATGACAGACAGGCAGATGGGCTGGGTATAAACACAACTGAAGAATGACAGGCATGAAGAATACTACATGTACACTATCAAGATTAGTGTTAAAGGTATACCTTAGATGCTAATAAGATGCAAAAAATATATTTATCCTCTTTATCATGAATTTATTTGCAAATATATTTAACAAAAAGACCTGTGCCAGATAATTATTTTAACTTGTGGCAATATTGAAGGGTGGACACTAAATCTGGCCTTGACTGTTTCTACCTTAATTATCTTTTTGTGCCTGTATTGAGAGTCTTAATTCCCATGCTATATATAGATGTTTTAATGCAGAAAGCTCTTTAACTGACCTGCACCAATACTGGATCCAATGGATGACAGTTTTAGGATTCTGCTCCAGGTCTCTAATCTCAGAAATGTGTACAGCCCTAGAAGAATCAATGATGCACTTCCTGTCAGCATTCCCAGAATGGCCATTGCTCGTGCACCACCCATCCAGGCTACAATGTAATAAGGTGTAAAAAAATATCAAAATCAAGTTTATGCAAATAATATGAAAACAACACAAGACTGGACTTTGAGTTTATCTGCCCATTTATGTAAAGTTTATTCAAAAATAAAAATCTACAGTGTTTTTGACACCAACTGGAATCAATTGCTTTTATAAAATCTGTTATAAGGTGTCATGAGAATCAAATGAAATATATGTAATAACATGTCAATTCTCTCCCTTTCTCTTTTCAAAACCAGTCTGTAAAAATGCTAAATATTCATATTGTATTATCATACAACAGAAAGTGTATAAAATAAAGAATTTTAAAAAAAATCTACATGCAGTGTATTAGTCTATTAGTATGAATTCTTAATATTTTTAATTTGAAAAGCAGAAGCTAAATAAACTCATCACTATTTGCAAGCGTTTCTCTGATTTTAATTTTTTTTTAAAAATCTGTTGATCTATTCATCAATACTTGAACATGATCAAACACGATCGATATCTCTTCCTATTTTTCCCTGGGGGTAAAAGACAAGTATAATAAAAAATGAAATAGATCTTGTTTACGGGTACAATAGCATGAATAGAATTTTAACATTTTGATCATAAATCAAAGGTACAGCTCCCTCACATAAATTGAACTGAGATAATTGTATCATTGCATTTTCAACATCAGATATATTCTGTTCATTTTCAATACTTTTTCGTCTTACCTTCATCGGCTATGCTGGGTGACATACATTTTGTGGCCCCTGTCCAAGATATACATTCTATCCATAAACCGGCATTTCCTATCCTTAACACGTTTCCTGTATATAACCTGGAAGACGTCACGTGCCAGTATGGCGAGGCTATGGCCACAATATGAAGAATTCCGCCTAAAATCAACACTCCAATCGCGGCTAAACCGAAGATAGAAATTTTTCGGTCTATCGCCATTTTTGTTTCTTTTCACTGTGCACAACAAACGACCATGTGTCGACACACCTTTCTGCCCTGAGTCATTGGTTGTAAATTTAGACACCTGACTAAAACATTACTAATGGCGGTAGAAGCTTCTAAATATTGTGAACTGTTGTTTTGGTCAATATTGATCTCATTGTCAATTGATTTTCACCGGACACTGCCCACTGGTAATCTCTTACCTTTTTCTCAATTTCTGTTCCAGAATTTGAAACGCGTCCTCGAAACCACTGACGCGAGACGAAAATTTATATTCTGTATGGAGATTTTGAAACTGAATATCGCGGGACATCTATGCCCCCAGCTATACGTTGATATAATATAACATAGTTAAATTATGCCCACTAGTTATTGTACTGGATCAAAGATCGAGAGAGAGAGAGAGAGAGGAGAGCACACCTGTGATTTTGAGTCATCTTTCTTTGCATGTTTTCATGCAAAGCCTGTTCGTTTTTACCACAGGCACCCGACGTTACTTATTTTTCTTTTAATAAAAAAATAACATCCTACCTAATAATACAGGCGCGTAGCATCGTTTTTGGAAGTGGGGGGGCCAACCTCAGAAATTTTTTTTTATACTTACCTGAAGAAGTTGACAAGCAAAAAAAAAAAAAAAAAAAAAAAACAAAATTTGCCCAAAGTTGAAAATCCTATTTCGTGGGGGGGGGGGGGGGGTAGTGGCTAACTTTTTTCAAGACCAACTTACTTTCAATTCAAACTTTTTGGGGTAAATTTTCTTATAACACTACCCTTTGCTGAAGAAATGTGGGGGGGCCAACCTTCCTTTCAGTAAACATTTTCTATAGTAAAGATAATGTCGGGAGAAAAAGTGGGGGGGGCCTGGCCCCCCCTGATACTACGCCCTTTTCTATAGTAAAGATAATGTCGGGAGAAAAAGTGGGGGGGCCTGGCCCCCCCTGATACTACGCCCCTGTAATAAACGTAAAGGTGGTATATTTTTTATTAAAAGAAAAATAAGTATCGTTGGGTGCCTGATGTAATTACCTATTCGTAGAACAAATCATTAGTATTCATTAGTATCATTAGTACAGTAACAGACGTATTGTAACCCCCACCCCGAAATAGAATTTTCAAGTTGCATAGGCGTCGAAAGGGGGGAGGGGTCTTACTTTTTTTTCTCCAAATATATACTTAGTACAGACATCGAACATTGCTGCGTAGGTTTACTTTTTTTTTTTGCTTGTCCGGTTTTTTTTTTAAAGTAAAATTTTTTTTTTACACTTAGCCCCCTCCCCCCACTTTCAATTTGCTCCCGACGCAATGAGTTGCGACAATATTACACGTCTAGCTCCTTCTTAAAAGTAATAAAAAGCAAATATATTGTATGAAAATATTAAGGAATTATTCTTTTGGGTTTTTGATTGATTCTATTACACATTGGCGACGGAAGCAAATTCAAAGTGGGGGAGTGGGGCTAATTGAAAGAAAATAATCAAAGCAAAAAAAAAAGTCTTGACATGCAAAAAAATCTGTCTATTCAACCCAGAAGAATAATTCCTTAATATTTTCCTACAATATATTTACTTTTTATTACTTTTTAGACGGAGCTAGACATGTTTAGCACTACCTACTACGTCTATAGTGCACTAAAAAACATTTTGTTAAAAATGTAACTTTTCCTTGAACATGACTGTCCCAAGGCGACATACAAAGTAAATGTGCATAAAAGTAACTTACTTCTTAAAAATTCTTGCGTATTACAGACAATCCAAGGGGTATATTTGCATTCTCCTTAGAGTTTATTAACAAATGATAGATCTCCTCCATTTCTAAATTCTTCGTCAAAATGAAAGTGCCAAAATAACAATTTCAAGAGTACCTACAGGCCCGTAGGAAGCAATATCGGTTTGGGGGGGGGGCATATATTTTCAGTTGGAAGCACTCAACTACAAAATTCTTTAACAAGCGAAAAAGAAAAAAGGTCATCAGGCGTTTTCATTGAGGGGGCACGAGTATATAGTAGTTATGTTTTCTATATGTGTTACTCCATGTTTTCTATAGTATACATTGTTAATTATATTTATTTGAGGGTCAGAGGTCATAGCGCGACCGAATCACACGGCGATGTGATAGATGATATTTTGCATACATATTTCTGTAAATGGTGCAACTGGTTTTGGAATATTTCTAAGTTAATAGTGATGAAAAAGATAAATGTTTAAAAGATAAGGATATTTTTCAATCAACAGATATACAATAGATGTATTAAATACTAGGCCTATAATTAGCCTAACCACACAGTTTACCTTTTTATAATCCGAATTGGAGTTACATGCATGTAAACTAAAACACACGACTCCCGCTTTTGACTTCAAATATATCAAGAATATAAACTTAAGAATTCATGAAATAGTAAGATTATTCTCAGCAGTGATCATTGTTCTTTCATTACGCACAGATAATTCCGAACTTGACTGCTGAACATCAATGTAAACATTCAAATTTTGGAGCGAGGCGAACTTTCAAGACCAAACAACTTCTAGGCCTAGGTCATTTTGCGTCACAACATAGCAATACGGCGGCCCTTTCGTGTAATATTTGAATTGAACTCGAAATATTTCGTTATAAAATATAAGAATAAACAACATGTTTAAAAGTTAACAAGGAATGAACTTACTAGTTGATCACGTGATCAAATCCTGTGAAGCCCGAAGAACTTTTTAACTTTGTTTATTTCAAACATAGGCGTCGGAACCGGGGGGCTAGGAGGAGGGGGGCTTAGCCCCCCCCTTTTATTCCAAATATATACATAGTATAGAAATTGAACACTGCTTTTAAGGTTTAGCCCCCCACTTTCCACAGACACGTCGCAGTATAGCCCCTGCGAGGTGAAATTCATAATTTCAGGAACTTTTATGGATCGTTCATGAACATTCATGATGTGTTCATGACTGGTTCATAAAGATGGTTCATGAACTTTATTCATGAATGTATTCATAAAATGTAGTTCATGAACAAATGATGAATATATATGAATATTGGTAATTTTCATTTTAAAGACAGAAAAAATGTAGAGTTCAAGGTATTATGAATGTTCATGAATTTTCATGAAGACTAAAATAATTGACAAAAATGATTGACAGAAAACACTCAATACTCTCATAATACAACTTTTGCATGCAGATGCAATTGTTGAACAAGCCCCTGGTATAATTTATAGTTAGTAACATTCTTTCACCATCTGAAAAAATAAATCATGAAATCTCTAAACATTTCGTGTTTTTATTTGATTTTAATTAAACAAACAGTGCATCACCATTGACAGCATTTTTTTTTTCATATTCATTACTTGTGTTTCTTCATAATTTAAATTAAACAGTTATATTCATCATAATGTGCTTTAATTAATGTCTTTTTTCATCACACAACTTTGTTCGACCGAATTTTCTCTAACATCAAACTTTAAACAAGTTGTTGGAAAATGAAACATTCTGGAAAATGAACTTTGTGAGCTGCGTAAAAAACGTTTTATATATTTATTAACAACTAAAAAATTATATCACTTGTCTGTACTGTACCGTATTATTCCTGGATCGAAACGCTATATACATTTCAATTTTGGTGCAGTTAAAATGTCAAAAGTTTCCCTTGCTTCGTGCATAAATGATAGAGCACAGGCTGCATGGTTGTAAAGTATCTATGACATAATCCACATTCGTATTTTGTAGTTTTAATTCTCCTATGCGTCTTCACAGCTCAGAATATTCTGTCTGAGGGCGAGAGATTGTTATTATCATGTCATAGGGGGCCGGGCCGCCATACTTGCTATACGAAACTAAAAGTCAATAGATGTATAATTTATGACGTAAAAAATTCGAATTCTTCATTGATAAAACTTATTTTGATATAAAAAAAATTGTATTTTCAGTGAAAAATTATTCAGATAGTGTTTGTAATTTTTTTAAACAGAAATCTTGGAAATTCGAAACTAACGTATTTCTTAGCTCTACCGTACATTTTTGAATAGGCGCAAACTTGAAAACGCGCGAGACGTTGGAAGTGGGAATTTGTAGAGTGGAAGAATCAGTATTTGTGATCTATTATTTGCATAATCACTGTGCCGTTTTCGTATTGCATAATTTTATTTCGATCGGGTTCAATATTCTGTTTATACTAATTATGGTAGCCATGCGGTTTGCCTGGCGTTTTGGTTGTTAAGTTTGGTGATGTTGGCCTCCCTAAGGAGTAAGTTTTATATTGTTTTACTTGAATTTATATCTAAGTTGGTCATCTGTATCTAACAGTATTATGCAATATATTTTATCATGTTTAAATTCTGCAACTACAATGTTTTGTAAAACCGCGAATTTCCAGCATGCGATAGGCATAGGCCAGTTCAGCTCGCATGTTAAAGTTACGCATTTAATTTTGTATGATTGCTTATGATTTTGATATTTTATCAAATTCTTATTATGCTTTTGTAATTTGTAGTTTTTCACCCTCTCACAAGGTGTGTCCAATAAACAGTACAGTCACTGATCTTTGTCAACTTTTTAAGAAAATAACAGAATATGAAGAAGGAAGACTATATATAGGATCAATCTACTTCATAACTGGTGAGTGACAAAAAATGGAGGCAATCACTGTGTCAGAAATCTATCTGTAAATGTTACTGTCTATTTGTAAAATAACAACTAATTAACATGATTAAAGCACATTATGATAAATTAATATGTCTCTTTTTTTAATGCAATTTTTGTCTAACTTTGCTTTGAGTTTGGATCCAACCATATAACACATTAATTATAGACTGAGACTCAAAACATTCATAGGCCTGATTGATCTACAAAATGGCGGTCCAAGAAAATAGGCTTAAATTCCACTCAGAATGTTTTAATTTGGAAGTGTCTCTGATGCAAAATTAAATGAAACTAAAATGCAAGAAAATACAAAAAAAGTCTTATGTTTTACAATCATAAGTACTTTCAGAAAATCTTCTTTTTGAAGGAAAAAGAGAAGCAGTTCACAAATGTTGATGAGCAGAAGACAAGAAACTCTGGCTGCACAAAAATCTGAGCTCTTGAAAAAGAAAGATAAAAAGAAATGAAAATATGAATGATATTCAATCAAAGGATCCAAATGATGAAATTCTGGAAATTCCAGATGGAGAGACAATAAGGATTTTTGAATTGACCATCTCTGCTCAAACTGCTTGAAAGCACTGAAAACTGTTACCCTGGTGCTGAACAAACTTTTCTCCTAGACTGGAATTAAAAACTGTTCAATTTCTGGCATTAAAACACAATTTGAAACATGCTGAGGATTAGGATCCCCCTCTCCTTTTGACCAAGTAAGGTTAAACATTCTGCAAAGAGTTGCATTTGAATTGAAATTTTTTATACTTATACCAGGAATGAACTACATTTCTCATTTACTATGGTTTAATGTGTCAGAATTGTCTATTTTAAGTTTTTCAACAAAGATTTTGTTGCCATGGTTGGAAAACAAACAACATTTCTGTGACATCTTTCAAGATACTGTATTATAAATCATCTACTGTTACTTTTTTAGCATGACTTCATGCATTTTCATGAATAAACATGAATAATATTGCATTTTTTGTTTACAAATAAGCAAGAATATTCATGAATGCTAATGGTTCGTGAATTTTATTCATTCATGAACATTCCTGAAAAAATTCATCAAATTATTCATGAATAGTTCATGAAGATGCAATGAACTTATTATTGGACATTCTTGAAATGATGAATCTTCATGAATATGACTCTTCATGAATTATTCATGAAAAAAAATATTCATGAATATTCATCAATTTTCTTTCATGAATAAAAATTCATGATTTGAAAATGTCCAATAATAAGTTCATAGGATCTTCATGAACATTTCATGAACATTTCATGAATAAAATTCATGAAAAATTCAAGGAAATTCATGAATTATTCATGATTGTCTCGCAGGGGAGGTTAAAAATAGGGAAAGTGGTGGTATTTAGAAAAAAAAAATTTGGTACTCAAATTTGGTACTGAAAAGTTCGAACCTAACCCCCCCCCCCCCACCACCACCACGAAATAGGATTTTCGTTTTTGGGAAATGGACATTTCCTTTTTTTTTTTTTTTTGCTTGTCCGGTTTTTTTTTTTTTTGAAGGTATAAAATGTTTTTTTTTACTCTTAGCCCCCCCCCCCCCCCTTTCAATTTGCTTCCGACGCCAATGTCAAACATTTTAAAAGTAATTACAAAGGGATTTGGCACAACTTCTGAAACATTACTCCCTCTCCAAAAATTACACATTTAAGCTGTCAAAGTTAAACTTGAATTTTTAATAGTATACAATGTTGCAAAAAGTTTATCAATCGATGTGAAGCGAGTCTTTGCGAGTGGATCTAACATACATGTATCTGATTTAAGTTAGTGAAGCGAGTATCTAACAGAGTGGATCCAACATCTGATTTTAATTAGACTGGCATGGACCAAGATTCTTTCAGAACTGAAAAAGAATCGAACATTTAATTTTTTGCCAGGGGTGGGGAGATGAACTAAACTGATTTTGTGAATTCTGTCCTCTGCTACTTTTCATCACTTTTATCAAATGAAAATAGTTATATGGGTTTTAAAATGTCTACAAGTGGCTATATTCCCTTTTAAGTCAAATAGCCTATGCCTTCACAAAACTTGACCATATGGGGGCAACAAACTAAATTCTTCTGGCAAGATAAAAAAATCAATTTTTTAAGCGTTAGTGTTGAGTGGAAGCACAAGAAATACAATTGTAATATATAGGGTTATTGAACTTATATTGGTGAATATTGGCACAAGTTGGCTGTATAAACGCACGATCTTGCGAGTGCATTTGTACAGCCAACGAGTGCCAATATTCACCAATACAAGTTCAATAACTCCTTTATTATATAGCTAAAACATTTCCTCATAATTTATAATAATTATTCAAAAAAAAAAAAAAAAAAGAAAGAAAGAAAGAAAAAGAAAAAAACCCTCAAATTAATGATTTTTTAGTATCGGTATTCAACGCCTGTCCAAGAAGTATTCAATATCGCATCATTCCGATGACTCTACCGAGCGACTCAGCGTTATGATTTGCTATAATAGGTTTTAATGGGTCTAATACATACTAAATTTTTAATAAATACTTTCATTTTCATTTTTTTTTTTTGTAAAAATTAAACACATCTTACCTAGATGCCACTTCCTTTCTTTAAGGATGTATTCACTTTAACAAAAGAATTGACCTATAGGAGAGAACAATTTCCCGGAAGAAGCGACATTTAAAAATCAATCTTTATTTGTTGTTTTCTTCCGTGTATATGTCTAAATTTTTCAAATTTGTATTTTATACTTAAAATTTATTATTACAACTATACAGTAAACCTCCAAAGTTGACCGAAACACCATTTTGTCCGTTAAAACGTTGATTTTTGCATGAATTTTGGCCTTGAAGTCATTATTACATTTGGAGATAACAAACTCAGAAAATCAATGAAAGGGTTCTTCCTACCTTTACTCACTGAAATAAAGATTTAGGGAAAACAAAATGTTGTATATTTTCAGCCTAATGTCGTTAATTAGAACGGAAATCGACAAGCTTTTTGTAGAGAAAAAAACCAAGCCCGGTCCTATAGGTCAGATCCCTATTTATAATGAAGTGATCCTTAGCTCTGAGAACTTGACCAGACGACTTTTTTGTTTACAACGGGGCGTTCGATATTGATCGCTTGTATTCGGAATGTTTCGGGCAATGTGTATATATATACGTAATACAAACTCAGCGTTAAATAAGACGTCTTGAATGAACACTAACGTTCCCTAGATTTTAGGCAGTATTTTATTAGAGACTATTTATTAGCTATATAATAAGTCTTTTTATTGGTCTAACTACATGCATTATGATATACCGAAGGAATGAGTAAATTTTGAACTGCCCCCGTCCCTTTCATGATACTTTCATCCTCCATGTCATGTTGTAAAATCAAATGAAGCGGGTGGCAAGAGATACAAAATTGTAAATTTTTACGTATTTGCTGCCACTCAGTTAATTTAAAATTTACAACAGGACATGCTTTAATCTCAAGTTGCTGATCGCGCGTTTACAGGGTCGTGAACATGTGTTACATGTAAAGTTTACATGTAAATCTAAAGTTTTAACTTATCTATAACTATTTGTTTAAACTTTAGATTTAAACTTTTAATGTAACACAAAGCATTGAAAAAGATAACTGAAGGGAAATGCAAAAGCGTCTTTAAATAAAAATTGATTGAAAGTTGATATGACAAAACTGAGAAGGTTTAATAATTGCCAACCAAGAAGGTTTTAAAATAGCAAACTAACGTTTCAGAATTGCAAATAAAAAAATTAAGGTTCAAAATGTAAATATTAAAAAATGCAGACATGAAGGAAGATATTTAATGAGAGAGTATTAAATAAATGGAAAATATTTTAATTTCGGCATTAAATTTGGCTATATTTTTAGAAATTTGCAAAAAGGGGTAATCGATGAAACGAGATTTACTTTTTTTTATTCTTATAGACAGTTAAACAGAGGTCCAATTAAATTGTTCTTTTTTCTTGATCGTGAGTTTCTATGTTTCAGGGTGTAATAGAAATGATAAACGTTGCTTTCTTTCATCATGTCAGAGTATTTAATTCATCTTTTACAATAGTGCAAAAAAAAAAATGGATCTGAAGTTTTTCCATTTTAAGAACAGAGGCGCCAACATTCATAACACACTGTATATGTACATACTGATGCCTTAAACACCATATTGCTGATGCATGAAGTAATTCAAAATTATGCAATTGTAGTGCTGGAGTTCTTTTGAACCAAAAACACAATGTTTAACAATAGACTCTATCCAATATATTTTATAAAATACCAAGTTCACATGCATGTGAAAATCAGAGATTTACACATAACGTCCTATATTGCTGGGTTCTTATTGATTGTTTTTTTAATGTTCTGTTTACTTTGGTTTTTTCACTTAGCTGTACTTTTATTAGATTTTTATATCTGTAGACATTGTTATGAAATAAAAATGCCACTTATAGATTTACCAACGGATGATAAATCATTTATAGGTAGCAATTACGCGGGAAATAATTTGCGGTTCCTAACATCAAGATCATACAACCTTGAAAGGACGCAACTTGAAAGAAATAATAATGATAGATAATTATTCCACCGAAGTATAAAAAAAATCCCAAATGCAATAGTAATTTTCTCTTACCGCTGTAGAAAAATATAAATTTCATACATTTATATACTTATAGGCACAGTGTCTTCCACAATAGATACATTTTAATATTTGTTTTTTAAAATATTTTTACCCTTGATTGAGGATTACAATTTCATCTACAAATACGTGTTTCTAATAGCCTATTTTCTACATGTACATAACGATCCTGTCCGTTGTATACAAACGAACGAACGACTAAGATTAATCAAACTTATGTTCATTGTAAATTCTTACAAAAACTATGTTTCTATTAAAAACTGTTTGCAAAAAATATCTTTTTAAAGACTTTTCATACAGATCAATACCATTTTCAATGCAATGTAAAATGGAAATTTCTTTTTTGGCATAATAACATTCTGATCTTAGTCATAAGTTCTTTTGTAAAACGGGGCCGAGGTCTGACAGTCTCAAACTATTTCCCATATGCCACCGACTTGAAATTTTCCGAGACTATTAAGGTACCAACAGTAAAGTGTAGTATAAATGTCATCTTGTAAATTTATTCAGCCTTATTCTCCCATATTTACATTGTATACGACAGCAAGGTCTATCACCTGCCACGGGAAAATCATTTTTTTTTTCTTATTAAAAATGAAATATTACAGTTCCACGACAATCGAGATAGAAAACAAACCGTAAAAGTATCACTTGGAAATATAAACAAAAAGGACCGCATTTGACCTGGATTTAGAGATAAACTACGGCGTTTATTTATGGTTGTAGGTAAGTGGAATGTCAATATTGGCCTGTCCCCCCAGGCTCGATCACCCCAATTTCGTGGATTTCACACATAATGAACTTTTGACTGGAACAAAATGGTGTATTGGACATGTGGAGGTACGTTTTAAATTGAAAATGGTGAATTTATACAGCTTATATACTGTTTGTATTATCAGCCGATGAAAAAATTAAAATTGTACTTTATCGGAATGTTGGCAAATTGTTCATTTCATGCGAGAAAAAATATCGAACCTTCATTTTAATCAAATGTCCTTCTAAAAATGTCAAAAAGAAGGAAAAAAGTTATTGAACCGGGTGCATGTCTAGAAACCCCTAGGGAACAGGTAAAACGAATGTTAATTAAGCTAATTAAAATACGGGACAAGAGAGATACATAAATGTAGGTCAAATTTGTAGCCGCAGTTCTCAATGCTTTAGGGTAATCCTTTCGTACGTGTTGTTCTCCTTATCACCAAAATATATAGAGATCCTCTTATGTCAAGAAAGAAATGGTAGTAAATCAAGATAACCCGAGCTTGTCAAATTCATTGATTTTTTATTGCAAATTATCAACTAGTTTTGATTCATTTACCTTTTCGTTACAATCTAATGTTCCCTCCTCATTAAGAGACACCCATCAGTTAATATGGAACGTATTTAATGTGCATTCTTTGTTGTATTTCATATTAAAATCTTTAGCGCTCTTAAGATAAAATCTGGAAATGCATGATTCTAATTAATAAAAATTGAACATTTTGTGACATGCACCAGCACTGTCACTAATTTCCATACGATAATAAGCATTTTAATTAATATTCCTATGTACAAAACGTGCATTTATCAAATAGGACTAGTAATATAGGTGCATCTTATGTAGATATAATAGCACAAAAATAGCGCAGTATAAAACGAAAAGTCACAGCAATTCATGACAGCCACATCATTCACGCTATGTGCCTCTGTTAAATACCTGTCATTTTCTTTTCCTGATTACAGTAAAAAATAGAAATGGAGATCTTGATATATCTTGGAACACGAAGAACGCTTTGAAGTGAACTTGAAGATGGCGGACAAAAGCCGATACAAAGTAGTTGCGTGCGCATTTTGGATAATTGCTGCTGCAACCATTGTATGCACGGCTCTATTTGCATCGGTGTGTCTGATTGGAATGTAAGTGAAAGTTTTCCTCTTAAAACAAAACAAAACAAAAAAAAAACTTCCCGTTTTCTCATATCATTGTGAATTAAGAAGTCTGCTCCAAGAATTCTTTCTTGTATCTCTGTTAGAGTAAATATTAAATAAGTTGAGTTGAAAATCCTTCAATCACAAAAGATAACTCTCTTTTCTCAATTCTATTTAAGTATTTTTAGCACACTTATTAATAATATTAAACTAATAATTTACATAATAATTATGTATGAGATATAAAAATACAATGTATATTATGTTATCCTTGGAATTAAATATTTGAAATTCTTTCCCTTAAAAAAATGTATCCCAGAAACGAAGGCATTTTGCATCTTCTCAGTCACATTTTCATATCCAACCCCTCTTGTAAACAACAAATTCGATCATCTAATCATAAGTTCAAAATAAAGAAAGATTTTTACACGCCAATAAGGTTTTCAACTCCTTTACTTCTGTCAACACTCATTGAATTATAATTTATTTGATACTTTTATCTATGTCAAATTATGTCATTTACTGTTCCTTTATTCCATCATATGTTAAGGGGCAGACCACTCTAACTGCATAAAGCTGCATGTACCTTGGATTTAGTTAATTCTTTAGTGAGCAGTGTTAAGAGCATACTAAAAGCTACTTAAGACAGCAAAATCTTGGTATAGTCATTGTCATTTGAGTAAACATTGACATGCATTTGCCTAGTCTAACAAAAGAGTCCATCGAGGTATAAAGGTCAAAGATGGGTGATTGACTGCAAGGTCAAAATCCTGACTAGCTAAAAATAAACCTGAAAAAGCACGAAATAGGTGACCTCATTAATCATCTGTATGTAGTTCGTACATGTATTTACGCGAGTATTTAATATCGCGAAATGAGTGGAAACGCCAACTGGTGCGAGTCTTTACATGTACAAGAGGCCCATGGGCCACATCGCTCACCTGAGTAACTTTGGCCATTCTTTTATTTAACAGATTTCCCCCTTTGTAATACCTATCTTGACTTGGTCAATCCCAGAGGGTCATGATTCGAATAATTTAGAATTTACACTACCCCAGGATGCTTCCACATACTTTAAGTTTTTTGCCCATTGGTTTTTAAATTTTTTTTTGCTTATATACTTCAGTGTAAAATTTTGATATCCTATTGTGGCCCTGCCCTACCCCTGGGGATCGTGATTTAAAAAAATCTAGATTCTACATTACCCCACGATGCTTCATATTAGTTTCAGCTTTTCTGGCCCAGAGGTTCTTGAGAAGAAGATTTTTAAAAACTTTTCCCCCATATATTTCAATATATAACTTGGATTTCCTATTGTAGCCCCGCCCTACCCCCGGGATCATGATTTTAATAATTTAGATTTTACACTACCCCACAGTGCTTCCACCATAAGTTTCAGCTTTTCTAGCCTAGTGGTTCTTGAGAAGAAGATTTTTAAATGACACCACTCTAATTTTGTCTTTTCTTGATTATCTCCCCTTGGAAGTGGGATTGGTCCTTTAGTTTTACAATTTAAACTCCCCTTCACCCAAGAATGCTTTGTAACAAGTTTGGTTAAATTGGCCTAGTGGTTCTTGCGAAGAAGTTGAAAATGTGAAAAGTTTACAGACGGACGGACTGACGACGGACATCGGGGGATCAGAAAAAGCACAATTGAGCTTTCAGCTCACGTGAGCTAAAACGAAGTAATGTATTTCACGCTTGATGCTTAAAATCTTGCCAAGTTACGCAATAGTTAAATCATTCCTTATACATAGAAATTAGTGTTTGAAATTCAAACGAGTTAGTATACATATCCAATTGATTTTGTGAACTTTAATTATAAACATTTGATTATTAGTAATTTCTATATCTCTATTTCAAATGCAGTACAAAAATCATGACCAAAGAATAAGCATGTACGGTGGTATATTTAGGACACGCATTTATTTTTTTTTTAAATACCAGAAAAAAATTATCTTGTGAAAACGACATAATTATCTTGTGAAAACGAGATATTATCTTGTGAAAACGACTTATTATCTTGTGAAAACGAGATATTATCTTGTGAAAACGAGATAATATCTTGTGAAAACGAGATATTATCTTGTGAAAACGAGATATAATCTTGTGAAAACGAGATAATATCTTGTGAAAACGAAATAATATCTTGTGAAAACGAGATATTATCTTGTGAAAACGAGATATTATCTTGTGAAAACGACATAATTATCTTGTGAAAACGAGATATTATCTTGTGAAAACGACTTATTATCTTGTGAAAACGAGATATTATCTTGTGAAAACGAGATATTATCTTGTGAAAACGAGAAATTATCTTGTGAAAACGAGATATTATCTTGAGACGAGATATTATCTTGTGAAAACGACATAATATCTTGTGAAAACGAATTACTTGTGAAAACGACTTATTATCTTGTGAAAACGAGATATTATCTTGTGGAAACGAGATATTATCTTGTGAAAAGGAGAAATTATCTTGTGAAAACGAGATATTATCTTGTGAAAAGACTTATTATCTTGTGAAAACGACATAATATAATAAGTCGTTTTCACAGGATAATATCTCGTTTTCACAAGATAATATGTCGTTTTCACAAGATAATATCTCGTTTTCACAAGATGATATCTCGTTTTCACAAGATATTATCTCGTTTTCACAAGATAATATCTCGTTTTCACAAGATAATAAGTCGTTTTCACAAGATAATTTCTCGTTTTCACGAGATAATATCTCGTTTTCACTAGAAATGTCGTTTTCACAAGATAATAAGTCGTTTTCACAAGATAATATCTCGTTTTCACAAGATAATTATGTCGTTTTCACAAGATAATATCTCGTTTTCACAAGATAATAAGTCGTTTTCACAAGATAATAAGTCGTTTTCACAAGATAATATCTCGTTTTCACAAGATAATTATCTCGTTTTCACAAGATAATTATATCGTTTTCACAAGATAATTTTTTCTGGTATTTAAAAAAAAAATAATTGCGTGTCCTAAATATACCACCGTAAGCATGGCATAAAGTAAATTAACATTTCGAAATTGCGAAATGTGAACTGATATCTTTTAAATTATCATTAATTTGTTTGTTGGTAGTCTGTCTCCATTTAGAAATTTTCAAAACTTGACATACTCTTGCATATCGAATCAGTTGTTACAAATGTACATATAGACACATATGCATCCAAGTGACAATGATTCATTCCTTCACAAACAGCTGCAGAAATGCTGAAGTTGAAGATAAAAAAAGAAGCCAGTACATTAAATATCATACAAAGTTTTGTTGTAAATTTTTCATTATCAATTTCTTTTTCTCGGAAAAAATCTCAATATAAATAAGTTTCGGATTCTGTGGTATCTTTTAGAAGTAAAAATAGTCCAGAATTGGTTAGGTAAAAGGTGTTTATGACTTGGGTGAATAAATTGGCACCCTGTTTTAAGTTTTAATTCATTTTATAACCATGATTTATCATTCGAATGCACTTTTTCATGTAATTGCTGATATAAATTTAACGACTGAAACAAAAATTGATTGCAAAATATTAAATATGTCATAATTTGAATGAGAAAGGACATTTTTCATTCCCACCAAAGGTTTTATAGTTTTGAAATATTTTTATTTGAGGTTGAATTTTTAACTAATTTTAAATTTGCTGCATTCATTCAAATTTATCCAAGACTATACGTTTTCTTTAAATTACAGAAGCGGCTGTTGTACGAGCGATGCCTGTGGTATGTTGGAGACCATCACTATAAGTCTGGTCCTTGTCACTCTGATGATGACATTCTTTCATTGCTACAGACAAAAGGTAAAAAAGTTGATAAACTTTAAATAGATAGTGTATTTAGTCTTTCTTAGTACTACTTACTAGTTTTACTAAAATTCAAAATTGTTCCTATAAAAAGTCTATACGAAAAAAGTATACCATTATTTATGTTTTACTAAGTGGGCATAAATATGTTGGACCGCTGAGTGAGATATTGGACCCGTCGATGAAATGTTTGACTGCTAACGCCACACAATTGATGGGATCGATTAAATCTCTTTTCCAGTCTAAGGTGTTTTACAGTGACTGAATTTATCGAGTGCAAACTCAGTTTACTTCACAGAAAAAGACAGAAAAAGAAACATGCATGTCAAAAATAAGTAATTTAAATTAAAAAAAATATAACAATACATTTATTGACTGCATTCTGCGACAAAATGCGTTTCATCGACCCTCGAGCCAAGCTGTTTGCATCAGGCCGTTTGGTTCTTGGTTTCGACAAAATGCACGTTGCCCTCGATCGCAGTCAAAAAAGTTATAATAGTTAACATTTGAATTATATTTTGTTGTAATTATTGTAGATAAAGCATGCAGAATCTCCCAGTTTTTATGTAGAAACAATGAATCTATCATCTGACACAAACATCAATACACGATACACCCCACTTCCGGTCAATATTGTTACTCAGGTAGAGGAGTATAGAGAAGACTTACTCAAAGCTGTACCGGAAACGGAAATACCAGAAGGTAAACATTCATCCACAAAATATTTTGTATAAAACACTTACCTCTTAGACTCTATATTCACTTTTTGGACCTAAATATTTCATCTTTACAACCCGAAGAGATACACGTATACGTCCCTCATTCTTCAGTTTCTGTATCTGGGCTTCCTTTAATCGGGTTGGTAGGTAACTTAAAGTCTACACAATATTCTCGATGGATTAATTTCTAGAGCAGTCATATATAAAATCATGTAGTTCCTATATTAAGTTGGGTTGACCCAACTATTTTAAATGATAAACCTATATTCTTGGGTTATTGCTATTGTTTAGAAAAAGTCGATTCAGCTCATTTCTGAGGTTAATAAAAATTCTTGTTCAGGCAGTGGAACTTTTCCAGAGCTTCTACATGTCAAGGTCTTGTGTACGTGTAGTTTTTCGATCATCCCTCAAATCAGATTGGTGTATATATGCATGTGGCTGTACCATGAACTATTGTTGAGCGCCCGTAAAAGTTTCTTTCAGTAAAAGAGGATAAGGTTCTTCTATTTTGTTTGATTTGCTCCCTATTACCTCTTGCTGTTATGCTATTATTTAACAAAAAAGTAATATTCATAAAAAAGATCAAGCATTTTCTAAAAATCAATTGAATTAATAGCATATAATTTATATTTGATACATTGACCATGAGATAAATATGATTTCACCATCTCATTTATATTCAGAGTTTGAGTGTGCAATATGCAATGACTGTAGTACTAGCAACGTCTCAAGACTTTCTTGTGAGCACTGTAAGTATATTTCCTTCTGAAAATACATAGTATTGTACATTGCAAAATACATTGTAAACACATTAAAGAAGATAAGTTGCATGAATACAAAACTAATTATAGACTAAGTTGGTACCAAAAATGAGTAAAATGTTTGTGACAAGAGACCTGATTTCCAAGTTAAGTAATAATATCCTGAAAAACGCATGATACTCGGATGACCACAAACGTATATGATCCCCTTGTTTTGTATCTGTAAAATGTAAACCAAGGGATACTTGAAGTTGCAGATTTATTTGGATCATATACGTAGCAAAATATTAATGCGTCAAATTGTTTCAGTACGCAGAACTTTTGTTAGATATTATAAAATAAGCAATATGCTGAGATAAGAAATGTTGAAGTACATGTTGTAAAGTTTATCGGAATTTTGGTAGTTTTGAATCAGTTTTTGACACATGTATGAATGTTATAATTTTAACGTGCAGTAGGGATGCTATATAGCTAATGCCTGTTGTTTACCTTTTTTTTACTAGTCTTCCACAAGTCCTGTGTACTACAGTGGTTCATATCAAACTCCCAGCACACCTGTCCGATCTGTCGGAGTTCCCAGATCCCCTCCAATCACCTGTTGATAATAACCGTCCTACCTAGTCTGAGTTCTCGACCAGCAAGAACTTCACAGGTAAGCATCTCTGAAATTGCAAATGCTTCTCTCCTTTAATGTTGTTTTGTTTTCGTTATACTTTATTTTAAAAATCATAGTAATATAATAGTAAATGTATATAACTTTACATCATATGCATGTCTATTTTGTAGTTATAAAGTTCGCTGGAGATAAGGATTGTGATTTTAAAAAATAGATTCTTCCTAAAGTGAGGCTTGTGAATCGTGAACATTTTCAGCCATGGAGGAGTGATATTGCTGAACGTAGAGACAGCAAAACAAACGCAGGAAGTGCTCAAGTTTCCTTACATATAACTACACTTACACTTCCCAATAGTGCTGAAAGCCATCTAAAGCTAAACTTAAAAAGTGGCGTACAATTAGAGTGTCACACAGAAATGTGTCATTTCTTGTCCAACGTCTATATTTTCGTGGTAAAGAACTTATTCTGTAAAGAGTTTAAGTGGACAAAATAGGAAGTGTACACGGATGTTAAACACCAGGAACTGAAAAGTATTAAAATAGCACATAAGTCGGCATTCAAAATACAGTATTCAGTGTTGTTAAATGTAGTACCGAAGTTTTACGAGTTTAATTTGGTAAAGATTTCCTCCTCTGTGATACAGCATTAAGTCTGATCGTGAGATATACGTAACTAACGGAATCAATTATCTATGGGGAAATTATGTATTTGTACTAAAATCACAGTAAAATGCATTTTACGTCAGCTTTAAATATGTCCTAGAAATACATGTATGTGTAATAACAACGAAATAATTGCTGATTGTAATTTTAAAATAAATTTCTATGAGGGAAAAACGTGTTCCTTAGTTTTTTAATTATTCTGTACAGTTTAGTTCTATTAAAGACTATCAAAAGTATTGAAAAAGATCTACTATTATTAATCCATTACTTTTTTGAATTTCTTCATAAAATCTTACAAGTCCTGTATCGAAATGTGGAGAGTTTTCATTTCATCGGTATTATTGAGAACTATTGTGTTATTAATAAATTGTGAGTTCGACAGTTAATTCCGTTTGCAAGTATCAAAGATCAATTCCGATGTAAAAAAAAATCTCTCATTTTCTTTTGAAAAATATTAAGAGATTTTCCGGAAATTTATTGTTACTTTTACTTTTAATTTTGCCTTCTTTTTGCAGACAAATCTAAACAAATTGATAGTCACTTAAATAAGGACTGAATGGTACGGTAATTTTGCTGAAAAGATCATAGTAAAATTTTGTAAAATGATGATTTTAGACGAAATTACTGTTGATATCCGTGTTTCATCAACTTGTATGTCTGTAGCATGCCTCCTTTTATAAATTGTTCAGTGTAGAGAATGTTATTGTAGATATTGATCAATTGAGAGACATAAACCCCATATGCGGTTAATAAGGATTTATTGAATATGCATTCATACTGTGTACACGGGAAAAACAACTTTTTGTTCATAATATATAGTAGCTACATGTATAGCCTTTAATAATTTGATACGAATGCATTTGATATCTATTTTTTTTTTATTTTTTGATATTTGATTCAGGTCTGCTCACATATGTTTAATCTACATCTCTATTTATCTGTTCAAATGTTTTTCATTAATTTAAGGAACATATAAAGTTAAGATTGGATAGGTGTCTATTTTGCGAAGCCAAAGAACAGAATTTTGTAGTAATATAGAGGGTCTGGTCTTTAAGTATGTTGTAAGAAAGTCATCAGACTATTGTTTAATTCAATGAAATATGAAGTTAACAAACAAAACAGTATTCAAGCTCAAAAGTTCATTCAAAAAATACAATACGAAATTCCATTATTTATTGCATAACGTTTTGATATGAACATTTTATCGTATGTCATTCAAAAGAAAATACCAAAGTTGAAATTTATGAAAATTAGGTGAAACATTAAAATCAAATCCAAGGCTGAAAAATCATAGCGTGCTCAGGAATTTCTTGTCACAGGTAAAACTGATGTCAAATATGACAGTCCTATCTCCTCTTAACCAAAAGTTACAAGGTAAAGTGACATTTTTGAACAGAAGGTCAAATATCAAGGTCAAGGTCACAGGGTCAAAAATCATAGTATATTTAGAAAGGTCTTTCTAGAAGTAATATACATGAATTATATCAAAGCTCTATCTTTTCACTTTAAAAGGTTATGCCCAATTTAATGTATTGTTCAAAATTTTTGGAAAGTAGGTGAAGCTTGAAGGACAGAATAACGGGGTCAAAATCATAGCATAGTATGATACATCCATGTATAATACCAAAAAAGGCCCCATGTCTTCTCAATAAAAAGTTATGACCAAGCATAAAGTTTTTGTGACATACGGGACGCATTCTGAAGACACTCGTACGGCACTTTGTCTATTTCCTGTATTTTAGGCAACCTATAGGATAGCAATACACCAAAAAGTTATTGTTAAATGTGTATTACATTGCAATTTGAATTTTTATGTCCCCATAATTAAAGATTTCGTAACTTACAGATTTTGCTCTGTTTATCCTTCTTCTATCTGCATGTCTCTTTTTGAAATTTTTCTGTTTGTCTGTTTCTGCAAAAAAAAAAAAAAAAAAAAAAAAAATTAATCCCTAGCTTTTGATTGGTTGATGCTTTTTATTCAAGACTCCCATTTCCTAGTTCCTATAGACCATCTGATGTTTAGGATATCTTATTGTAAAGATTCCTCAACTGTAGAGATATGATTTTACGTCAGATTCGGTGTGTATAAGTCTTAGGTTTTGACGTGGCGAGGTAAACGGGAATAGAAACCCAGACTTCCAGATTACGAGAGAAAACCTAGAGACAAAAAGTTCATAGACAGAATATTATTTAAAATGAAAAAAAAAACGACATTTAAAAAAATCCAAAAGAGAGAAAGACCGAATACTAAATTGCAAAATTTAGAGCTAGACAAAAAAGTTGGAACATAAAAAAAACTTTCCTAAAAGAGAAAAAAGACCATAGACTAATTTGGAAAATAGAAAAAAATCCTAGCATTTATAATAAAAAGCTATACACAACAAACGTGGCTATGAGAGAGTTAAAGTCGAAATAAGAAAAAAGGAAAACCTTGGAGATTGAGTTTGGTATTACTGATGCCTTGATCTTACAACAAAAACATGGGACATGTGTCAATGTAGAATCACTTGGACATTTTGAAGTCGATAGAAAATAGGTCGCAACTGGTTTTTTTTTCCACTAAGCATTCAACACTTTGTGGTAAAATTTGTAGGTCCTTGGGATAAGAAATTTAAAAAGCGAGGCCCAATGTCACTGCTGGCGTAAAGAACTCTCACTGCTCGATGGCTCTGAAAGCCAGTAAAGTCATAGATCTAAATTTGAAGCCGTTCTTATGTATAAAGTGATGTCTCACTGTCGTTTTCCGCTTCTGAACTAGCCCGGAGTGTTCCCTTTATGGACAATTAGGGTGACACTAATCATATTAAAAGTGTGAAATATATTAAACATTGCATAATAAAATTCTGAGCAATGAATTTCAACTTTATTATTTTACTCCTCGGAATTTCATCCTCACAGATTGGTAAGTAAGCGATAAGGAATATAAAATTAAATTAGTTTCTTGTTATGAAAATGCACATTAGTTCAATGCAAATGTATTGGTTTTTTTTACATTCTACGTCTCAAAAGTCACTTATACGTTAAGAAAATGTTGTATGTCTTTTTAACGTATTTGTTTGAGTAAGCTGTGGACTAAAATTTCAAATGCTGCCACATAATCAATCAGACAGGTTAAATTGATTCAATTCTAAAAAGGTACGGATAGATCATTTTTGTGACTACTTCAAATTTTAACATTTTTTAAAACACTTGATTTAATTTTCAATATTTTACCTTTTTTTATATTCCAGGTGTGTTTTTGATCACTATCTTTCTTAAATTATTTTACTTGGAAGCATCTAACCTCTGCGATGATTAATAGGCGAAGTCATTCATGTTCAGTTGAAACAAAAATTTCGAAAAGAGCCATTAAGCTTCCTTTCTGAGGAAACGGCCAAAGGGGCAAAATGAAAACCAACTATCCTTCTTTGTTCAGTAATTCAGAAGTGAAAAAAAAAAGAATTAGATAGGTAGATTACACAGTCAGTATGTTCTTGCACTGTTGACAAATCAGGCTTCAACATTATCTTTGTAAGGTTCATTATTTACATTGTATTTTAGAGGAACTGAGATTTAATGCTAATAGTGGTAATCCAGAATGAATCTGAATTACCATATCTGTACTGGATTAAAAAAATCCTCACAAACAAAGATTAGCGGGTTCCAATAACTGTTCAATCAAGCCACTTTCCTTACGCCTCACTAAAAATATTAACAGTAGTGAAGGAGAAGCCGCAGGGTACTGGGCAACAATATATTCCAGGGAACTTGGGGAAAATTTGAATTCACAAAATTCTACCAAAATCAACGGCATCAAAGCTCACGATTTTTCAACTTTATATACAACCATTCCCCACGATAAATTAAAGTCAGGCTTTTTGATATCACTGACAGCTGCTTTTTTAAAAAAAATACAACTCGTCACCGTGTCATTGATCATTTTCAAAATGGGTATCAAGTGCCCCCCCTCCCCCCCCCCCCTTAGCAGACTTATCTTTTGTATTCACATGAAGCAGAACTTGTCCAAAATCTTAAAAGTGAAAAGAAGAAAACAGTCACTGTGGCCTTCAACTCGAAAATTGGATATGCATGTATCAACGACGTATTCTCAATTAACAATAATTATTTCCTTTCTTCTGTCGATACGATATATCCCGGTGAGCTTGAAATAAAAGATACTATAGAGTCTGATACAATTGTTTCATATTTAGATATTTTACTTGAAAAAGACGTAAATGGTAATCTAATTACCAAGCTTTGTGACAAACGAGATAACTAACTTTTCAATCGTCAGCTTCCCTTACTTGTGCAGCAATATGCATTCATCACCTTCACAAGGGGTTTATATCGCTCAGTTGATTCGATACGCAAGAGCATGCTCTACGCATGACAAATTTTTAATACGAGGTAAGTTGGTGACAAACAAATTGCTAAAACAAGAATATCATAAGTCTCGTTTAAAGTCATCATTTCATAAGTCCTTTTCGTAAAATCTTCATCAAATACATTTATCATGAAGTCAAATGCTGACGTATTTCATTATAATTGTTAGGCAATTATACATACTAGGGATGTCAACGAATAGTCGACTATTCGACTGTCGGTCGAATGGACCGACGATCGAATAATGAAACAACATTCGAATATTATATAAATGCAAGAAAAGGGGTGATAGTGAAATTTTCGTCTCAAAAGGGTCCTTCCTCGAACTATACAGCTGTATAGTGTACGTGCTCAGACGAATAGGAGCCCAAACACAGTCACAGTATATAAATAATTTCCACATTGTACGTATGGAAATACAGTAATTATATACAGCAATAATTGTTTCTCAATCACTGAATTTTTTGTTATTGTACGTAGTAAATTATGCAACGCTACACTGGACTATGAAAATTATTTGATTGGCTTGTACCAATTTTATTTATAAACACTAGGAATTTCAAATGCTTAGGAACACACAATATTTGCATAGCCGTGATGTTTTAAAGTTCGATTATTATTAAAACAGTAATCTTACATAAAAGACATTTTGATACATAGCTTGGGCAATCAGTAATTGAACAAACAGTATATATTAAACATTTTCATCGGAGGTGTGGATAGTGTGTGTTTACAAACATTCCCCATTTCCAATTTATTTAAATTTTCCAATTTATTTTAATTAATAAGCTTTCAAACACACTGTGCTATAAACAAAATAAATAAATGCTCCGAATAGTCGACTATCGTTCGAATGATGCAATCAAATGTTTGACTAAGGAAAATTAATATTTTGACATCCCTTATACATTCACTACATTGTCGTCGGATTTTTCCGTTATTTCTCGATCATGACAAGGAGCAAACGGCGGGTGTGGCCGGTCGGCCGGGGATGCTCAATCTTCATGGCACCTAATCACACTCTCATATTTTGGAGGTCCGTGTTTGCTCTGCTCCTGCTTTTTATGCTTAGTGGACCTTTGAGCTTGAATACTGTTCGTTATCTCAGTATATTTCATTTCAATATGTAGATCATCTTTAACCAAAATCATGTAAATGTACTGAAGTCAGTCATATTCAAAAAAAAAAAATTGAAATTGTTTTTCTGATTAAGGGTCGCCTTTGGGAAAATTTGTCATCGTTTAGGTGGATACCACAATATTTACTATATTCTGCATAAATTGAATGATTTTCATATTTATTATATGAGGGAAGTTCAGGGAACTATTAATATTTAAATATCATTTTTGTGTGATTTGGTTTTACGCCCGTGCAAAGTAAGTTTGTATTTCGCTCTTTGATATTCCTTATAGAAGAAACAAATGAACAATGTCATCTTATTCAAATACCAATTAATGTTTTTGCCTGAATCTGTAAAACATTCATTGTTTGAAATCCCACTTTAAAATGTTTAGTGGATTATTTACTCTTTCAAAACGGTTATTTTATTCCAGTGAGATAATAAGGATAAGAAGTGTACACTAGACGTTTTACATGAGAAATGATATTCGCCCAATACGATTCAACTCATTGATGGTCAATCATCACTGACTTTGCTAAATATACACTTCTGTAATATCTACAAAAGTAGTATAGCTTGTACACTTAGGTATTTAATTGCAAATGTCAACTATATACATGTATATGAAATATTTTAAGAAGTAAGAATTTTTTAAGGATTCTACATTAATTAGTTCCTTTACTTTTTCATTTAAGTTTCATATATCGTGGAATTCGATTGGTAGAGAGGAAAAAGCACTTATGGACTTTAAGTTAATTTATTTTGAAACATATTTTGTTTAGAGTAGGCTTGCAACGAATATGAAATACAGAAAAAGAGCTGTTACTTCAGAATCTTTTGTCGTAAATCCCCCTTTTCTTTTCTTTTCTTTTTTTTTTTTTAAATATTTTCATTTGCTTATTTAAATAGAAAAAAAATTTAAACATTTAAAAAAAAAATTCAATACAATTCATCATATTCAACCTCTGATGTGTTGGAGTTTGGAGGTCCGTGTTTGCTCTGCTCCTATTTTGTATAGTTTAATGGACTTTGATCTTGAATACTGTTCGTTATCTCCATGATTATGTTTCACTTTAACAACGGCCTTAAACTTTTCGATAATGCACAGAGACGTTCATTTTTCTGGGGGTTTCTTCTACAAAATATCACACTTTTTGATACTAGTATTTGGTGACTTAAAGGCTCCAAATGAGGAATTCATTGGCCCTACTGATTATTTTTAACAAATTCAACTTTTATAGGCATGCATGGGTTCACTCTTCTAGTGGTATTTAGGGCAATCCTACTTCACTGTGAGCATAGTGACCACAAATTCATTTTGACAAATTCATATCTATTTTTCAAAGCATTTCTGTGATTTTCATATTGAATTTACAATTCAGGAAAGCAGAATCGTTGCTCTTGGCACCACGAACTAAGTAATTTTTATTTCTGCTTTTTGAAGTGAACAGTCATTTAGTTAATCTTGTTTTTCCCCATTCATTTTATTTTTGAAATAAAAACTTATGATCCCATTCTTAAAAAATCGGGGGCTTATGGATTTTGCTCTTGCAAATATCTTTTGGCAAAGAGAAGCTTTGGTTTTTATTGTATCTCACATGTGTATTTTTGGTGACATAGCCTTGCACTGCGTACCACCCCTTTTGATTTCTGAATATTGACCCTGGAGTTTGATTAACTTTTGCAATTTGTTCCTAGAAGTTTTCCTTGATCACAACTTGATCATAACATTTTAAACGATTTTGCTAGGACTGTCTTGCTCCATGTGTGTTCATTGTAGGGATGGCAATTTGTAACCGGTTAATTATTTGGTCCAAATGATGCTAATCGGTTAGAAAATCCGTAATCGGTTTTCTTGTTTTTATCTTGTCTATTCAAATTGAAATAAAATATACTCTTATGTACACAAAATCCCCCGATCAAAATAATAAATAGAATGTAACTTCTTTTTAGCCTTTTTGTGTATATGAAAAGAAAATGTCAGAATGTATATCTTGATACGACTAACCGGTTAATCGGTCGGAACGTTTCGCGGTTAACCGATTAGCAATTATGCAATCGATTGCATCCCTAGTTCATTGCAATTAAAAACTTTCTAGGACACAATAATTTTTTACCATTCGACCCAGTCCTTGGAGTTGATCCACTTAAAAAAAATAACCTTGGCCAAAGCCTTTGAACGGTTGGTGCCAGGGCTTTCATAATTTACATGTGTTTTATGGTGATGTTTCCTTCCTTCAAGACCCATTAATTTTGTGCTTTGACTTTAACCTTTGAGTTTGCATTACTTTTTAAAAACTTACACTTAACAGTTATAAAAATCAATGCAAGAACATTCATATTTCACATTTCTAGAGACAAAAGGTGTTTTCTTTGGGTACCAACATTTTGATATTTTGATTCTGACTTTTGAGTATGATTGTTTTCAGCAAAAAGGTTGCTAAATGAGTGTCATCATTTTATCATAGAGTCATTTAGTAAAATAATTCTTTCTTTGTTTTTCAATATTATACCCATAATTCCAAGGGTTAGAGGATGTATTTTAATTCAGTTATAAAATGAATCTCGCAAGTAACTAAGTCATTATAAATAAAAAAAATGTCTTCAATTATTTTTCTGACAGTGGAAATTTAGAGATGAAAAAATATTATACTAAGCATTATGTCATCTGTTCATAATACTTTTTAATGCATGTTTTGAATTTTAATCGGTTTATTTATTTACAGCTGTGATTCGAGATGTGTTTCTCAATTGGACAGAAGCAAGAAACGAATGCAAGAAGTCAAATTCACATCTATTAAACTTTTTCGAAATGAAAAATAGGCTTAAATACTTCAAAAGCGAATTAATACAAAACACAAAGTACTGGGTTGCGGAAACATGGATAGAAAAAATATATTTTGTGAAAGGTACGTGACAATTTACACAGATACTAATATGATTATCAATTAAGATTTCTATCAGGAAATGTTCTTAATTTTGGTTACATATAAAGGTAAGCATATATTACAAATTCTTCATTGACTGTGACTTTTATTTCTTTATCAAGGTTGTCAATCACAAATCCAAGGATTGTCAATTGGAATTTTTCAAGGACACCTCTTTTCAGAATGCGTGAAATATTGCGAAAATCAAAACTATACCACAATAGGACTACAGGTGAATTTCTTCTAAAATATTTTGGATTATCTAAATAATACAACATGTAATTTTCCTGAAATTTTGCATTGTAGGGATCCATTTGCTCGTGTATTGTCAAAGAAAATTTTGAGAACATGGAGTCCAATAGTTGCGACATTAAATGTGCTTGGAACAATATTTCATGTAGACGGGGAAAACGTTCATTTGCGATTTATCAGTTGGCAGAAGGTATGAATGAAATATATTTTAGAATAGATATCTTAGTTTTTAAATTTAAGTAGACAAAAGCTCTTATTTATACTATATCAGGATCACCTGATGTCTTCTAGGCTTTTTTCTTTAGGATTTTGATATTCAAAGTACCAAAAATGTCAGAATTATAAACATTGCAAACATTTCATCAACTCAAACCGGAGACAATGTCGATATTTGTGAATCTGATTTTTCAAACTCACTATTAATGAAATATGTGGATATAATGAACAGTATTCGAGCTCAAAATTCCATTAAACAATTCAAAACAGGAGCGGAGCATACATGGACCCCAAAAATTCAGAGGTGGGATTATGTGCCATGGAGGAGCGAGCATCCCTTGCCAACCTGCCACATCCATCGTGTGCTCCACGTATTATTAATAGCAATTTTTTCGTCAACATCGCTAAAAATCAGTTACCTTAAAAAGTAACGCTCAGTTTACTTTATACATGTATCACAATTATTCTCTTAAATTAAAGATAGATATCGAAATTTAATAGTGCGCGATTTCAAAACGAACATCGTTAATTTAGAATGCGCTATTTATAAGTTCTAAGAGCAATCTTTTATCTATAAGTTGTGAGTTAGCATTTAATATTCGGATTTAAAGTTTCAGAATTTGATTTTAAAAGTTGTGAATTTCTAGTTTTCACAGTGGTGCTCAGTTCTGGCATGTCCCGGCACGTCAGGTTTTAAAATCTTGGTAAAAGTTTTGAAAACGTTAAATAATTTAAACTTATCAGTTTTAAACGTAGTACACTAAAGACATGAATTATATAATTATGAAAAAGAAAATCATGAATAGATGAGTATTGAGGAGATCCCCATGCTTAACGAATCTTATTTAAAATATTGAATAATGTGCAGCATTGTCTGCCGAAAAATAAAATTTACAAAAAAAAGATGCAAAAAAGAGATGGTCAATATTTTTTGCTTGTATTTTATAGGTGTGCCCCAACGTCTCCCAGGTGAACTCTTCCACGATTGTGTTTATTATAATACGAGATCAAAGTTTTCAAGAGACGACTGTAATAAAAAATATCCCTTTATTTGTCAAGGTAAGTTACTTTTTGGATATTATATAAGATCACCAATCTGTAATAGAATGCGAAATTTTCATCACTTTCAAAACACCTCTGCAGCAAAATATTTTAACGGAATGCTCTAATCTTTTTTTTTTTCAAAAAATTATCTGAATCGTTTTGACAAAAAAAGAAATGTCGAGCATTTATCCCATGAATCCATAAGACATGGTTTTTGGTAAGGATAAAAACTTAATTCTAGTATTTTATTGTTGATATAGTCAAAACGTTTACATTTTATGCAGACAAAAGAAATCTATTTCTGTTGTAGGTAGAAATGGAGAGTTAATACTGCATGATATTTCATTCACATGGATGGAAGCTTATGAAAATTGCTCTAGAGAACACATGATTCTCGCTAATATAAACAAGAACACGATGCTTGGGATACGTAATATTGAAGACCATGGAAACTACTGGATTGGATTAAGACAGGTGTACATCCATCAAAAAGGTAAAATTCATTTTCATTCATCGTAAAAGTTATTTCTTAATCGTAATAAAAACGCAAAGGAACAGATGATAAATGTTAAACAAAAAGCTAAATCAAATAACAGTAAAATAAAACAAAATTGAAAACAAGTGATAAAAACATTCTTAAGAATAATCTTGAGAAGAATGCCTAGAAGTAGTTAACTGCTTTTAAAGCCTTAGTGATCCTAGGGGACTTGATCGATTTTCTTTTCAAAAAAGAATTACCTACATGATAATGAAATCTTTAAGTCATCTCTTTGCTTCACATTTGCAATCATTACTTGTTTAGAACTTATCTAGATTAATGGGAATAAACTTTTAAAAACTAGATCCATATTATGATACAAGTTTTGTTTTTTATTAGGAAAAATCGATATTCAATACCATCCTAATTTACTTAAAAGCTTGGGCAGAAACATTTGGACGTATCTAGATTTTTAAAAACTGTTTTTGTAGTAAAAAGTGAATAAATGTTTTCTTATTTTTCTCTGTAAATGACTTAAAACAATTTCAAAAGCAAGCGCAGAGTTATTTTTTTGGAAAATAAAAAAAAAATAAATATGCTGTACTTTATTTTCAGATATGAAATCGTTTCTATGTTCCTTTATTCAAAAGTATAATTCAATTGGTCTCCTAACATATTCCAGAGACGATTGCTCGAGAAATAAGCCATACCTTTGTTTAGAAGGTAAGGAAATGTCAATTTATATATTATATAAAATATTTTACTTGCATCTGTTATTGCAGAGTGTAAAATTACAATAATTACATGTATTGTGAAAAAAATTGAGCTTTGATTTGATTTTTGGTGAAAAAGCTCTTTGGCTATACATTATTTCCACAAGTTTCTTGGAATTTATAGAGAAGTTTACTTATCAATCAATAGATTTCTTTAAAATTAGTGATTTGTTATGTATTTTCTAATATACCTTCACGATATATGATTGTTAGAAAGGTCGGTCCGTGTTCGGATTGTCGTAGGTTCGCGCACTAGCCGCTACAAGTCAAAGTCTATGAAAAATAAAGCTTTGCCAAAGGCTTGTAACCTTGAAGGTTGCAAGTCTTTTGGATGATACCTTAATTACCAAAATTCTGTGTCATGGTAGGTATTTGGACAGTAAATATTCAATACTGTTGTACTACTAAAGTGTTTTGTATTCTTTCTAATGTATATTGGATGGATATAGATTTAATTAATTACTTTCATGCATAATTATAATTAATTTTAACCCAAGGCAGGCTGTTTACAGATGAGTTGGTGTTACAGGAATAACAACAATCATGTTACAAGTCTGCACGATGACTCACGGCGGATGTGACCAGTCAACAGGGATGTTTACTCCAACAAGACACCTGATTCCACATTTTGGATTTTCAGAAATATGTGTTTTATGCTCTTTTCACAGATCTCTATTGGTTTCGGAATTTGTTAGATCAATCACTGTTTTTTATATATCACATCTTAAAAATATGAACACAAATCAAATAAAATAAACATTTGCTGACACTTGTATTTGCTAACTGCTGCTACAACAAATTAAAGATCTTAATTCTTCTTTTCAAAAACGTGTACGTTTTTATCACAAATGACTAATAATATACAAAGGTATATTTAGTATATATCTAACTATCTATGCAAAAATGGTGCAGTATAAAACAATAAGTCACAGCGAATCATGACAGCCAAATCATTCACACTGTGCTCCTATTCAATACCTGTCACTTTCTTTTTCTGATTACAGTAAAAAATAGAAATGGAGCTCTGGACATATCTTAGAGCATGAAGAACGCTATAAAGTGAACTTGCGGATGGCGGACAAGAGAAGATACAGTAAATGCATGTGCATTGTGTTTTGGATAATTGTTGTCGCAACCATAGTGTGCACGGCTTTATTTACATTAGTATGTCTTATTGAAATGTAATTATTTTTAATATGGAAAAAAATTGCCAATTTTTATCATACCATTGTGAATTAATATAAGAAGAAATCTTTCTCATACATATGTATATGTTAGAGTAGATTTATTAAGTTGAAAAACTTTTGATCATACAATTAGAAATAAGATTACTCTCTTCCTTCAATTTTATTGAAATATCTTTAAGTACGCAAATTCATACGCTAGATATAATTTTTTTAGAGAGATAAATATGTATATTAGCGTTTCTTATTGTACAATTATTATTATATATTATTGTAAAACTTAGTAAATGTTATATGACTAGATATTATGTATGGGAGAGGATTATCAAAGTTTTTGGAATTTGTGTTCAATATGATCAAAATAAAACCAATAAATTTGACCATCTAATAATAAGTTCATGAAAGTAAGTACACGCAAATAATATTTTCAACTCCTTTACTCTGTCCACACTCAATTATAATTTATTGGTATCTTATCTATGTCAAATTGTGTGAAGTTATGTCATTTGCTGTTCCTTCATTCCATCATATCTCAAAGGGCAGATCACTCATCATAAAGCTACCTCGGATTTAGAACTCTTCAGAGAGCATCGTTAAAAGCTTCTTCAACTATTTCAGACAACAATTTTTTGGTATAGTAATTGTCATTTAAGTAAAAATTGACATGTATTTGCTTAGTCTAACTTTTACCAGACGATCAAAGAAATACCGGACCGCTGAGTGAGATATTAGACCTGTTCACGATATGTTAAACCGCTTACCTATCACAATGGGTCGGATCGATTAATTTTCATGTTCATTCGTTGCTGTTCAACAGTGACGGAAGTAACCGAGTTTAAACTCAGTTTACATCACAAAAGACAGAACAAGATACATGCATGTAAAAAAAAACATTAAAATTAAAATAAATGGTATATCAATCCATTTATTCATTTCATTCTCGGACAAAATGTGTTTTATTGACCCGCGAACCAAGCTGTTTGCATGAGGCCGTTTGGTTCATCGGTTCGACAAAACGCATGTTGCCCTCGATAGTAGTAAAAAATAAAATATTTTGAATTATATTTTGTTGCAATTATTGTATATTAATAATGCAGAATTTCCCAGTTCTTGAAATTGTTCTGGAAACGATGAACCTTTCGTCAGTCACGAACATCAATACACAATTACACCTCATTTCAGGTCAATATTGTTACTCATTTAGAGGAGTAGAGAGGAGACTTAATCAAAGCTGTACGGAAATTCCAGAAGGTGAACATTCATCGACAAAATATATCTTATAAAACACTTACATTTTAGAATCTTTATGAACTTTTTAGAACTAGAATTTTCATAAACAAAACCTGAAAAGATAATTTCCCTCACTCTTCAATCTCTGTATCTGAGTTTAATTGATTCGGGTTTGTAGGTACTATTAATTATACACACTTTTCTCAAAGGATTAAGTCACAAAGCAGACATAGTTCCTGTATTTAGATGGGTTGGCCAAACTATCTTCTTAAAAATTGTAACATATTCTTGGATTATTGCTTATTTTAAGAAAAAAGTCGGTTTACATGTAGCTCATTTCTGACATAATAAATAATTCTTGTTCAGTTAGTGGAACTTTTCCATGATTCCTGGACATTTCTTTAAGTTCAAGTCATTAAACCTTTTTGCACAACTTCTACCTATCTGAATTCAGATTCAATTGGAAAATGAAGAAAATGTAAAATCTATAGTTAATGTTACATGCAAATGGATTGACTACCAATGTTTTCTTTGTAGCAGTGTCTATGTGAAGTTACAAACCTAGTTCCCAGGCCTTCATTCAAATCAAACTAGTTCAAATGATTATACCTGTACCATAAAATTTGTTGCTCGATTATTAAAGTTTCTTTTAACAAATGACAATAAGGTTCTTCTATTTTGTTTGATTTGCTCCCCATTATCTCTTATTATAATTTAACAAAATAAGCAATATTCATAAAAAATGATCAAGAAATTTCCAAAAATCAGCTAAATTGCGTTTTTAAAAAAAATTCAAATGAATTGATAGCATAAACTTTATATTTGATACATGGACCAAGAGATAAATATGACTTCACCATCTCTTTTATATTTAGAGTTTGAATGTGCAATACATGTATGCAATGACAGTAGTACTAGCAACGTCTCAAGACTCTCTTGTAAAACTTGTATGTATATTTCAGTCTGAAAATACGTTGTAAACATATTTAAGAAGATAAACTGCATGAATACAAAAGTAATTATAAACTGATTTGGTGCAAAAAATTATGAGTGAAATGTTTGTCATATGAGCTAAGTGTTCCAACTCAAGTAATAATATCATGAGAACCGCATATTTCTAAGGTGACAACAAAACTATATAATTCCCTTGTTTTGTACCTGTAAGATGTAAGTCAACTGATACTTGATGTTGCAGATTTATTTAGATCATAAACGTAGCAAAAATTAATACGACAAAACGTCTCAGCAGGCAGAACTTTTGTTAGACATTTTAAAATAAGTAATATGTTAAGATGAGAAATGTCGAATTTAAGTTTATTGATATTTTGTAGTATTGTATCAGTGTTTGACACATTTATGCATGTTATAATTTTAAAGTGCATCTTTGTTTCGAGGAATACTGAGTACTAATGCCTGTTGTTGACCTTTTTACTAGTTTTCCACAAGGCCTGTGTACTACAGTAGTTCATATCGAACTCCCAGCACACCTGTCCGATCTGTCGGAGTTCCCAGATCCCCTCCAATCACCTGTTGATAATAACCGTCCTACCTAGTCTGAGTTCTCGACCAGCAAGAACTTCACAGGTAAGTATTTTTGAAATTTGAAATGCTTTGGTTCTTTTTACGTTGTTTTGTTTTCGTTATATATCATTTGAAAAGTCATAATAATACATTACTATATATAAAATAATATAATATGCCTGTTTATTTTGTAGTTATAAAGTTCACTGGAGATGAGGATCATGATTTAAAAAAAAAAGAATCTTATTAAAGTGGTTTTTGTGAATGGTGAACATTTTCAGCCATGGAGAAGTGCTTATGCTGAACCTGAAGACAGCAAAACAAAACAGGAAGTGCTCCTGTCTCCTTACATATAACTTCACTTACACTTCCCTGTAGTGCTGAAAGCCATCTTAAGCTAAACTTAACAAGAGACCCAGGGGCCACAGCGCTCACCTGAGCACATCGGGCTTGAATTTACTCCCCCCTTCCAGGCGTTCATCATTTGAACTAACTAGAATCTACACTACCTGAGGATGATTCCATATAAATACCCCGGGTATCACTAATCATAGCTTTGAAGTACTTGAAAAGAAGATTTTAAAAGGTTTCCCTATATATCCCTATGTAAAACTTGGGTCGGCCATTTTGGCCCCACCCTATCCCCAGGCCGGGGGTCATGATTTGAAAAACTTGAATCTACAATACCTGAGGATGATTCCACATGAGTTTCATCTTTCCTGGCCCAGTGGTTCTGGAGAAGAAGATTTTTAAAGATTTTTCCTATGAAAAAATTGGGTCGGCCATTTTGGCCCCAACCTTGCCCCGGGGGTCATGATTTGAACAAACTTGAATCTACACTATCTGAGGATGATTCCACATGAGTTTCATCTTTTCTGTCCTAGTGGTTCTTGAGAAGAAGATTTTTAAAGATTTTTCTTATATATTCCTATGTAAAACTAGGGTCGGCCATTTTGGCCCCATCCTTGCCACGGGGGTCATGATTTGAACAAACTTGAATCTACACTACCTGAGGATTACTCCACATAAGTTTCATCTTTCCTGGCCCAGTGGTTCTAGAGAAGAAGATTTTTAAAGATTTTTCCTATATATTCCTATGTAAAACTTGGGTCGGCCATTTTGGCCCCACCCTTGCCCCGGGGGTCATGATTTGAACAAACTTGAATCTACACTACCTGAGGATGATTCCACAAGAATTTCATCTTTCCTGGCTCAGTGGTTCTGGAGAAGATGATTTTTAAAGATTTTTCCTATATATTCCTATGTAAAACTAGGGTCGGCCATTTTGGCCCCACCCTTGTCCCGGGGGTCATGATTTGAACAAACTTGAATCTACACTACCTGAGGATGCTTCCACATGAGTTTCATCTTTCCTGGCCCAGCGGTTCTGGAGAAGAAGATTTTTTAAAAATGCCATAAATTTTTAACAAATTCATGATTATCTCCCCTTGGAAAAAGGCGTGGCCCTTCATTTGAACAAACTTGAATCCCCTTTACCCAAGGATACTTTGTGCCAAGTTTGGTTGAAATTGGCTCAGTGGTTCTTGAGAAGAAGATGAAAATGTGAAAAGTTTACAACGACAACGATGACAACGACAACGACGACAACGACAGACGACGGACAAATTTTGATCAGAAAAGCTCACTTGAGCCTTCGGCTCAGGTGAGCTAAAAAGTGGCCTACAATTAGAGTGTCACACAGAAATGTGTCATTCCTTGTCCAACGTACGTCTTTATTTTAGAGCCGAAGTGCTGCAAAGAGTTTCAGGTGACAATTTAGTAAAGTGTACAATGTACACTGTTAAAAACATTGAGAAGTGCAAACCATCACTTTCTGTCGGCATTCAAAATATGTAGTATTCAGAGTTGATGGTACCAAAATAGTATCAGTTTAATTTGGTACTGTTATCCTTTTCTATGAAGAGCATAGTTTACTCGTTTGATTTCGTCACTAACATAGTCAAACACATTTTTAATCATCTTTTAATATGATTGTTTGAAAAATGAATAAATGCATGTATGTGTAACTACAACTAATACAAATAATTGCTGATCTTCATTTTTAAAAAAATTTTGACGAGAAATAAAATAGTTTTTAGCTTTGCCACTTATACTTAATTTTCTACTCCTATTGAATGATTATCAGCAATTGGAAAAGGTAAATATTGAAAAAGGTATTATTGCATTATTTATAACGTTTTAACAGCGAAAGAAAAATATATGTAAAAAAGAAAATTTTGCATTTGATATCAAATTAAGGGCCTGTTTGCCTTTTGACACCTATAAGTGTTTGTGAAATATGTGGAGATAACGAACAATATTCAAGCTCAAAATTCCATTTAACATTATGAATTAGAAGCAGAGCAAACACGGAGCTCCAAAACATAGGTGAGATCAGGTGCGATGGAGGAGTAAGCATCCCTGCTAACCGGTTTCGCTCGCTGTGTGCTCCTGGTCATGACCGGGAAATACTTAGAAAAAAATCCATCGGCAATTCAGTTCAGGATATACCGGTAAATAACGATCTAACAATTATTATAAAATCTACACTAGAAATTATTAGTACATAAATAATGCTCTTGTGCATCAAATCAACTGAGAAATATAAATCCCGTATGAGGGTGAAGAAGGCAATTTACCGATTAAGTAAGGGACTTTGACGATTGAAAAGTTAAAGTCATGTTTGCATACAACGAGTGCAGTAAGTACCTGTGTAATTTTTGACATATTGTCGAAAAAAACTTGATCTTCTATACATTTATACATAAGTGCAATACACTATATAAAATCATACTGTGCGCACGAATTTTTTTTTTTGCCCGTATCCAATAATAACAATTGACTATAACCTTAGATATTTTAATTCGGATACTTTTTCATGACCTAAATATTTAATGTAGAACTAATCACATATGCTTAATATACAAATATATCTATTCATTGAGAGGTTTTCATTTAACTTAAAGTTAAAATTGTACAGGATGTCTATTCTGCGAAACCAAAGAAGAGGATTTTTGAGTTATATCGCGGGTTTTGTCTAATTGTATGCCATAAATAAGTCATCAGAATATTAATTGTGTAATTCAACGTAATATGTAGACAAACAGTTTTCAAGCTCAAAAGTCCGTTCAAACAATGCTTTCAGGAGCAGAGCAAACGAGGACCTCTAAAACATTAGAGGTAGGGTCAGGTGCCATGGAGAAATGAACATGCCCTGCCGACTGGCTTAACCCTCCTTGACACTATCATAAAAAAGCTAATGAAAATACGTTTTCAATTCATTGTGTAAATAATGGCCTAACATTTGGTATTAAAAAAAAACACCAGCCAGCATTTGGCTGATTAATATATTACATGTAACACAAAAATGCTCTTCTTTGCTCTGCACATGAAATAAAAAAAAGTAATGAATACCTAACCATACCTCATTGAAATAAACCCTTTTATAAGGAGATTTGTAGAATAATAAAACAATTTCATTCGAAGTCTTTCATACTGCATATTTGGCTCAGTATCTTACGCTACCTTACTTTAGGATAGCTATATTCCGTATATTCATCTTTTAACATGCATTACATAGCGGTTGAATTTTTTATGTCCCCAAAACTGAATATTTCGGAACTTATTGTATTTACTCTATTTATCTGTCTATCTCCTGTAGGCTGTCTGCGAAAACTTAAACCTTGCCCACAGCGTTTTATTGGGTGACGTTATATTGGCATTTAATATTTCACATATATACTTCTTGTGAAAGACTTTTCTTACTATCATTAAGTGTTTATGGTAAGTAGAAGAAGTAAACATTAGATACTCTTTGTATTGTATCTGGAACGTGGAAATACAACATAGATAAACATGTTTAAGGAAATTTAATCCCCCGCCAATAAACGCTTTCTGGATAATCTTCTTTCCTGAGAAAAAAAAGAGATCAACAATTTGGAAAAAAAAAAACTTTTTAATTCATACAGGGCATAAAACTTGAAAATGTCGTTCTTAGAGGCCTATTATTAAGAAAACAATACAATTTTACAATTATGCAACATACAAATTTTTATCCATCTCTCATATTTCACATGTACATTACCTTGAAAAAACTTTTGCAAGTAAACTTGACTTTTGAAAATTTGTACAATGGGAATTTTTTCTTCATTTTTTTAAAATAAATAATCATGTAAACAATTGTGACAGATTCTGTGGTGTATTTTACTGGGATATATATCCAGTTCACATACGAAAGAAAATAACTATTGATAAAATATCGTCGATATATCTGAATATGGAATTGAAGGTAATACTTTTTTCTCTTCTGGTGTAGAGGGTTTTGAATAAATTCTGCTTTGTAGGAATACAAAAATAGGTCAGCTTATCAAGGAATAGTCTTCACCAGAATTCAAAAAGTTTGTTGGAATCTATGACTCAAAAACCTGCGAAAACGTGAAACTCCAACACCCTTTTAATATCAACGTCACAGTACTTGTACAGAGTGTTTTAACGAAGTAATTTTGCTGATGACCAATCTGAAGATGAGGACATTTCCGAGTACCGATTTTATTTAAGAAGCAGTTGTCTATGATATCACAGAATCTTGATTTGAATTATCGAGCGCAATTGTTTAAAGTGGGAAATAAATTTGATGTATATAAACCTTTGAAAAATTTAGTGATTGTGAAGTTTTTAAAAGTTCTTTTAAGTTTTAAGGATCAACAATCGAATTAAACTACCTCTAAAAATAAGCTGTAGCACGTACAGTGGGTCTCAAGATTCTTCTTTACAACAGTCAATATTTTTGTAAGAGTAAAGACAAGGGATTCAGCAATGTATGTTTGTTTATTTCTTCCTTGAAAATACATGAGGTAACGAACATTATTCAAGCTAAAAAGTCCATAAAACAATACAAATTTGAGCAGAGAAAATATACGGAACTCCATAACATGTGGTAGAGGGGGGATCAGGCGCCATGGAGGAGTAAGTATCCCCTGTCGACCGGGCACACCCGTCGTGTGCTCTTTGTCATTATCGGGGAAAACAGAAAAATCCGTCGATTAATTCTTTGTGTACTCGTATATAATGGCCTAAAAATTAGGATGAAAGTTGTCAGTCAGCATTTTACTTATTTAATGATGAATTCGCTGACAAGGTCATTGAATCGACCATAGAACTTACGAAATGATGACTTTAAACAAGACTGCTGATTTAAGTTGACTGTTGGTACCGGTATATTTTTTTTTCAAATCACAATTATAGTGATAAATCCTATAGGAAAAGACGATATTGTTATATGTCTTGTCTGCTGGAACCATTGAATATTCTTCTTGTAATGACTCTAGCTCTTAATTTCAAGACTTCTAGTTTATAAACACGGAAGAGTATATGGTTCGCAATTTGCCTTTATATTATCTATTGCGAATATTTTTATAGATACATGTATTCCTAAAACAACTTATCTATTTTGACAAAGCGTTTAGGTTTTACTTTTCATATTAGCCCAGCGTTTTAAACAATCTTCGACAGAATTCACAATGAAATAAAGTTATGTAGCCGGGCTGCTGTTTTTTTCGACAGCTTCAAGGTCTGCATTTTCAACTATTAAACTACCCCAAAAAATTACATGGCCATCACGACTGTAATCGAAAGACGAATAAGAGCAAGAAAACTTAATAGGATTTTGTTTTAGATTTTCAATATCTATAGGCAGTGTAGGGGTTGTTTGTAATTGAACAGTCTGGACCCTACAAATTCTCGAATGGGACATAAAACAACAATCAATAGCATCTGTTAAATTACTGTAAAAATCATTCAAGAAAATAACTGTGCAATGAATAATTTACAAAATAATTTTTATTACAAATACATAAGACAGAACGTAGATGTCATTCAGTCTATCAGAGATACATTTTTTTTGATTCAAAAATCAACCATATCATGTTGTTGAGTCAGCAAAACATGACGACTTAGTATTTTTCTATCAGTTGTATCGCACTTCTGTTCAAACATTTTCAGACCATATCTTTTCATCCTCCATATTATCGTTGCATCGTCTGCACTATTGTTTTCCGCGTGTGTACATTGCCCGGAAATCAGTCAGGATGTGATTGTTTCCTTTTCCTGATACAACTAGGCTGACACATATAATGTGTGGATATTGTATGTTTTACATTGCATAATAGAATTCTGAACAATGAATTTCAACTTTATTATTATACTTCTCGGAATTTCTTTCTCACAGATTGGTAAGTTAGCGATAACGAATCTAAAATTAAATTTGTTTCCTGTTCTGAGGGTACACATTAATTCATGATCAGTTCATATGTAATAAACATGTTTCTTTTTTATTTCTACATCTCAAAAGTCACTTACACATCAACGAAATGGTGTTTGGCATTTTAATGTATTTGTGAGAGTTTAGCTTATGAATAACATTGTACATGTATATATTTAATCAGACGGGAGAAAGTGATATATAAGTGAGTCTTTCGTGTACTACTTCTGTTATCTTTTAACCTTATTTTAAACGTTAAGTTTTGTTTTTAGATCATTTTTCAGCCTATTTGTTATACTGATATATGTATTGTCAATGTCCTGTTAGATGGTAGCCTCTGGCTTCTGATATTATGGTTTGAGAAAAAAAACTTTTTAGAGTCACTTGAAAATAGAATACTAGTATCTGAAATGTTGATGTACATGTACTTAAAAAAAAAGGTTGCAGTTGAAGATAATCATCTGATTCAAATGACGACTAATGTTAGTGTGCCTGACTATGTGTAACATTTTTTGACGTTTTATTGTGACACTTAAAATCCATAAGTGGAGTTTTTACTATGTTAAGCAGTAGTTTTATAACAATTAAATTAAAGCTAAGTATACACTAGACTTTACATTTGGGAAAACAAAAATGATCTTCGTTTGATCCTATTTGATTAATTAATGGTTATTTATGACTAACATGACTGAATGAAGTTCATATCTTCAAGGGTACCTCTTCTAAAAATGTGACCCTAGGGAAAAAGATTAGGCAGAATAGCTTCATCTCTCAGTTAATTTTGCTTTATACATGTTAGGAGTGTTTACAGTGTTGTTTTATACGCAGATGACCGTTAAGGTCCCTATGTCTCTTGTATTCTTTTAACTTTTTGGTCAATACTTTATACGCATGAGCTTTTTTCTGTAAATGACATAAATGGCTAAAATTCTTCTCAGGCAACTGTATAAAATTACACTGTACTTCTTTGTGATTTTAAGACAGAATTTCTTATCTAAGAAAATAGGGTTGGGTTGATATTTGTACCTTCAGATGCTTAGTTAATGTTTTGTTTTCAATATTTTAACATACCTACGAGTATAGTTTGTTTTAGTAGATTAAAATGAGAATTAAGAAAATAATACTACATTTTTTCCCTACATTTTAACAAAACTAAATACAATAAGATAAAAACTGTTTTTCTAAACATTACCAAAACTAGATATTTTTATCTTAATCTTGTTTCTCTTACTGCATTCGGCTAGAACTTCAATAAATATTTATCTTAAAAAAAGATAAATAAACAAAGGTTGCTTATCGAGTTTGTACAATTAAATCTTGAGTCATAGTTAAGCAATCATGGTAAAACTTTGTTTTTCGTAATACTGTGTCCAAAGAAAACAATATTAGCGTTGTCCTAAAAATAGCAAATATTGTACAGTTTAGGGAAGGTATATCTTATTTTAATGATGGATATTGATATGGAAATAACGAACAGTATTCAATATCAAAGGCCATAAAACAATACAAAATAGGAGCAGAGCAAACACGGACCTCCAAAACATCAGGGGTATGATCAAATGCTATGGAGGATTGAGCATCTCCTGCCAACCGGCCACACCCGCCCTGTGCTTCTTGTCATGATCGGGAAATAACGGGGAAATCCGTTTATTGATTTATAAAATGAATTCAATGAGTTATGCCGTCATATTGTATTTCACAGAAAATATTTTTAATTAATTTTCTAACAGGAGATAACTATAAGATTTTTTATGTATATATATTAAGCGATATTTAAATGTTAAAAATTAGTTTTATTTCATGTTTTGACATTTCAATTGATTTATTTAACGTTTCTATAGTGATGGAACGATCAGTTGTGATTAGGGATGTGGCTCTTAATTGGACAGAAGCAAGAACCGCATGCAGGGGCTCAAAATCACATCTTTTAAACTTTTTTGAAATGAAAAATAGACTTGAATACTTAAAAGGCAATTTAAAAGAAACTACAAAGTACTGGGTTGCAGATACATGGATACCAAAACTATTGTTTGTGAAAGGTAGGCGCTAGCACAAATACTAGTATAAAAAATAAGATGGTGAAATATTTTGTTAAAAATGGAACAGTTTGTTCTTCATTGTGGTTGTTTAAGGTCAGACGACATCTTCCTCAAATATATTTTTTGCATCTCTTGGTATAATATCAAGAAATATTGATATTTGTCATTTTCTTATGATTTATACATTGTTTTCAATATGTTTTTAAATATAAGTACACCAAAAATTGTAATATAGGACATTCAGAAGGTTACCCAAAAGGTTTTCATAAGAATTATCAGCCTGTGGTATCTTGTCAAAATGTCTGGTAAGGTACCCTAATTTTTTGTGAGGAAACTTGTTTAAGTACCTATACTTCAATAACAAATTCTTAAGAAAAATTATATATTTTTGAGGAACGTGTCGTCTGACCTTAAAGGTAAGCATAAATGTATAAGATATTTAGGTATTTTTCCTTTATCTGCTGTGGTTTTTACGCTTTATCAAGGTTGTCAATCAAAAACCAACATATTGTCGACAAGAATATTTGAAGGAAACATCCTTTCAGAATGTGTGAAATATTGCGAAAATCAAAGCTATAACACTATTGGAATACAGGTAAGTTCTCCATTTAAGCCTGTTGAAAGTAAGTCTACTTGATGTTTGTAGATCTAACTAACATTCTAAATATTTGTGTTATTTTACTTATATTACATGAATTTTTACAGAAACTGTGCATTGTAGGGATACAATTGTTCCTGTATTGTCGAACAAAATCTTCCAAATTTGGAGTCCAATAGTTGCGACATGAAATGTGCTTGGACCAATATTTCATGCAGAGCGGAAAAACGTTCATTTGCTGTTTATCAGTTGGCAAATGGTAAGAATGAAATATTTTTCACAAAATGGAATATAAAACTTTTTTTTAATTTAGGTGGACGATCATATTACTCGTACCTTAAGCTTGTCTAAACACCAGATGTCTTAAATGTTTGTTTTTTCTTTAGAGTTTTGATATTTAAAAAATCCTAAAAACATCAAAACTGGCAACATTTTGAAATGTTGCCATTTCCAATCAGAGTCAATTTTGATATTTGCGAAGCGGATTAAAATGTCAAACACATTTTATTAATAACCATTTCCTCATCAACGTCGCTTAAAATTAGTAACATTAACACCACTTTGTTCACTTTATAGTTTATATTACAACAACTACTCTCATAGATTCTTGATCAGACTTCCCAACATCATTAACATAAACATTTTTTGGATATATTAGTTATTTTTATATGCTTCCTATTTTTATTTTTTTCTTATTTTCATATATATGGTAGAGATGTCACACAAAGATACAAAATGATATAAAAACAAAAAGTTGCGATCATTTACTAAGAGAGAAAAAACTCTTTTATGGATATTTGGTTCAATTCTGTACTTTGATTGGAAACTTTTTGAAGGTAACATAATTGCAGTTTGTTTGGGAAAACATTTTAATGAAAAATATGGAAATAACGAACAGTATTCTGGCTCAACGTCTATAAAACAATACAAAATAGGAGAAGAGCAAACAAGGACCTTCAAAACATCAGAAGTGGGATCAGGTACCATGGAGGAATAAGCATACCCTACCGACGGGTCAAAACCGCCGTGTCTCCTCGTCATGTTCAGGAAAAAACCTAAACATTCGTCGACAACACAGTGTGTATAACGAGCATCTTTTTAACATCAACTTTAGAGTACTTATGTGTACAATCGAATTGTTTTTAATAAAGTAAATTTGCAAATGACCAATGATAAGTTAAGTTAATTTACGAGTACCATTTTTATTGAAAAAGCAGCTTTAAATGATTCAGAATTTAGCCTGAACTTTAATTTATCGTGGGTATAAAAAGTAGAAAAGTCGTAAGTTTTCATATTGTTGATTTGGTATTTTGGTATTTTCAAATGTTCAAAAAAATTTTGATTTCATCTTAAACTTCATGGGTTATTGAAACTCATACAACGATACCCCCCAAAAGTGAAAATCAAAAACATCTTCAATGTCTCCACCGCGCATCTGCCACAACCTTGATTCTCATATGCATTAAATTCATCAAAGTGTTTATCTTCCAAACCCTGGCTATAACAGGCATGGCTAACCACACCGAAAAATTAGTCAAACGAAGCGCGCATGCGCCAGTGAGAGGAACACGAACGTAAACTTGATCGGCTCAAAAACACGAATTGCGCTATTGGTTTCTTTCAGTTTTGGGATGAATGTAATGATTATGATAGTCTGCTTTATTAACAGTGGTTTTTGTGCTGGTTGGGTGGCGATTAAACAGGTGGCAAAACGAATGACCCGAACTTTACGTGACTCTGTTTCGCGTTAACGTCATCGTCACGGTTGGTTGAAAACCATTCCAGGCCATCTCTGACAAAGGCTTACACGTTCTATGGGGGGAAATTTACAAGATACTGCTCAGTATCCCATTGTCGCCTTTGTCCTCACTTACGCAATTCGAAAGCCAGACCCCATGGAACTTCCGTAAACTGTACAAAGATTGCAAGAAATTCATATCGTCCGTAAATATTAAAAAGCAATGTGTATACGTCAGGTGCATCAAATGGTACAATAAAATTTGTTGACAAACCCGTCTTCATCAATTTGCATGTGTTTTGGGGGTCTGGCTTTCGAATTGCATAAGTGAGAAGATGGAGTCTTGATGCCTTTATGCAAAACCGAGCTTAAATATAATTTTCAATATTATGCTTGATGGTCCGCAGAAGACATATTTTGAAAAAATGAAAACAGATGACCAATATAATTTATTTCATTATCTTGTACAATTTAGATGTTCTCCGTCGTCTCGGAGGGACACAGTTTCAAGATTGTGTTTATTATAATACGTTTTATGAAACATTTACAAGAGACGATTGTAACTCAGAACTCCCCTTTATTTGTCAAGGTAAGATATGTTTCGCATATGAATTAGTTGTCTTCTATATAAGTAATAGGATATGTTAATGTTTTAAGTAACATAAATATTTGTTTTGAAAATCTTTCAGACTTATTGTATTTTAGTAATGGGGTTTGCAATGAATGTAGCTGTAAACACATTTTCTAAAAGCAGCACTTGCATTAAATACAAGGAGGTAGAAAAAAGGGTTTACATATCTATCACAAATTATATTAATCCCATTATTTTCAATAATGTTGTAATATGTTTTTGTTGTAGGTATAATCCAAAAGTTTATATGTAGTTTGTTGTAGAAAAAGTAGAAAATTTGCATTTTGTTGTAGATAGAAATGGAGATTTAAAACCTCACGACGTCCCATTAACATGGATGGAAGCTGATAAAAATTGTTCAGAAGAAGACATGATTCTTGCTAATGTCAATAATGAAACAATACCCAGAAGATATAATACTAAATACAAGGGAAACTACTGGATTGGATTAAGACAGTCGTACATCTATCAATCAGGTATGTTTTATTTTCGGTCGTCGTTATACATGATTTTAAATCTTGCAGAATTTGACCAAAATCTTATACATGTACATGAAAAGAAGAAACACTTGCTGTGGTCTTCAACTCGACATACAGATATATCGACTACGTATTGTCAATTTACAGTGATTATTTCCATTCTTATTTTAATACGACACATATATCCCGGTGAGCTTGAAATAAAAATACCACAGTCTTACAAATCTGTTTCATATTTAGATATTTTACTTGAAAAAGACGTTAATGATTATCTAACATCCAAGCTTTACGATAAACGTGATGATTTTAACTTTTCGATCGTCAACTTCCCTTTCTAATGCAGCAATATACCTCCAAAACCTGCATACTGGATTTATATCTCTCAGTTGATTTGATATGCAAGAGCATGCTCTACATATGAACAATTTCTAAAAGGAGGAAATTTTTTAGAATACAAATTTCTGAATCAAGAATACCTTGTCAGCAAATACAATTTATTATGGAGTCAAATGATGACTGACGTTTTTCATACTAATTGTTAAACAATTATTTTCACACTGAATTGTCGACGGATTTTTCCGTTATTTCCCGATCATGACAAGGAGCACATGGCGGGTATGACCAGTCGGCAGGAGATGCTCAATAAACCATGGTACTTGATCCGAAATCTGATTTTTTGGGGGGTCCGTCTGTACTCTGCTCATTTTGTATTCTTTACTGGACTTTTGAGCTTGAATACTGTTCGTTATCGCCATAAACTAGTACTTCAATTCACTAAAATTTTTATATGTAAGTTTTTATTGCTTATTTCTTAAATTAGCTTAATAGTTCACCTGAGTGTAAAGCTCAGGTGAAATTTTCTGGTCAACCATTGTCTGTCGTCCGTCTGGCCGTCCCTCTGTAAACTTTTCACATTTTCAATTTCTTCATAAGAACCACTGGGTCAATATTAACCAAACTTTGTACAAAGCATCCTTGGGTAAAGGGGAGTTTAAACTGTTAAAATGAATAACATGGACTTGTCCCCTAACAAGGGGGATAATCAAGAAAAGACGAAACTTATGTGGAAGCATCCTGGGGTAGTGTAGATTCTAAATTGTTCCAAGCATGAGCCCGGGCCTAAGGCGGGGTCGTAATAGGGAATTCAAGTTTCACATTGAAATATATATTTTAAAAAATCTTTAAAAATCTTCTCAAGATTCACCGGGTCAGGAAAGCTGAAACTTACGCACGTGGGTGCAAATTATTCAAATAATAATCCCCGGGCGTAGGACGGGGCCATAATAGGGAATCCAAGTTCTACATCGAAATGTATGGAAAATATTTTTTAACAAAAATTTCTTCTCAAGAACCAATGGATCAGAAAAGTTGAAACTTGTGTGGAAGCATCCTGGTGTAATGAAGATTCTAAATGGTCACCTCGGGCATAGGGTTGGACCACAATAGTTATTACAAAGGGAAACATCTTGTTAGGAACAGCATGGTTTAGTTACTCATGTGAGAGGTGTGGTCCATGGGTCTCTCGTTTTGTTTTCTATTTTTATTTAACACAAAAAAGACAGAATATAAGTATTTCAGTAATGTAGAAATTAGTAAGAAAAGAAGATGCATGTTTGCATATGTCCCCTCTAAACTGACCCAAAAACAATTGCATATAAGCAGGTGCAATGTAATTTTTCGGAAAAGCAAAAATAGATACACTTATCCCATTTTTTATTTCAGATTTGGAATCTTCTCTATGTTCATTTGTCCAAAAGTATAATTCACTTGGTGATCTTACCTATTCCAAAGAAGATTGCTCAGAGAAAAATTCAAACATTTGTTTAGAAGGTAAGATGGTAATAATTATTTTTCGGGATGTCCTTCTGTCTTCCTGTCTGTACGTCCGTCCGTCTGTTACGATTTCGGGTACCCATCTTTTATCATCTTCAATTCCTTTTAAACCACTGTATGAAAGTTAACGAGACTTTTTTAACGAAATAAATTAATGCATTTTCACTATATACTCCATTTAGTTCAACCTGGATCCACAAATCTCAAAAATTTTCAAACCTATGCAAATAAAGGTTATCAAATTCTTATTACGGAAATAAAGGCATTTGTGATAAAATTGAATTTAACATTTATTTCATTTTAGAAACCATAATTTTTATCCAACGAAAAACTGAAATCGCTTTTATGTGAGATTTTAAATTTCATTTTCCAAATTTATTGTAATACATTTTGGGACTTCAACGCCCCTTTCCCCGCCCTCGAATTCGTTCTTGGACATGTATGCGCCCGCGTGGCGCAGTGGTTAGAGCGTCTGCTTTTGAGTCGCAAAGTTAGGAATTGATTCTTACGTCGCGGGTTCGAATCCCACTGTGGGACATGGAGACAGATCCTTCGGATAAGACCGTACAATCCGAGTTCCCCTGTCGCAGTAAATGATGGCACGAAAAAGAGCCCTCAATGTTCCATGGCCGTAAGTGCCGAGTATAGGATAAAAGCAGCTCTCAACCGGCAAGAGGTGGCATCTCCATATGAATGAAAAAGAGGGACCTTAAACAACAAACAATCAATCAATCTATCAGACATTTAAATTATTTAATTTCAATAGAAAAAATCTGTAAAATAATAATAAAATTATTAGTTGATTAGTTTTTGGTAGTTTTTTCAAGTTCCAATAATTTATGAAACTGGGTTACTACAAAATGACTCTTGTCTACTTAATTTTTGAACACTCCTCGCAAATAATAGCATCTCTTCCGCCCACAGACCCCCTTACCTTGAAGCCATAAATTTTACAGTCATAAGAGGCACCCCTGATCATTATAAGTTAACGATAAACCTAATTTATCTTCTTAATTTTCTTTGTACATAGAGGAAAAAGACATTTTTAAAAAAATTAATGCATTTTATTAAGACCCTGAGATCGTGATTTTCCCAATTTTATTCAGAGCTCAGTGTTAATTAAATTCGTGCCTACGGTATGACGTTTTGATGCTCATGAGTAAACGAGAAGATTTTGAGGATGAGTCCGCTTATTTTTATACCTCAGGACCTAGCAGGCCAATGATAGTTAAATTAAAAAAAAACATCCCTTACTCATATATACTTTTTGAGAAATTGACTGTAATATTGGTTAATCAATTACTGAGAAAAAGCTGAAAGGGTTAATATTTCGATGGACGAAAACACGTTGCATAGCAATAGATCATCTGGGTTACTTAGGTGACCTTAAGTCGGGGATTCCTTTTTTAGCTCACCTGAGTCAAAGGCTCAAGTGAGCTTTTCTGATCACATTTTGTCCGTCGTTCGTCCGTCCGTCTGTCTAGCTGTCTGTCCGTCTGTCTGCCCGTCTGTAAACTTTTCACATTTTTGACTTCTTCTCAAGAACCAATGGGCCAATTTTAAACAAACTTGGTACAAAGCATCCTTGGGTAAAGGGAAATTTAAATTGTAAAAATGAAGGGCCAAGTCCTCTCACAAGGGGAGATAATCAAGAAAAGACAAAAATAGGGTGGGGTCATTAAAAAATCTTCTTCTCAAGAACCACTGGGCCAGAAAAGCTGAAACTTATGTGAAAGCATTCTGGGTTAGTGTAGATTCTAAATTTTACAAATCATGACCCCCAGGGGTAGGGCGGGGCCACAATGGGGAATTAAAGTTTTACATAAAAATATATAGGAAAAATCTTTAAAAATCTTCTTCTCAAGAACCACCGTGCCAAAAAAGCTGAAACTTATGTGGAAGCATTCTGGGGTAGTGTAGATTCTAAATTGTTCAAATCATGACCCCGGGGGTTGGTCGGGGCCACAATGGGGAAGCAAAGTTTACCATAGAAATATATGGGAAAAATCTTTGAAAATCTTCTTCTCAAGAACCACTGGGCCGGAAAAGCTGAAACTTATGTGGAAGCATCCTGGGGTAGTGTACATTCTAAATTGTTCAAATCATGACCCCCGGGGATTGGGCAGGGCCACGATAGGGAATGCAAGTTTTACATAGAAATATATAGGAAAAATCTTTAAAAATCTTCTTCTCAAGAACCACTGGGCCAGATATGCTGAAACTTATGTGGAAGCATCCTGGGGTAGTGCAGATTCATAATTGTTCAAATTATGACCCCTGGGAGTTGGGCAGGGCCACAATGGGGAATCAAAGTTTTACATAGAAATTAATGTAGGAAAAATCTTTGAAAATCTTCTACTCAAGAACCACTGTGCCAGAAATGCTGAAACTTATGTGGAAGCATCCTGGGGTAGTGTAGATTCTGAATTGTTCTAATCATGACCCCGGGGGTAGGGTGAGGCCACAATAGGGAATCAAAGTTTTACAATGGGGAATCAAAGCATCCTATGGTAGTGCAGATTTCAAATTGTCTAAATTATGATCAGTGGGGTAGGGTGGCGTCATAATGTGTATTACAAGGGGGAAATCTGGTAAAGAACGGAATGGTCAAAGCTTCACAGGTGAGCGATGTGGCCCATGGGCCTCTTGTTTGGTTTACTTGTTCAGATTTTCACAAATATAACTCATATTATTATCTTATTCCTTAAGATCCTGTGAGGACAGCATCATCTTCAAAAACTGTTCAAAGTAAGTATTGCTAGATCTTTATATCTTCTATGAAGCATGCACGTGTACTCTTCGATATGTCACCTTACCCATCTTCTGTCAGTATGTCTGCCACTCATGATATATATTTTTAGCTACTGTGACGATTATTCTATTCTTTAAAAAAGGAGTTATGTTAAACACTCTTATCATAGCAAGTATAAATATGATGTATCTCATCTCTAACACTGATGCAAAGAAGGATTATAGGTACGATTAATTATCGGATCTTAGGAGAAATTTTCGAAATACACAATGTAATATCAATGCTTGGGAGCTGGCTGATGTGAGGCATTGTGGAAATCTTCATTGAGAATTTATTTTAAAATATTTACATTTCCAATGTCTTTGTCCGAGATAAAATTACCAATTGTAAATGTAATTGATTTCCTCATGAATGTGTTGGCGCGGTTCCAAAAAAACCACGTGCAGGGCGGGACAACACCTAGAGAGAAGCAGGCTTGGAGCCCGTGGATTGGCGGAATCAAAGCATGTAAAAATAAGGAATAACTGTCAGATTTTTCGAATTCATGAAGATGATCAATGGATTGGCTTGTGTGATAATTTTATGCATAAACGCCTTCGGCGTTTATGCAAATTATCACACAAGCCAATCCATTGATCACTTCATGAATTCGAAAAATAAGACAGTTATTCCTTAAATAACGTGTTTTATCTTGTGTCTTCCATAAATATGTGTGTATTTGCAAGGAAGTGATAGAATTCAATTGATAATTCACGTTTTTTCCTATAACGGAAGTCAGCAATAGCTCGAGAAATACTGATGGAAGTACAACAAGAGATGAGAACATCGAAACAACAAATGAGATCAGTACACAAACGGTCATTGGAGGAGGTATTGGAGGAGGTATCAAAGTGTACACTGACAGATTATGCATTTTTTAGCATCATGTTATTATTAATGAATTGTTTTTACGTCACAAAAAGAAAAGATCATTTAAGATAACTATGCATATCCTTTTTATGATTTGAAATATTCTTCAAATACGAGGTTTGTCAAAGAAAAAACACAAACATCTTCAATAATTTTGTTTCAAAACAGTATTTCAATTTAAAAAAAAAAATCATTCATTATAATCAAAGTCTTTTCAATGTCGAAAATGTCTATATAGATAAAAATTTTCTCTTCGTTTAACTACTCTACTAAAAGAAGCTGCCGGCGAAACGTGGTTTTTTTTTTTTTGAAAATTGTCTTGGAATTCTTTAAAATGTGAAGTTTTAAAGTTTGAAGCATATAAAATTCAACAAAGTATATTTATCTCAGACAGACTAGTAGAATTTATTCTTTTTAATGGACAGTTTTCCAAATTCGGTCATAAAATCAACTGCCCACATAAACAACAGTTTCTGTGTTATTGACATCAAGCTCTAAAGTTTTTCGTCATTTATCTTGTTCTACCAAACGTCTCTCCGATCGGATAACCAGTATAGCTGTTTTAAACTTCTTTTGCCAGGTTGTATCTGTGTTAGAAAATGTGTAGTTCCATCGTTTTCCATCTTTTTTCCTGTATGGACAAGAGATACAGGAGAAAATGTTTGTGTATATAACGTCATTTTTGTCATAAATGGTCATCAAATTTATGAATTTCTACACACAATATTACTCCAGATCAAAAATACTGGTAATTCCTTTGAATTTATTTTTTTCACATAATGATTCCGTATGGCTTTTATTAATTATCAAGGAAACGTCTCTGGCAATGTATTTTTTGAAGTAGAAAAAATTGAGTTGCGCCGACCACCAATATCGAACTAGAATGTCGTTTCTACATGCAAATCATATCACAATCTCATAAAGTAAATGCATGGCGAAAATTACATTTCCCAACACGGTTTTAGATTACTTAATTTATGCATGTTGTTTATGAAATGTTCAAAGTTCGCATTTCTGTGACAAACCTCGTATACAAAGTAGCTTTACATGCATGTCTTTAATGATAAGTATCAGGAAGTGACACTTAATAAAATGTCAGACAGCTGCATATGTGGAAAGGAATCTTATAGATACAATCACATTTTAATACAAATCAGTTTTCACAATCTAGAAATTTATCTTTTTTCTTTCTGTTTTTCTTTTTTTTCCCCTTTTTTTCTTTTCTTTTTTTTTTTTGGGGGGGGGGGGGGCTCGAAATTTTGTTGATAAATTGCTGCTGAGATGCAACAAGGGTTTGCTTCAAGCGTGTTGGGGTCAAGAAACACAACTTGTTTTTTCAAAAGATTGAGACAATTTCTTACCAAATGTTTACGTTTTCGCAAATTTTGGTCCTGTTCCGGGCCTTCGCCAGTTCTTCATCACCTTGAAATTATAATGGAACATTCTTCGGTTAACTAAGTGATTTTCATTCAGTTCAAAATTATTGATAATTTAAAAGAATTACACGTACAAATGTATTATTGCAAGATCGTCTTGTTATGAAGAGAGATTGCAAATCTTTTGATGACCACAGGTGAGATTGGAATGCAATCTTTATGCTCATCGTAGTTGCATGAAGTTTCTGAAATCGCACTGTGTATTTGAAACACTTACTTTATAGCGGCAGTTCTCTTTTGATATAATTCCACCATAGTAGATACGTGTATGTACGAAGGCTGTTCAATAAATAATGTCCTGAACTGTATGACATACAATACAGATATCGTATGACATTAAGCTTGATTTTCTCTCATTATTTAATCTTTAATGAATTTCTAACAGTTTATGTGACCACTTTTCATCACATAGTTTCATTGTGAGAAGCTGGAAAACAAGGGCTTTTCGAGACACTGCATTATAAATGAATGGTAAAAAATAAGTAAACTAGAGTATAAATAAAAGCTTCATTTAAGCTGCTGTAAAACTTGTTAAAAATCCCAAAAAAATATTCACTGAAATATGTGACATTTACAGCAACCAATGCCTGTTTTATTTAAGGAATGACTCTAATTCTTGGCCAAATTTTCGATTATAACCTGGTTTGGGTCAGTTTACGCTTTATAATCCACGAAACGGATTATAAAAAGGCCTAAACTGACCCAAACCAGGTTATAATCGAATAATTTGGCCAAGAATTAGAGTCATTCCGTATAATTTAATATTAAAATATTTAATCATATGTTGGTGTAAAATTGTGCTGCTTTTGCCGCTCAATAATACATCCCTAGTAACGGAAGTCATGTGAAACAAGGGGAGGTAATGACTGATACACAGATTCTAGCAGCCATGATTGTTGTGTACATGAGGTAAGATCGAGCTACTGTTTGAATATAAAGGTACATTTATTAAATCTGGAATTTTCCATTCATCCCAAGGACTGGAAATGAGGTGATTGCATGGATACAGATGATTCAGCTGGTTGTCAAGGGGGTGTGTCCCCATACCAAGCCAGGTTATTGAGAAATAATTTGCGTTCCTTTTTGGAAATCAACCAATGAGAGACTAGAATACAAACAAAATTAAATTATAGACAAATGAACAGGTGGATTTCAATGATAAAAAATTATTCAATGGGCATCAAAAATGGGTACCGTCCTTGCCAACAAAAAATTATAACAACTTATGTACTGTTTGCCAAATTTCAACAAATAATATTTGATGATGTATGATTGACTTTAAGACACATAGCAAATTTGATATACATCATTTCAGGATTAGTTTACACTGTTTTTAAGAAACGTTTGACGGTAAAAAAGCTTAGTACTCAAAGGTCACCCTATATTTTGAAAAATGAGTGAAAACGACAGCGTGTACGAATGTCTTAACAATTATCTTAAATTATCAGTAATTGTAGTTATCCACGTTTGTTTGATATTCAAACGGATAATGGAACTTGAATCTATTGCTTAAAACCCTCAAAACAAAATTTACCATAAGATGTACTTGATAAAAACAGCGAAGGTCTGACAAGAGCAAAGAATTGCAAGAGCACAAAGACAGATTTATATGCAGTTTTCTTAAATATTAATGGTATTGTTGTTCAAATTCGTATTCGGGGAGACAGTTTAATTTCTGGAGGAGGCTAGAAAGCAAATTTTTTGCAAAAAAATCGAAAGGTTTATTAGAGAAAGAAAACAATCAGAAATTGAATAAAAAATGTTACGGACATGTGTTTTAATTAAAAGAGATAAGTAAGTTAAATCATGAAGACTAAATCATTGAAAAGCGTCTTTTGCTTCTTTCCGAGCACCCAGGACATTATTTATTGAACAGCCCTCGTATCTTCATGAAAATGGTACTGATTTCAGTTATGTGCAATTCTAGATGCAAATTACCAGATGAAACTCCAAAGTGAGTCAGCAAAGCATGCTCAAGAGCGTAGAAGTGTTTGGAATGAAGGTGGTCTGCTATTCTTTATACATAACTATATATCAATATTCATCAATACTCATCTCTTTAATTTGCTATCAAATGAATTTCGTTATTATTCTCGGGCATTCTTTCTTTGAGTAATTTAACAGTAATTGTAGTTCGTTTTTATATTTGAGTTAATTGTTTAATATTACAATTACTTCATTATTTAATGAGGGTCAGGTGTCCTTGCTGGTGTAATAGTGGGGATTATCGGGACAGTTGCTCTAGTGGTGCTCGTTGTCATATGCTTGTTTTTCAGGTAAGACTTTAAGCTGCAGAATAAAAAAAGAACATGTTGCATTAATTAAGAAAGTGAGCCATATCTCTTACTTTCAAATCTCGATAAAATAAAATAACTTTTATAGTGATCGAGTCCAAAACTATATCACCAAGATAGCATGATGATTTTTTCCAGATCCAGGAATAAAAATCCCAGGTCCAAATATCAATCCCCAACGGTCATCTTCTCCAGCACTCCAAGGCGTGATAGTAAACTCCCAGAGGACAAATCGGTGAAATCGTCCCCCATAAAACCTGTAAGGAGGTCAAAGAAATCCAACCCAGGCTCTATGTCGGGGGGTACAGCTTATGAAAATATTGTACTTACACTAGAAGATCCAAAAACGATATCCCGAGTTGTAAGTTCATCTTCAACAGCACAAAAACAAGACACGAAAGATGTCGAAAATAGTTATGACGTCATGGGTGCAGGCAAAAACAATAACCCGAGTGGTACCAGTCAGAGCGTTTATGGGTTTAGTGCGCCAGATAATGAATATGACGTAATGGATAGGGGTACAAGACGTAATGAAGAAATGAATCCTGATTATGATCACATGTGACGAAAAAGATTCGTATGAGAGATCATTTCATTGATAAATAACTTAATTATTCATGATAGGTTTTAACTTATGTTTACATTTTTTTATTTCTACATATACATGCCTTTTATTGTCAAGGAGGCATAACATGTTTGCAGTGAGTGATTGCATTCATGAATCCTATGAAGAATATGATATGTATAAGATCATCAAGAAATATTTTGAAATGTTCATGTCTGTGTGTCAGAGGATGTAAGGGTGTATGAGAGTGTGCATTTGTCTGGGAAAAAAGTATCTGAGGTTTTTAAGTAATGGGAGCCAAATGGAATAAATGTGTAAACTGAATTTTTATTATTCTGACCATTGTAAAAGGAATGACTTTTACAGGAGAAAACCATTTTGTTTAATTTCAATTTACAAGATGTGCATGATGGTATACTGAAAGAAGAAATGTTCAAAAACAACACAATGCAAGAATGATTGACTGTTTTTTTAAGATGCTCATTTTGGTACTTATGATTGAAAGATATTCTGTTGACATTCAATATTTAGGATAAAAAAAAACGAAATGTCAAAATAATCTTAACTCAAGATGAATTATTAAACCAAGGTCGCTGTCACTCAATAGTTCTTTGTTTTTGTTTCTTCTATTGGTCAAAAATTCTTCCAAAATTTTCACAGTCCGTACAGGGAACAATCAATTCAATCTCCAGAGTAATCTTGTTACTAACCTAAACTTAACTCAATGTTATCTTCAATTTTAAGTTAAATGAAAATTTATATCGAAGTTTATGATACGTAATTTCTTTATATTGCTTTATAAAATACTTAATTGACTTCAATTAATACCAACAAAACGCACGCCTCTTCAAAATTCTATACAACCATTCCCCGCAAATAACGTCAGGCTTATGATAATATATAGATAGCAAAAAATGTAACTCATTCCTTAATGCTTACCATTTTACTTGTTACTTTCAAGTTTATTTTGTTAAAAATTACTGATTCTAATCAATGGTACTCCAAAGTAAATATTAAAAAGATGTTTGAGTTTCTGAATTATGAATCTCTAAAATTCTTTCGGATTTCCCTTTGATTCTTATTATACCCATTGTAAGTTAACCTGAAGCAAAATTACTCAAACAAGAGACCAAAGGGCCACATTGCTCACCTGAGAACTGTAGCTAGGATAAAAGCAAAAATCAGTATAGTATTAAAAGCTTAAATGCATGACTGGTCACTCTGATCCCCCATTGTGACCCCGCCTTTCCCCCAGGGTCATGATTTGAACAAACTTGAATCTATACTACCAGAGGATGCTTCCACATGAGTTTCATATTCCATGGCCCAGTGCTTTTTGAGAAGAAGATTTATGAAGATTTTCCCTATGTATTCCTATGTTAAACTTTGACTCCTTATCATGGCCCCACCCTACCCCCGGGAGTCATGACTTGAACAAACTTGAATTTACACTACCAGAGGATGCTTCCAGATGAGTTTCATATTTCCTGGCCAAGTGGTTCTTGAGAAGAAGAATTTTAATGATTTTCCCTATGTATTCGGATGTTAAACTTTGACCCCTCATAATGGTCCCACCCTACCCCAGGGGGTCATGATTTGAACAAACTTGAATCTACACTACCTGAGGATGCTTCCACGTAAATTTCATCTTCCCTGACCCTGTGGTTCTGAAGAAGAAAATTTTTTTAGATGCCATTAATTTTTCACTATTTCATAATTATTTTCCCTTAGAAAAGGACATGACCCTTCATTTGAACAAATTTGAATCCCCTTCACCCAAGAATACGTTTTGACAAGTTTGGTTGAAATTGGCCCAGTGGTTCTTGAGTAGAAAATGAAAATGTGAAAAGTTTATGACAACGACAACAACGACGTCGACAACGACGACAGACAACGGACAAATTTTGATCAGAAAAGCTCACTTGAGCCTTCGGCTCAGGTGAGCTAAAAAGGAAGTAAATATCTTGTTATGGCCTTCAATTCAACAATAAGATATTTCGACGACGCTTTGTCAGTCACTTATATTCATTTTTTGGTCACCTGAGTAAACTCAGGTGACCTATAGCTATCCGTTTTCGTCCGTCGTCGTTCGTTAACATTTTCAGCTTCTTCTCTGAAACTACTGAAACAATTTCAAACAATTTTAGCATATAGCATCTATGGGTGAAGGCGAACAAAAATTGTGAATTTCATGGTCCCCCCCCCCTCCCTCTGTGACGAGGGGGGGGGGGGCAAACCACTAAAATTAGTGCAATTTTCTTCTTTACTCCTGGACATCAAGCAGTCAAACTGTTGGTATGATTGTAATCAGCATTGAGTCCTCTACCAAATTTGTGAAATTCATGGCCCCAGAGTCAGGGGTTCTAGTGCTAGGGCGGGGCTAAATAGATTATATAGTGAAAATGCATAAAGTTTTGAAATTCTTCTTCTCTGCTCCTGGGCATTTAATAAACTAAGCAAGTGCATTGTTAAGTTGAAAATGACTGCCTCTTCCAAAATTGTGAATTTCATGGCCCAAGGGTTAGGGGTTCTAGTGGCAGGGCGGGGCTATAAAGATTATATAGTGAAATTGTATAAATTCTTTGAAATTCTTCTTCTCTGCTCATGGGCATTAAATAAACTAACCAAGTGCATAGTTATGTTGAGTAAGACTGCCTCTTCCAAAATTGTGAATTTCATGGCCCCAGGGTCAGGGGTGTTAGTGCTAGGGCGGGGCTATAAAGATTAAAGAGTGAAAATGAATTATTTTTTTGAAAATCTTCTCTGCTCCTGAGTATTAAATAAACTAACCAAGTACATAGCTATGTTGAATAAGGCTGTCTCTTCCGAAATTGTGAATTTCATTGCCCCTGGGTTAGGGGTTCTGGGGTTAGGGTGGGGTTCTATTGATTATATAGTGAAAATGCATAAATTCTTTAAAAATCTTCTTTTCTGTACCAGCTGGGTATTTAACCAATGAACTATGCACATAGTTATGAGGAGGAAGGAGGCCTCTTTGAGATTTGTGAATTTTAGGGCCCCTGAGTCAGGGTTTCTTGTGTTTGGGTGGGGCCCTAATATTTATATAGTGAAAACGCTTAAATTCTTTGAAAATCTTTTCCTTTGCTCCTGGGTATTATTCCAATGATCATAGTACATATTTATGACGAAGAAAGCTGCCTCTTCCAAAATGGTTAATTACCGGGCTCCTGGGACAGAGGTACTGGGGGCATAGTTTCAAAATAATTTAATGCTTTGAAATCTGTACTTTGGTATTAATCAACAATATGATGAAATAAAATTCATAAAATTTCCAAAATTTTGAAAGATGTGGCCCCAGGGTCAGTGGTTCCTGTGGGATGGGGTGCACAACTAATAAAGTGGAAGTGCATTTTCTCTTTGTTACTCTGATCTACCTATGGGTATTAAGTAACCAAAGTACGCATGCTAAGTGTATAGTTATGATAAGCAGTGGTACCTTTTTCAAAATTGTGAATTTTATGGCCTCTGGTTGAAATCACGAATCAAATTCAAATGTTGGAAAGTTGTTACACGATACTTAGGTGACCTATAAGGCCCATGGGCCTCTTGTTTTTTCTAAGTTGCAATTCTCATGGTTACCAATTGTGCCTCGTTTTTAGCAGACCTATTTTGTGCATTGATATGTAGCAGAATCTATTCAAGAACTTCCCCATGAAAAAAAGAAAAGATTTGATGTGGCCTTCAACTCAAAATTTGGTATATCTCATGTATAATTTATGAATAAAATCATATAAATACCAAAATACGACTGCTTATAACGGGACGCAATATCTACCCCTTAAGAATTCCGACAGATTGTTGGAGGACTTAATACTACATAGATATTGTCATTCAGAGACTCAAGCGTCTTTTAAGTATCAACGTTGGAATACTAGTGTTTACAATCAATGCATTGTGTCCGAAAACAAATCTCGATAAGGTGCGATTTTTCCCACTCAAATTTTAAGCGAGAGGATGCTTGATATACGTATTTCTTTCAAGCACAAATAGAGATGCTTCCAGTTTGTATCTTAATACAATCTTTATGTGTGCCATATTTTATTGATCACAAGCAAATTATGTAAAAACATTTTCAAATTGGTACAGATGACAGATTTTATCAAAAACAAATATTTTTTCTTGTTCCATATTATAAATCTAGATAGAGAACTTGAGTAGCAGACACCGCGCCAAGAAAGCTGAGTATTGCTGCTACCACCACTACCGCCACAGTACTTCCTGTGGCGTCCACCACTGACCCCACGAACGCTGAGAGAACAAACTGTGCCACAAACACCATACTGCTGAGGATGGCGAGGTCCGTCCCTAATCCCCGGATGTTGCTTTCTGTCAAAGGTTCTGCTGAAAACTGAAATGTTAACGCAAATTTCAAGTCTGTATCCCAAACTTACAAACAAAAGTCCTATCATTTAGTATATAAAATTTTACTCATTAAAGAAATATTATGAATTATTTTAAACGCTCTCCCCTTCAAAAAATAAATAAATATAGATCATAAATTGATATAAATCAAGTAAATACACGTATGAAACACAAAAACGTATTGTTTCTTACCTGTCCCTTTGTATGGTAATTAGCCACTAACATGTAGGGCATTGTGAATAGAGTGGCGTACATAATACCAGCAGTGGGTGAAAACAAAATGACAGTAACACGACTTCGAGTGGCCGCCATGATGATCATGCCAATGCAGTAGACAAGCTGCCCTCCAATATACACACACTTTGCTCCTTCAAAACCAATTAATTTGATTTGAAGAAGATTCAGATCTAAAACCATCTTCCTTTTAACAAATGCTTAAGTTGACTGGTATAAGAAATTGAAATCTAAAATTTTATATATTTATAATTCATACGCTTATTAACTTACCAAATTTTTCCACCAGTTTCTCAATAAACATAGAATAAAAAGCACAAGACAAAGAATACAGTGCCATTCCAAAAGATCCTAATCGAACACCATCATTGTAAAGCTTGTGTAGATGACTTAGTCTTGGTGCCTTTGGATCGCCTTTGAAAACTGCCTGACCAACAAAGTCCGTAAAATACAGAGAATAACAGACAAGGGACATCCAACAAAAGAGATTAGTCACACATAGGACAAACAGAGACTTAGGCATTCGTACGATAGACACTAAGTAAGTTTTTAGTTTAACTTCGTTCAGTAATGAACTCAGATTTGAACTTTGTGGAGAAGGTCGTTTTGCTTTGGTGTCATTTGACTCTTTTTCATTGGGTAAATTCTCCGTCTGAGACGTCTTATTTGGAAAACCATCAGTAGATCCATAGTGAATTGGAGTAGAAGATTGTTTTAATTTTTCATCTCCGTCTTCCAGTCTGTCATCATCCTCCTCGTTCGTAAACTTTTCGTACTTGGATTTTCCTTTCACTTTTGTCGACTTCTGAATTTCTTCAACTGATTTTTCAAAGTGTGACAATGGAAGTTCCTTGAAACTTGTTAAAGTAATAACAAGACACACTATAAAGAAAATAGTAACCGCTGTAAAAACCACGAGTACGTGTTCTTCTAAGGACGATCCCTCGTTGTTTTTCAAATCCCAATTTATTCCTCCCATGATGTATCCAAAGCACCCTCCAAGTCCCGCCATAATGGTGAAGGTGCTCAGTCCTCTGGAGTGATCTTCTGGGATACTAACATCCAAAAGATACGCTCTGCTTGGGGACTGGGCTGCGTCACAACTGAAGTCCAACAGAACCACTCCTAATATTGTAAGAATAATTCCTGTTTTGTGATTTGCGTGAATACTTGAGCTTATCATGTCGTCTCGTTCTTCCAAATAAGTTGCATCGACTGTTTTGTTGGCTTCCATTTTGTACTGCAGAAGAGCTGAGTTCGTTGTGTTATCAATAGTGTCAAATGTATTATTGTGATAATTTGCTGTTTCGTTGCTAAACACTATGTCTGATTTGTCACCTAAATGCATTCCAAAGGTTTTCGCGTTTGGAACAATGATAAGTCCAATGACAATACCAGTTGCTAATAAAACTATAAAGGGTCGACGGCGACCAAATTTTGATCTACAATTGTCACTTAAAGAACCTAAAATGGGAACACAGACAGCTCCAAAAAATGGACTTAAACACCATACCAAAGACATAAGAGGAGCCGGAACACCAAGTTTCAGTAGAATCGGACTAACAAAAGCAGTTTCAGCGGCGTAACAAAGCTCTATTCCACACACAACAGCACTCAAACGAATTAATTCTAGCCGAGTTTTCTTCTTTTGTAGGTAAGAGTAATTATCTTCAGGATTGATAAATGCTGCAAACCCTGATCCCATATTCTGAACCATGGGATTCACTTGATCCCGTATTCTTTTGGCTGCCTGAATTGTTGATGTTAACAATCCAATAGACATCTTGTATCTGTGAGAGGACAGAGTTGAAATATATTTGCTAATACATGTTTTCAATGCTAAACTTAACTTTAAAACATCCTACATGATTGTTTGCGTCGGGGAAATATGAATATGAAAACATGGATTACTCTAGCATTAAAAGTGTATCTCTATCAAAAAGTACAGGGTGTCCAGTTTCTGAAACAAATGTAGAAGTAAAGTGTTTTTATAGGATAAAGTGTCTGGATTGATCGGAGATCAATAAATGATGGTGGCACTGAAGCACCAATTACTAAATTTGAAGCCAATTTAGTGAGACAAGGCTAATCGGATCTGCTCAATCTTAATGTGTTGACAGCATTATCAATCAAAACAGACACAGTCCATTTATCATCTTTGCAATTCAAGACTACTTGTGATCCTGATCTGTCATCACAATGCATCAGGCAAGTCCTATAACCCTAGTTACTCATTCCAATAGAGCGGGCTATCGATATTTGTAATTTGGCAAACCATCGTCCACGAAGCAAGGTTATTGGGGTGATTTGTTTGTATTCTATAAATGGTTGAGGGATTGACTCCTACTATGCTGTTTTTAAATCTATGTGATTTTTTTTCAGTCTTATTGAGAGACCAACAATTACGGATGAAATGCCAAATATTATGATGGCTTTGGACCTCCGCCATTGCTGTGTTAAATATTCTTTATCGTGTCAATTATATAAGGGCATCATCCGAACCTGGCCATGGATTGAGGAGTTTTTGAAGCCCAAATGTTCGCAATAAACTACAGTGTAGTATATGCATGATTATTCAATCCCATTTTCAATTCTCCAAATTTATAATTAGTATATTGAAAATTCGGTCTCTGGAGAAAAAAAGTGTCGGTCACAAGATTTCTAATAATTTCAATATCTTTTTATTTATGCAAGAAAAAAGGCCATGTTTGTAAATAATTAGAAATGGTGTAACTTGGAAATCTGTTGAGATTCATATAGATCAGATTTGTGCTACTTTTTTCTTTTTTCTAATACATGGGCAGGGATATTCATAAAATTGTTATACATGTACCCTATTAATTGTTATTTTACTTACTGGCTAAGTTCATTTACGTATACTTACATGTATTTTTATATAACCAATGACAAGTAGTTGGAAATTGAACGTTTTTTTTAAATAGTGGTTGCAACCTGGTTTTTGAAATGTATGCTCAGGCACTATTGAAAAAATTATTTCAATAATCATGATAATAAGGTTCAATTCAGATGTGGTTGTGATGTAACCGTAATGTTTGAATAGATGAGCAAAAAGTATGATTTAGTTCAAATGTATTACACTGACTATAGTTTTATACCTAACTTTCTAAAATTTCACAAATGAAAAAATGATACAAGAACTATAAAAGACAACATAGTAATGAGTTATCTTTATATATAAGTCAATTTTCTGAGTCAGTGGAAATAAAAATAATAGTACTGTCTTCCCACAAATTTTTATTAAAATAGAAAATTTGGTTCACCAAATTTTCTATTTTAATAAAAATTTGTGGGAAGACAGTACCCCAATTTTAATTAAAAAGAATTACAGACAGACGATGAAAGTATACACTTTGCATCTTACCCCTTCACTTTATCTCTAACTTATCTGAGATAACTTTTTTAAGATATATTTTTAAAACTTACCTTTATGTAAGAGAGAAATTCTTTTATACACTAGGAATGCATTGATCTGAAAAGTTGAATCCAGACGAAATATCGAATTTTCTTTCCAAAGTAGCAGATCCTAACTGTCTTTGGGATTTATAGGAAGGGGTATACGTTTTTTTTTTAAGAAGTGATCAATATACAAGACAAGACGTACATTCAATAAAACTGGTTCGATATGGGCGACAGATTTTCAATTAATAGATATTCCCTGATGAACTTGTATAAAATGCCTGATGGAGGCGGTAATTTGTTTTATTTCTGTCCATCAAAAGAGTAATTTCTGTTCCGTGGACCTGATTGGAGATCTGCCTCCATAATGTGACATATTTCTGTCCAATTTCCGTTTTGTCTGTTGTTTGAGACACGAAATTCAATGAAATATTTACTTGAGGAAAATGGCTCTTAACTCATGGAAGAAAAGATTGCATGGCAGAAAGAATTAATTTTTTAAAAATATATTTTAGATAAAATAACTATACACGCTGTAATTAAAATTTTGAATATTTAACATTTTTAAAGTTGTTATAAATAGCTAGAATTTACTATACTTTTCTCTTTCCTTCTCGAATTTTCAAAAAGGAAGCACATTTAATCACTCAATCACTAACGCTAGAGTAGAAAAGTATCTTCATGCAAACTGAGCAACTTGAAAGACAACTCTGCATAATGCTCTTGTCGATGCAGGAGAGTTTGTGATAAATAATGTAAGAAAATGCTCTAAGTATGAACAGTTTCTAAAAAGAGTCATGCTTTTGACAAACAAGTTAATGATTCAAAGATATTTAAAACAATCCCGTTTAAAGTTATCATTTCGCAAGTTCTGTGGTCGATACAATGACACTGTCAGCAAATACATCCTAGCTATCATATATTCCAATGCTGATTAAGTTTTTCTTATTAATTGTTAAACTATTATTTGTGTGTAATAATACAACAAATTTTCTACGATTTTTTCCCATTATTTCCCGACCATGAGAAGGGACTACACGACAGATGTGACCGATTGCAGGGAATTCTCAGTCCTTCATGACACCTGATCCCCGACACCTCTGATGTTTTAGAGATTTGTTCTGCTCCTGGTTTGTATTCTTTGAATGTACATGTGAGCTTCAATATTGTTTGTTATCTCCATACTAGTATTTCATTCATCAACGGATTTATGAATCCGATCACTGATCATTTCTTCGTTATCTTCAACTGTCAAATTCATTTATGTTCAATATTCGAAGGGATTTATGACTTGGGTTATATGAAAAAAAAATGTATAAGGTGGGGGAATAGGCTTGTTTATATGTGTTTTTAAGAAAAACACAATCCCATCTTTTTCTGCTATGATGTACAATTTTGCTATTAGCATAGACATAAAACGAAGGGTTCGTTTTAGGTCTATGCCATCGTCGCAAACCACGGCCAAAATGTACGCTCCTCTCCCATCTGGCCGTGGTTGAACGAGAAGAGAATTCTTCGTAGCTCATTAAAATATTGACCAATGCGAGTAAAGCATAGTCGGATGATGAACTTTATCGCGACCTTTCAATATCCAATCGCAGTATAAGAAATTTTTCTTGTATACTGTTGACGTCAGTTGTTGATTTCGATTCCGATGGAAACAAAACTTGTCACTGACTGTATATGACGTCACAATAGAGAGGAGTAAGTATTCAAGATTACGACACTTTTTGTGATCAAGCAGCCACGGGTAGGAGAGAGCTATATATGCGGACTCCGGACCGTGGCTTGAGACGATGGGTCTATGCTATTAGTCAAGTTCCAATGCTTGCCAGGTCCAACATTATTATTATAGTCGGGTTCGGAAATTGTGCATTAAAAGTCACATGACCAGTGTTGTTCAAAATGGCGAATACAGAAAAGGAGAAATTTGACGCTGCTGTAAAAGTTATTCACAGTTTACCGAAAGATGGTGATTATTTGAAAAATATAAAGCAGTTCATCAATAATTTAGACATTTTAAAAAATATGTATATTTATTATTGTGTACCATCACCGATTTATTAAGTGGTCGATAATATTTTTAAATTTTATAATGCAACTATCTGCCTATGTTTGAACACATATTGAAATAATATGTTGACGATGCAACCTTTAGGGCGAGCGCAGATACCTTTGTAGTAATACTGATTATTAACTGTATGAAGTCCCGTCTTTTCAAACCGCACGACGTTTGATGACTAGACTCTGACGTCACATGTGGAATCAATTACCAAACCAAAGCTGATTTTTTTTTTTTTAACTAAGAACATTTTATTTTCTAATTACACTTGTATATGCAATATTTATCCATTTAATCAAGAAGATGTTAATTTTTTTTAAACTTTTGTTGTTTTTCTCGCAAGAACATATCTTAAAACAAGTGATGCATTTTGGGTCCAGAAGTTACTATGGAAAAAAAATTAACTGGATCAATATGCAAGTCCAGATTTTCTCTTCGCCCAAGCGTTGTCATTAGATCTTGCAGTAGGAGCAGCCCTTTGCACTGCTCGCTGTGCTCACTGTTAATTTTACGAATTTTGATATTTCATTTTACGTTTGTAGGTCCTTTTCAGCCATCGTATGACATGATGTTGAGTTTTTATAGTTATTATAAACAAGCAACTGAGGGGAAATGTTCAAGACCAAAACCATGGACATGGGACATCGTTAACAAAAAGAAATGGTAATGGCATCTTCAAATATATCTGCCTTTACATACAATCAGAAATACCATTTTCTTTTGTTTTCACTGAACATGGGAAATCTTGACAATGTTAGATGTGTGACTTACTACCCTTGGTCAATGTAAACAAAACATCATAATCAAAAAGTGTAAATTATTCTCGGGTCATCGGGATAATTAAATCATATCAAAGCTTTTTGTTAGGCTGAATATTTTTAAAAGGACCCTTATAATAATTTTTTTTGCATCTGTAATTTGTTAAAAATTTTGTTGGTAGAAAATAAAGTCAAAATTTCAAAAAGAAATGACATACGCAATCTTGAATTAGAGCAACTTTGTGACAGCAATACAAAATTTAAACCATGACCTTTTTTTCTCTGTTTAGGCATATATATTTTCTACTCCAACACAGAGCAATAGAAATTATTTTAACATCATTGAAAAATGCAGATGGAGATGACCTGCAGACCTTTTCACAAAAATCTTATGATAAATTTCTATCATAAGAGAAATATGAGGAGTTTATTTCTTTTCACAAAAAATCTTACATTATTCTTGCTTGCAAAATTTATTGTAACTTTATGAGAGCCCTAACCCTCTAGTATTTTAAAACCAATTTTATAGTAATAACCACATAAACCAAAAGACATGTTAAATGGAAAGTTTTTTAAGCAACTTACATGTACAATAACACAAAAAAAAATTTCACAATTATATTGTCGAAAAAATAAATAAAATACACTACAAAATATGTACAATATAAGTTTCACTTACCAGTAAGATTTTTGCAAAAAAAAATTTCACAATTATATTGTCAAAAAAATAAATAAAATACACTACAAAATATTTACAATATAAGATTCACTTAAGATTTTTGCATGTCACTTTCTTTTCTCAGACTTGTGATTGTGACATCAGGTTACAAACTTCCTTGCTTCATAATATATTGCATTTAATATTTGTTGTCAAAAAATGGGTTGAAGAGGTGAATATTGTACATTATAAAAGAATGATTTAGATTTTTTTCTGAACTAAGAAAAAAAGAAGGAGTTTTATTTTAGTACATGTAGAATAAACTTTTCACAAGCAGTGTTATCAAACAAATTTAAAAGTGAGTACATTTGATTTATCTTAAAAGGGATGCCTGGACAAAATTAGGAGATATGCCAAGAGAAGAAGCAATGGTAAAATATGTAGAAGAACTTAAAAAGGTAGGGACTTATTATAAGACAGATGTCCATCAGCTTCAGGGTGAAAAAAAAATACATGACAATTTGTATTACCTTTCCTTTTTTCTTCTCATATTTTCTTAGAAAACTGAATCATAATTTTCAAATATTTTATTGATCATGCATATTACAAACCGAATAAGCAAAAATTAAGCAGCTATGGAATATTTTTTACCTTTTGTTTTGTATTTAATTTTTTTCCCCAGCAGTTTTATATTCTGATTAGATAATTCATGAATTAAGTGACTTTTTAGCTCACCTGAGCCGAAGGCTCAAGTGAGCTTTTCTGATCACATTTCGTCCGTCCGTCTGTCTGTCTGTCTAGCTGTCCGTTTGTAAACTTTTCACATTTTCCACTTCTTCTCAAGAACCACTGGACCAATTTCAACCAAACTTGCCACAAAGTATCCTTGGGTGAAGAGGATTCAAATTTGTTCAAATGAAGGGCCATGCCCCATCCCAAGGGGAGATAATTAATAATTACTGAAAATTAATGGCAATTTTCAAAAATCTTCTTCTCAAGAACCATTGGGCCAGGAAAGATGAAACTTATGTGGAAACATCCTCAGGTAGTGTAGATTCAAGTTTGTTCAAATCATGACCCCCAGGGTAGGGCGGGGCCACAATGGCTGATCAAAGTTTTACATAGGAATAGATAGGAAAAAATTTAAAAAAAAACTTCTTCTTGAGAACAGCAAAGCCATGATTGGTCATAGTTATATGGAAGCATCCTCAGGTAGCGTAGATCGAAGTTTGTGCAAATCATGACCCCCAGAGGTAGGACAGGGCCACAATGGACGACCAAAGTTTTACAAAGGAATATATAGGGAAAAAATCTTTAAAAATCTTCTTCTTGAGAACAGCAAAGCAATGATTGGTCATATTTATATGAAAGCATCCTCAGGTAGTGTAGATTCAAGTTTGTTCAAATCATGACCCCCGGGGGTAGGGTGGGGCCACAATTGCTGATCAAAGTTTTACATAGGAATATATAGGAAAATTTTTTTAAAAAATCTTCTTCTTGAGAACAGCAAAGCCATGATTGGTCATATTTATATGGAAGCATCCTCAAGTAGTTTAGATACAGGTTTGTTAAAATCATGACCCCAGGGTTGGGTGGGACCACAATAAAAGTTCAAACTTATAGGGAAAAAAGCCACTGTAGCTAGTCAAAAAATATGTAAGCATCCTTAGTTATTGTAGAATCAAGTTTTCATATATGGAAGTTTGTTCAAATCATACACCCCCCTTTTTAGGACTGGGACCACTTAGGTATTTACTGAATTGATTTTTTTCCTAGCCACAATGCTCAGGTGAGCAATGTGGCCCATGGGCCTCTTGTTTCATGTTCTTTATTAATATTGTTTTGTTTGTTGATGTTTGATTTGTTTTACTCTAAGGAAGAGGAGCTAAATGAACTTTTCCCATTAAATTTCACCCTCCTCTTTATTCCTTTCATTTAAGAGACACTGTGGCAAATTTTGGCAAAATTTAGTTTAAGCTTAATCTTGAAAATCTTTTGTTTGATGTTCCAAAATAAAACTTAAAAACTTTCACAGTAAACAGTGAATAAATGACAGTTTTCCACTGTTAAACATGTGGTGAATTTTTATATTTCTTCATACCTGGTAAACATGATAAGGGGATCAAAATTTTACATAGGAATATATATAGAGAGAAAAAATGATTTTCCTCGAGAATATCATGAGTGCAGTTTTAATTAACTGTAGCTATACCCAGGCTAGCATGGGACTATGACAGGAGGTAAAGGTGTTAAATTGGAATGTTTAAGAAACACTCTCTATAAAACAGTTTAGTCTTAATTTTTCTCGAGAATGACAAGACTACAATTAGCTTCATGAATATGAAAGCAACTGCTTGCAGTGAAAATTGAAGATTATTCCTTATTCCTGTCATGGCCGATGTGGTAAAATAGGCTATGCTAAGGGTGAGAAAATGGCAGAATGAAGGATTTTTTTCTTTCTATGAGTAATATTTCCTTTCTTTTTAAAAGGTATTCTGATTCATTGTATAACAATTTTAAAGGGGTATATTTTTAGCAAATGAAAGTAGATTTTTTTTTTCAAATGTCTTTTATGAGGATATATGCTTTTTATGTTATTAAATAAGTACATATACAGTGTACGTAACATTACTCTTGTATATTGGACTACTAGTAAGTGATTGTGTAGTATATCTGTGCAGCCAATTCAAAGCTTATTAAACCGTGTTTTAAATATATACAGCTTTATGATTCAATGATGAAGCAATCACTTTGTTGTTTCTCAATGTTGTGGATACGCAGACAGATAAGTGAGGTGATTTTTAACTCTTTCAGACTATCAAACATTTCACTGAGAAGGGGTTGGCAATGAAAGAACAGGGGGACCCCAGGGTAGGAGTTTTTTTCACTCTTTCTGTCTGTAGTATGGGTTTTAAGTGTACCATATTTTCCTACTCACATGCAATGCAGCATCCTACTTTCTTATTTGCCAACTATGTAGGTTCGTGATATTATTCAACTAAGATTTGGTAGATATATTTTAATGGAATCTGGTCCCATGAAAACATTTATACGAGTTCTACTAATATATTGTCCTGGAATATGATCTTTAAATTAGAACATATGTATGCATGTACTTTTAGCTACAAATTCAAAATTTGTTTTCAGCATATTGTTACATGTTTGGGTATGGATATATTTCTTCATAAACAAAATTACTATTATTATTATTAACTAACAAAAACGTGTAACGCTTTATGCTAAAAATCTTCTTCATAAGCATGCACAGTTCCCTTTTATAAATTTCTTTTTCTATGTTCTGATTTTAACAAGTTACCTAGTAAATATGTTTGAATGTTTTTGTATATTTCCCAGTAATTTGTTTACAAGTAAGACTTACCTGAGATATTGATCAGTAACATTTGCCAACAGATTGTTGAGGCTATGCCCCAAAATGAGGAGGTTCGAGACTTCATGGAAAAATTAGGCAGTTTTTATGAGATAGTAGATGAGGACTCACCCGTTCCCAAACCCTCAGCAGAAAACCACAAACCTCAGGAAGAAAATGGCATTCCATCAGACAACGAATCAACAGGTTAAATCATTAAACTAACTACGGAGATCTGCTTCCTTTCATTGTTGGGTTGTTTGAGTCTTCATTTGAAATATCTTTTTATTTATAGATGGTAAGACCCCACTGGAAATATTTGACCACTCACAAATGGTGGACACTGTTTTGAAGAAAAGTGAGGATATGAATGACTTACTGAACCAATCAGATGAAGTTTTACAAAATGGTTTGGATGAAGAGGATGAAAATGGTAACCCTTTTAATAGTGGAAAGTAAAATAAGGAAACTAAAACCATTTATTATGTTATTGATTGACAGGCAAAGGCAAAATAAGTGCTCAATTCAATAATATTGTATTAAAGTTGTTTGTATTTTTTTTTAATCAGGTAATTGAAATTTTTATGATGAATATTTTCTTCACCAGATACTTCCACAGACATTGCAGTCAGCACAAAGATACATGAAGAGGCAAGAGAGCTAGTCACCATGAATGGAGATCACATACATATCACAGATAGTAGACTGACAGTAGAGGCTCATCAACAGAAGGGAAATAGATCTCCGGGGAATCAAGATAACCAGTCCCCACCCAGAGAGCGTAGGACCCACAGAAACAGACACCCTGTGTCAGGGGACCACCTGACCAGTGAGACAGAGAGTGAGGAAGAATTCTGTGATACCTCCGACCAGCCATCACAGGTAAGGGCTTAAGAAAGCCTTAGCTGTGGGTATTGGTACAGGCTCATTATTAAGTATAATGTTACTGTATAGCAGTCGTTCTCAGTGGACCACAGAGATGCAGCATTAAAAAAATCAGCAATAAAATGGCAGAATTAGAGAGCAGATTTTTCTTTGAACCTGTGTTCTTGACTTCTTAGACTTTAACTTTCTGGCCAAAATAATTTATAGTAGGTAATGCATTTAAGTCAGACATGGTATTTGATTTCTTTTGAATAACTTTAGGACGAAACAGATGCTGTAGGAATCAATCCAGCAATGGCAAACTCTACACCTTTAAAGTCAGGAGGTAACATAGGTAATCACATTCCATTTGGATCTCATGGGCACAATTTTTCCTCCCTTCCCTTCACTCCCTCCAAAGGTCGGCTTTTAGGCTTCGGTAACAGTGGTAGAGGTATGACAGATAGCCTTCTAGTCCATGCGCCAGGACATGACACTATGAACCTCTCCTATAACAGCAGTAATAAGGATGAGGATCAGTCCAGTGGGAGGAGGGATATCAATTTTAACTCATCGTACCTGCAAGACTATGACAAAGATGTCCGGGTAGTGGGAGGAGGGGATATGTCTCCTCCAGGAGGGTATTCTCAAGGTGAAGGTCGACCAATCAGAGTACAGAATGTTGGAGGTAGGTGTAAAGATAATGCCAATGTTATTTTTAATGTTTTCTTTCACACAGTCCTTGTAATCTTAGACACCCTTCCTATTCAACAATTCAAACTGCAAACATTTCCTTTGCTTTCCAAAATTCCTGAAAAAAAAATGAATCATGAACATGGATATATTATATTAAAATCAGCAGTCCTTATTGGATTGTATCTTTGATGTCAACTTTTATATTATTTTTAACTATAGAATGTTGCTTAAATTTCAAAATCACTTTAAGGTGAAATATTAAAGTTTCACAGTACAGTATGTATATATTTTTTATAATCTGTATAACAAAATAGCACTGAAAAGTTTAGTACAATAGTTCATTTTCTTAGGTTATGAGCTCTTTTTAAAGAAGTTAACCATTTCCTTTATTTCTTGCAGGGAGAGAAATGGGAGGTAGACAAAACCAGCAGGGTGGTTCATCAGGCTCTCAGAGTTATCATGGGATGGGTGGGGGTGGAGGGAGGGACAATGAGGGATTCCCTGTGGGGGCCCCCTCAGGGAGCATAGAGGCTCAAATGGCATTGGCTCTGGTTCGCTTACAGCAAGATATGAATAATGTGATGGAAAGAGTCCACAACCTGGAGCGAGCTCAGAGAGATCAGGTACAGCGAACAATTTACAAGAATTAAAATTTTGTAAGCTAATCAGAGCAAAAGGCTCAATCATCAGTGTTTGTACCTTTATGTCTTAAATATTAACATATTCACTCCTTTCTCACTGCCAAAAATTCATGTGCAACAGCAACTAAACAAAATATTTGAAGAAAAGGGAAATACATGTAAATTATTTTTGTGCATATGAGGGACCATACATGTATTTCTAGTTCAGAGGGATAATAGGGTGAATCTTCAAATGTTTGCTGTATACAAATGTATGTTTGTTTTAACTAATTCCCTTCTAGGATTAAGACAGGGAAAAAAGTTCACCTTTTCAACAAAAAAAAATCATTTTAAAAAACACACCTTTTACTTTTTGCATGTTCAAAGGATGAGGTAGGGTAATTGCCAAATCTGGCCCCATATTTGATGTGAAAATCAGAACACTGGTAAAATTGTGATAGTTCGTAATTAAGAACTGAAAATGATGCTTGCTTTAAAACCAGCACTGATTTTGATTCAAAGCTTACATGGAAGCCATTAGAGAGTGCACAAGTAGGACATTTTACCGAATTTACTCCATTCTGGTAGAATTTCATCATACCGTATAATCCCTATTAACCGCCCCGGGCGCTTAGAAAATTGCAAAAAGGGGGCGGTTATTTTGGTGTTCTCTTTATGATATTTAATGTCATATTTTAACTTCAAAAAATCGTTTGAAAATAAAAATTAATACAAGAAACAGCTAAGATAATGTCCAACTTTATTCAAAGTGAAGATAATCCACCCAAATTATGCTAAATTGTTCATTTTCCACGGAGAAATTGGATGACAGACAAATTTCATTTTCACTTTCTTCATTTTTTTGATACGATCCTGGTTGATTTTAATTACTTACAGGGGGCCCTTATTTCCTGACAATCGAAAAAGACCTAAGGGGGTGCTTATAGGGGTAGGGGCAGTTAATAGGGATTATACGGTTTTTGAGATATTTTTTTCTTGGGAAAACATAGAGCACAAGCTTGCCTATCTGAGATTTTTACACATAAACTGCATCTGATAGTACTAGTTGATAAAATATATAAGTTTGGTAGATAGGCAAGCTTGTGCTCTGTTTTCCGAAACAAAATGTGCTGTAAAATCAATGAAAATTTGCATAAACATGAGAAAATTCATAAAATGACCTATTTTCTGACCTCTCTGTGACCTCTGTGAATTTCAAAACTTGGAGCCAGTACTCATTTTATGACAGGGATGACAACAGGTTTCTATGGATAAACTTGCATCATTCTGAAAGACCCCCAAAATCAGGGGCCAAAAACGGGTCTTACACTATCTTGTCCTTCATGTATTCATCAGACTGTCATTTGCAGTTTCTTTTAATTATAATGTCACATAGGCCTAATGCAAAAAATATATGTATATATATCATATTTTCTGCACTTCATTTCCAATTCCTGTTCCAAGGCTGTTTGTTTTATTATCTTCTAATACATCTTTAACACTTGATGGTTTTAGGGTAGAAATGAGAGTCATAATAAAGACAAAAAGGCAAGTATTTCTTCCTATCTCTTCACCACCATTATCATACTATATACTGTTTTTCAAAAGTAACATCAACACACTCTGCTAAATATATACAGGAGTGCTTATCTTAGCACAAGAATCTTTTTTGTTATTTTATGTGCATGATGACGAACGTGGGTATACATGCAAATTAATAAGTAAACAAATTTTTGATATTTTCAAAGATTGAATAAACAATTTTATTTCTTCCTAGACATCCCAGTGGTGGCCTTTTGATTTCAACAGAAGATCTCTATTTGCCCTTCTAGTCTGGCCTCTTGTTGTACACTGGATACTACTCAAGTTATTCCATAGGAGGTAAGATCTAGAAAGCTTACAGTCTTAATTACCATTTATGAAACACCCTCTTGCCTTATATTTCATTACATGTGCTCGATAAAGCATTTTTTCTTCTGCATAACATAACATGATTAGTGTTAGGAACAAACATTCCACTGGCGCAATGAATTTGTTTGTAAAAACAGAAGTAGAGAAGACAAATTGTTTTTTCCATATATAGTATTTGATAAATACAATTTTTTTTAATTGTTTGATAATAGATAGACTTATAATATAATGTGTAACTTGTAAAAAAAATTGCATGTAGGCCCTAAATATTTTAGATTAGGCTAGAGTAACATGCTATTTTATCAGTACCTCTTATCATGTTTATTATCACTGAATTTTCTTTATTTTCAGGAAACACAGACCACAATGATTTCCTGAAGTTCCAATCAATTATCTGTGATTTTTAATTATTTAAAAGTTAAGTGATGTTATTTTGTGTTTTAAAACTGATTACTTATACAAGACAATGTTTTATGTCATGATATGTTTGACTTGGCATTCTAGTAAATTGTAAAATATGACAATGGCATAGTTGAGTTGTGTTTTTGATATCTCAAAAATCATTATTGATATCAATTTCTTTGTCAGTTGTTGCAAAGCCTTCAACAGCCGTTACACAGAACATGACAGCTTCACCTGGGTTGCTTTAATTCAGTCAAAAATATGACATTTTCTCTGTTACATGTTGAAATTCAAAAGCATTGCACTGCTTACCTTGCTTACATGTAATGCAACCAGAATAGCAGTGTTACTTTGGACTGAATGACTTCTATACCATTTCACCACGTGGCATAAGGTGTTAATGGTCCTGGGACTTAAAACTCCCTATGGTTATTAGAAGCAGGACCAGAAATAAAAGTTAAAACAAGAAAAAGCTCGTACTAGTTCTTGCTGTATATATACAAAAAAACGAGCTTTAGCTTAAAATAGAGGCCATTACGTGTTCACCCACCCAGTTATTTACAATTGTTAACTTTTTGAATTACTGTACATATATCTTTTTATCCATACGTTAATTTTTCGGTTTTTGCCTTGATCAGATATCATTATTCGGATGGTTCACTGAACTAAATTAAACTTCAGTTATCCTCTTGCAAGGAGTTGGTCATTTCTAACTTTTGTTACACAGACTGGAACAAAATAATCTGCGCAAAATCCCAAATGAAAGAAACAGATTTTAACGATCGCAAAAAGCTTCATTATAAGGAGTATATCTGCCATTAATACTTATATGAATTACTTATATGAATAAGTGTTACTTTGAAATTACACTAACACATCATTAATACTAATGTCGGATATACTGGTAAACCCTCGAATTTGAAACAAAGACGCTCATAGATTTTGTGTATTCCCTAGCCACTCTTGTAGATATGATAGAAATATGTCCATTAGCGATATTTTGCTGATGCTTACCAGTATTAATCTTACTTATGTCAGTATATTTTAGTATTGATGTACTTTTTAGATTAAAAGAGAGAGAGACAGATCATCAGATACATGTGAGATAAAATTGTATGGTCTAAGAGCAGGAATTTATTTTTGCATAGCTTTCAGAATGACTGCATACCAACGTCTCGAATTAAAATGATTAAAAAAAAAAGAAAATATGATTCGTTCAAAACAGTAAATTGAAGAAAAAAGATTGAATCTATTCATTTCGACCAAATTTGAACCGATTTTCACCAAAAAAACGTGCACATCCCCCAAATACGCGAGTTTGTAAATAGTGAAAAAATATAGTAAAACTTAGTTATTGCGAAGTCACTGAGACCCATGAAATAACTTCGTTTTAACCGTAGTTAAGAAATTTGTTAGATTTATCATAGACCTAAAATGAGGTATATGGATTTATATAGCTGGGGATCCAAGATAACTTCGCTATATCCGTGAATTTGCAATATACCCGTGTTTGTGCTAAACTAGTTATCATATATCATATCCAAAACATTTGTTCGGATGATAAATAAATTCGGATTAAGCCATACAGACTCTGCACAGGCACTTGTTTCGGAAATAAATTTTAACTCACCGTACCGTACATGTAAAATGTCATGGGATAAAATTCATTTCCGAAACAAATGCCGCTGATATTTGAAGTTAATTAATATCAAATCTGTCGTTCTTAACAATACAAGTTGTCTCCCCTTTCGGCCGTATGACGTCATAACCAAATTACGTTACGTTTGAATTACATGACGGGGAAATAATACTGAGGCAAGTATAAAAAGTATTTAGACTTACTTTAGTTTGTTTGGCATTGTAATAACCAAAGTAATTTTATTTTTAAAAATCGCTCATGAGGGATTACATGTATTATCCTGACCACTGGAGTTCGTTCCTATCAATTTTACCAAAATTTTCAGTAAATTGAAAAAGGACGTAATACCTTCAATAATAACACGTGTTATTATTATATGTATTACATTTTTTTATTTACTGAAAATTTTTGTAAAACTGATAGGTCCGTGAACTCCTGTGATCATACAGTTTTAATTGTATTTTCGAATTGAAAGGCTTTTGAAAAATTTTATAATGTAAAAAAAAAATAATAAAAATCAAGGTTCATAATGTTTATATAATGTATCTGTTGCTTATATTTAAGGAATAACTGTCTTATTTTTCGATTTCATGAAGTGATCAATCGATTGGCTTGCGTAATAATTTGCATAAACGCCGAAGGCGTTTATGCATAAAATTATCACGCAAGCCAATCGATTGATCATCTTCATAAAATTGAAAAATCTGACAGTTATTCCTTATATTTACACGCTTTGATTCCTCCAATCCACGTGCTCCAAGCCCTGCTTCTGTCCAGCTGTTTGTCCCGCCCTGCACGTGGTTTTTTTGGAACCGCGCCAATACATTGATGGGGAAATAAAGTACATAATTTACATTTGGTAATTTTATCTCGGACAAAGACATTGGAAATGTAAATATTATGTAATCCAAAGTACATATTTTTGTCATTTTACGTGTTCTAATCATATTACCCAGATAGCATGACTATGTTGGGCCCACATTTGTAAAAGGTTGTATGGTTGGCGTTGGGGGAACAACGTTGGGCCAACGTTGGACCAATGTTACCAAGTCAACCTTCTTGACCATGACAGAATTCCTATGTTGGCCCAACGATGGTCCAACGTAAGCAACTTCCATTCACTTTAGTTCCCAAGGAAGGAAGGATCCTGGTGTTGGTCCAATGTTGGACCAATGTTTATAATACACCCTTAAAGAAAAGTGTATTTACAAGTTGGTAGTAGTATGCTGGCCCAACGTTGGCCCGATGTTTGTAATACACCCTTAAAGAATGTGTCTTATCAAGTTGGTAGTAATATGTTGGCCCAACGTTGGCCCATTGTTAGTAATACACCCTTAAAGAAAATGTCTTATCAAGTTGGTAGTAATATGTTGGCCCAACGTTGGCCCATTGTTAGTAATACACCCTTTAAGAAAGTGCCTTATTAAGTTCAAGTAGTATGTTAGCCCAACGTTGGCCCGATGTTTCTAATACACCCTTAAAGAAAATGTCTTATCAAATTGATAGTATTATTTTGGTCCAACGTTGGCCCATTGTTTCTAATACACCCTTAAAGAACGTGTCCTATCAAGTTGGTAGTAGTATGTTGGCTCAACATTGGCACAATGTTGTAATACACACAAGTGTTATTTTGTTTAGGTGTTTAAATATCCCATCTTTTAAAAGATGGGATATTTATATAGGGCCAACCTAGGCCCAATTATTATACTTCCAATTAATTGATGGTGTCAGTTTTATAATTAGCTGCCGAGCTTTACGTTGGGACAACGTTGGCACATTCTGAAATAATTAAGAGGACTTTCTATGTCCATGCTTATCATTGGATGACTGCTCTTGTTTAGATATGATATTTTCAACATTTTAACTTTGCACTTAAGTGATCACAGCACCAAAGAGTGTTTTATTCTATTTTTTGAATTGTGTTTATGCTTATATTTACTTGTAATAAACCAGATAGCAGAATATCGTTGGCCCAATCTTACATTATGGTTGTATTATCTATGTTGGGTTACCTTTATTGGGCCAACAATGGCCCAACATGGAATATCGATAGCTGGTTATGTATAATTGTGCGCTAATGTTGGGCTAACTGTTCGCAGTATATCATAAAATTATTATCATGAGAGAAAATATTTGTTTGGGGATTGGCATCGGCCCAACGTTGGCCCAATATACTCGTACCATGAATCTGACTGAGCATCATGGGTAGACAACAACCGGGCTACTTGTAATATCCGCGCCATTTTTAATCTGACAAGAGTGAGCGTAATGAGACTGATACCTTGCATATCTGCATCCACTTTGTAAGTATTTATAATATGTTTGCCTAGGCACAGCTGAATTAACGTTTAATTTTGAAACGATATCATGTACAAATCTGCGCAAAGCAGACACGGGGAAGTGCAGAGGCATGTGCTGTTGGGTCAACACTGTACCCCAGATGGCATGCTAACACTGGGCCAACGTTGGGCCAATGTAATCGGTTACATCGGGCCAATGTTGGAAAATGACATTGAGCCAATTTAAGTTTGTTCATCGGCCCAATGTTGGCCCGATATGTTGGGCCAACGTTGGCCCAGTGTAGAGTGTTATTTCTACAGATATTGGCCCAACGTTGCGCCAACATTGGCCCAATGAATGCGAAATTGTTTGACCAACGTCAATAGGAACATTGGGCCGATGTTGGCAAATGCCGTTGGTCCAGTGTCATTTTGCTCCTTGGCCCAATGTTGGCCCGATATTTTGGACCAACATTTGGCCAATGTGTATAAACATTTAATTGTTACAAATCTGTATAATAACAAATCTGATCGTCTCTTCAATCAAAAATAAATCTACAACCAATCCTACTTGAAAGTACAAGTTAGCTAAAATGAATTTACAAGGCTTGTTAAAACTCTTATAATTTATCAAAACAAAATAAATTATCAGTGATTAAATGTTTTGTTTTTATACAAGAAAAATAAATTAAAGTATAAAATAACAAATGTGTTTTGATACAGTTAAAACAATAAATAATTTGCCCCTCATTTAGATTGAAATGTGTGACTAGTAAAATACATTTCCGAAGTCTACCACTTAATTTACTTATATACATTTAACGTCGAGCACATGATCAAACATTTTGAAAATGTTGAACTTGTTGAAGTTAAAACTAAATTTATTCAGTACAAAACATAATTTGGGTTCTTTCAATTAAAATTTGTTCAGTGTAATGACTTTTCTGTACATGTATTTTATATGGGGCAACATTGAATCAAAATCGTTGTGGTGATGATGATGATCAAGCGTAGAAATGTTATGCATAAATGCCTTCATCATGCAAGCTAATCACTTAATCACACCATGAAACAAAAAAGACGGTTATTCCTTAATTGACAGCTTAAACATATAGTGATATACTTGAAAATTTAATCGTATGTTTACTCTTTACTGAGAAAAGTAACAAATGTATTAAGTACCAAATATTACAATTTTAGTGTTACTGGAGATTCTAAAAAGACATTCAGAACACAATCAAAGAATAGCTAAGGTATGCCAAGGACAGGGATGGGGGAGGAAGAAACGGACAGAGAAGAAAAGAAGGGGGAGGAGGAGACTCGGGAGAGAGAAGAGAAGACTTAAGAGAGGGATCAGATGGAAAGTGGCAGTGCCTAGCTTTTTTCTGTTATATACTGTGACAAACCTGTAGTTCTACCCTTTTCTGTGTCTGTTTGTCGATTACAAACACGATTTTTTGTGTAAGTAAACAAAATGACGGGATTCATTTTAGTATTCTTTTAAGAGCGGGGGGGGGGTGTTTATTTGTTGGACCTGCTTATTGATACCTGTAATTTATTGAACTTGTGCCTAAATTTACATCAGAGAGGGAGTATACAGTCATGTAACCCTACATGTATCGCTTGAAGTGAGCATCAACTTTTATTTCTTTATTAATGTTTTCTTCATGCACTGAGCAATAAAATACTAGTATGTTATAATTTAATTTTATATTTTGATTTCTTTTTCCTCAGTTGTTTAATTAATGCTATAAGATATATATTGAGAATATGTATTAAACTATTAATCTAGCATATATAGATATTATTAAAGGGCTTTTACCATTAAACTGTACTACAAAACTAGTATAACCTTAATATATGTATTTGTTTGTCAATTTTGAGGACAAATGGCCAACCAGTGAAGAGCAAATGAGTTGTCATAATGGAGAGCCAATACAAACCAACGTTGGCCCAAAAATGATGTTTGCCTAATATTAAAAGAATAAGTGGCCCAACAATGGCTCAATAATATCCGTTCGTTGGTCCAGCAATAAGCCAACAAGTTGGTCTGATTAAGTGCCGATGAGCAAATTACCGTTTGCCCAAAATTAATTGCTTACAATGGCCCAAATGTACAAAAATGACGTTTGCCCAACATTAAAAAAAATACATTGGCCCGACAGTGGCCCAATATTAACTGTTACATTGGCCCAACAACAAGCCAACAAGTTGGTTTGATGAAGGGCCGATGAGCAAATTACCGTTGGCCCAACATTAACTGCTTACAATGGCCCAATTGTACAAAAATGACGTTTGCCCAATATTGAAATAATACATTGGCCTAACAGTGGCCCAATATTAACTGTTACATTGGCCCAACAATAAGCCAACAAGTTGGTTTGATTAAGGGCCGATGAGCAAATTACCGATGGCCCAATGTTGAATACAAACGGTGGCCCAACATAAGGAGCATTGTTGGCCCAACAAAGGTCCAATAACATCCTGCTATCTGGGTTAAGAAGTTGCAGTTTTCTTTACAAAAATAAAAGTGCCATATAAAGGTATGAACCCCAAGGAATCTCATAAAAACCAGACTTCTTTAGTTCTTAGATCGCGCCGTATACATTCCTTTTACGCATTGTTCGGCCATATTAATTTATACCCCCGCTTGAAAAGCGGGAGGGTATATAGTAATCGGTATGTCCGTCCGTCTGTCTGATATGCTTTGGGGTACACATTTCTTTTCTGCAACTCCTCTCATACCACTGAATGAGATTTGATGAAACTTTCACAAAATATTTATAATTTATAACATATTGTCATTGTGCACTTCTTGTTTTACTTTTTGATCCGACACATATTTTAGGTTTCCGACAGCAAAAAATAGACACTGCCATTATATTCATATGGGAGGCGGGGGGTATAAATTAGTGAGTTCATTGCTCACTGTACCTCTAGTTTTTTTTAGCCTCCATCTCTAAATAAGAATATTTGTATGAACATTTTTCGAATCCATGTGCAACATTTGGAATTGATTCAGATATTGAACTACAATGTACATGTAGTTATCACCCAAAAATGCCACCGTTTCGATATGACTTCAAAATCATATAGATAAATATACAGTAAGGTGGTCGCATGTTTTCTAAACTGAAAAAAATCCATTTTTTTGACATAATTATCATCATACGCAATTTTTGCAGAAATCATTAATACGGACGCGTTGGCCCTTGTTATACTCGTACCATTCTGTCATGACTTTGTCCATCTTTCCCTGTCTTGTATTACTTGTTGGATCCTGCAGCGGATTTATATTTGGATGTAAGTGCTTTCACGGATTATTGAGTTTCTTGTTACTTTTTAATCAGTTTCAGTATTTAGTTAAATATACTATTATTTTATAATATTTGGATCTCAATTACACATATTCATTGTATTTTTCAGCAAATGTGCATCCCTGGGACGGATTGAAAGGTAAAATCTACAATGCAACCAATGATTAAAACACTCCTCCACATACTGGTATAAAAAATTAATTGTTAGATTGGCTCCCTTTATAAGGAGAAAATTCTTCAAAACCATGTCAGTTTTTTAAATGTAATCATGCAACAATCAAAACGAATTTGAAATGGTTGATAAACTTCATAAAATCATTACAAGGAAAGATCCAAAGCGATTGTCAGTAAATGTTTTACCAAGCCCCTTTTTTACTCAACGAAAATATTAACAGCAGTAAAGGACAAACTTCAGAAGAACTGTACAACGATAATTTGAGAAGTGAAGTAAATCAGATGTGGTACTTACAAGTTAATAAGTAGATAACCAAGTTTTAGCATCAAAATAGGCGACTTTCAACACTTTACATACACCATAGTCAGCGGACTTTTCATTAGAAATTGAATTTTTAAATTTACTTACCCTGCCATTGGTCATTTGCATATTTCTTTTGTTAAATGTACACAAGTACCCCGAAGTTCCTAACTTACAAGATGCTCGAGTTTCCGATTTACAGTATCTACGTAGATTAATTGAAGCTCAAGTCTATCGGAATTCTTATGGGTACCAATTGCACCTCGCTGCTACCAACCTATTTTTATATTCATGTAAGAAAAATTTGTTTCATATTTGAATATTTTACAAGAAAGGGGCATTTATGCATGTTACATTAACAACAACAACAAGAAAAGAAAACGGCGATAAACGCGATCATGATTCTATTTTCCCCCTTCAATACTCTTTTATTTGTGTAGGAATGCACCTTTTCACCTGCATATGGGGTATAAGTCTCCCAGCTGAATCGATTAACAAAGGCATGTACTTCAAACAAACAGTTTCCAAAACGAGCCAAGCTATTGGCAAAGAAGTTAATGAAACAAGGATATCAGCAGTGGCATTTGAAGTCATCATTTCTTTGGTCGAAACAACGATCATGTCAGCAAGTACAATCTATCATCAAGCCGACTGCTGACTGGCGTTTAACATATCAAAGATAAGAAAAAATATCTGAGAATATTTCCGTTGTATTAATGTGGACAATAAGCTTACGGCGGGTGTGAACGGTCGACAGCGGATGCTTACTTATGGTACTCTATCCCACCTAGCTTTGGTCAGTATATTTGCTCTGCTGCTGATTGTATTGTTTTAATGGACTTGTGTTGTTATACTGTTTATTATCTCCATATTTCAATGAAGAACTCGATATAGGATTTAAGATCAATTTTAAAAATACATACATTTATGCAAAATGACACTATGATCTGAATGTCTAATGAAAAATTCAAAACTCACAACTGTAGACTGTAATTATTGTTTTGTTTTCTTTCACTGTTACACACATATTTATATACTTTGTTGGAAGTTAGATGGTAGTATTTTTGCGCACTAGTATTTGATGTCGGGATGCCTGTATATATATATTTACAAAAAAAAATAATGCATTTTTTTGTTTCAGCTTGAGAACTAGAACTAGTTCCGGACAAAAAATGTAATTATGTTAAATCAATATAAAACTCTTCAATAATTAGCACATTACAAATGATAGACGTGTACGATATACTTGTTTTTTTTTTTATGTGTACCTTATCCCAGACTCTGATTTTTTGAGAATCTCTTGTCACTTAAAAACATTTCCCGCAAAAACATACACCGCAGTACACAAATCTTGTACATCGTACGGCCCGACTGCTTAGAGAATGCTAAAGAGTGCTACCTAAATCCTTAAACCTTTTTAAAAGACTTAGTATCAACTTTGCAATTTTAGTGACTTTGGGTTGTAAAGCTTCATCGGTAAAAACATTGTAAATTTCTGAGAATTAGGGTAAACCTTTCAATTGCAGTCAATTGTATCCATTTTTTAAATTTCAGTGACTTGGGGTATAAACCCTTTCAATAGTATCAACTTTGCTGACATGCCCAGAACAGAGGCCGAGGCCGAACAGAGTGGATTTACAATAATATCAGGTTGTGGTGAGTATATTTTGACTATTTTTTAGAATATCTGGATATTTCAATGGTCGAAATATAAAATGCTATTGGGTAGAATTATATCTGGATGATAATACATGTAGATTGAATTTGCCTACAAAATGAGTATCAACTTTGCCAACAAAAACATTTAATATGTTTTATCTTTTAATTTATTTGTTTACTTACATTCATATTAGGTGGACATTCACTGAATATGGTTGTGTATATAAAAAAGATATTTTTCATGCAGAATATAACATAAACTATGAAACTTTATATCTTATTTCAAACTCTTGACTGTTTTGGTTTAATCTGTAGAGAAAAAATCTAAATTCTTAAAACACTTCATATCTCAGCATTCAAACCTTAAAAAACTCGTATTTTTTCAACTTGAAAATCTGATACCTTCTAAAAGTGTATAAATGTACACGTATGTCACATTTAGAACATGAAAATTTTCTTGGAAAGAGATACATGAAAGACAATGACCCTGCTGTCATCCTTATTTATGACGTCAACGGCTACATTGCTGGTATCCAAGCCGGGGTAAGCTAGCATTCAGGACCATACAATTGATGTGTGTTTTTCTTTAAAAGTGTGATGAAAACTTTTGGATTTATTATGAGGAAATCCTTAACAAATAACAAGCTAATTACATGAGGGCAACTTGGCTTTTGAATTAACAGATACCCACAACTCTGAGTAATGGTTATCCATCCTTAGAACTTCAGAAACATCCATTTGTCAGAGATTTTGACAAGCATTACATTACAGCTTACTTTGTGTCACCAGGTATAAAATAAATTTCTCATTATGAATTTAATTTTAATGAATGGTAGTTATATATGAAGGTAAAGTATTGTTTATATAATAATCTATATGTATTGATATTATAATAAAGTACTCTGAAAATTATTAAAATCTGACACTCATTGCAGGTTTAGGGGAGTGGTTGATTTTTAGTGTTTATTAAGCTGATAATTGTTGATTTTAGCTGTTTCCTGGCCTGTGGGTCATAAAACTAAAACGAGTCTACATGTACTTTTGATTTCAGTCTCACATTTCCCAAAGGATTTAATAGTGGAAAAGTGAGACTGAGATCAAAAGTGAGCTCGTCTAAGTTTTATGTCCCAGGCCAGTTCTAGTCTGGAATGGTTCTGGTGATTAGTTCTATATCATATTTTTTTGTTTATAATATACTATATTTTATACAGATTTGATATGTACACGTGGGCGCACTTCCAGTGAGGTTAGTACCCAGTGTACAGGGACCGATCTGTACATACAAAATAGTACTAACCCAATGGAGTCTATAAAAATACCCCACCAGGAGGCCGACATTGGATCGACAAAATGGGTCAAAGGTCACTGCTTTCCGGCTATGGGTAAACACTTTTATTTTCTGATGAAGGATTTACCTGATTGTATCAATTGTTAGAACTATGTTTGAGACAATATAAAATGTTAACGTTGTTTGCATTATTTAAAAAAAAAAACCATTTTCCCATTATAAAAATATGGAATCTATCTGTTGCAATTCTAATTTAATCTCAATGACCAGCATCTAAATTTCCATATGTTAACTATATCGTATGTAATCAGAATCTTAAAAGTTCAGAATAAGGTTTAAGTTCTGCAGCAATATACCACCAATATCAGAATTCATATGAAGTAGAATTTATCAAAATGCACGTAAATGAAAATTAAAGGAAAAGTCTCTTGATGTGGCCTTCAGTTTAACATTTAGATACCGATATATATCGAAGAGGTTTGATCAATCAACAATATTCGTTTTCATTCCTGACACATGTTTCAAATTTAAGTATATTACAAAAAATGTATATTTTTATTCTTACTACAAACATGATGACTTTAACCCTTCTGTTGTCAACTTCCCTAAGTATGTATACCATGAACAATCACCAGTAGATCATACTCTATGTACGATCAATTCCAAAATTAGTCAATCTATTGATTAATAAGTTGACAAAAACAATATTTCAACATTCCCGATTAAACTCAATAGTTCGCAAAGACTATCTTCACCGACCTTGTCACCAACTATCATCTCTTATTTAGTCGAATGTGGTTGGCAACAAACTAATTGTTAAACAAAATTGTTGCTTTGTGTTATTCCCCAATTATGGCAAGGAGCGCACGAAAAGTGACTTAGACTCCTTCATGGCACCTAAATCCCACCTCAGACCTTTAATCAAAAATAGTACAATGTAGACTTTTGTCACCATGGACAGTTTATTATTATCTCTATAATTTGAAAATTTAACAATCGAATGTAAAAGGACTTTAAACATTTACATAATGAAAATTTGCTAATTTGTGTTAATGCTTTTTGACACTGATCAATTGTGTTCCTTCTATATAATGGAGGAATATTGAATTTTTGGATGGGCTTTTATTCCATCACCAATGTATCCCAATCAACGTTCAAAGGAGATTGGATTAATATTATTGTTTACGGAGTATCAAAAAAAAAAATTCATATGTATGCCAAACTGGATTTCTTTTTGGAAGTCATAAAGTTTTGGTGATTCCCCAAAACTTTTCAAAAAGGGTAAGGAATAAAGTCATTGTACTGAAGGATTACCTGATTATAAAACTGATCATATATGGCACCATTTAATATTTTTGAAAATTACGACACAAAACCAATTGAATTAACCTCAGTAACCTTTCAGAAGAGTTAGAATGTAACATATATTGTTAATTATTTCACAAATAAATACAACAATTTAGTCGGTTTGACCTATACAGGGAGCAAGCGGAAATTGAGTTGGTTGTTTTCAAACATGACGTATTCACTCATGTGCAAATTTTTTTTAAAAGAATCCAGTATTAGGCATTGCACAATAATTATTTTGAAATTAATTGTTCAAGTTAGCTGTTTATAAATACTCAACGTTAATAATTATCTTTTCAGTATTATAACCATTTGATATTGAACATATAGCCTATAATTGAAAATAGTTTCAAGCAATTTAGTTTAAGTATTTTTTTATTTCCTTTCATAGCAAGGCTTTCATTTAAAGAATCAAACCTAATTTTTTCCAATGGGAAAACTTTCCACACCATATTTACCTTAATAAAATTGATCTTTTCTGCGATTGAATTTTTCTCTTTTTTATCAGTTTGTAAATAAGTAAGACCATTACAACACTTTAAAGAAATCAAGGAATAGACTATAAAAACAAAATATATCATACCTTTTTCCATTTTAAAAACGATTAAGATTTTTTTATAATGTTTTTGCCAAGTTATTGAAACATGACCGGTTGTTCATTTTTAGATTTTACGTGTATGATGTTAGAAATAAAATGCAATGCTTACAATATACAGTACTTTTTTTACTTTTAATACTTTTGTTATCATATGTCTTGCATTTCAAACATAATGAAAATTTGAATCGTGAAGAAAAATAGACTTTTGTAAACAGTCACTGCTCAAATTTTATTTGATTAAAGTTGTTAAAATGAATGTGAATCGGAAGAAAAATAGACTCCATATATACCCTATACCCTGTCCTCTCAAATTTTGAATGATTATAAAAAATCATCATATTACATGATTACAGAGACTTTAGGGTATCAATGAGTTTTATTAGAGAGATAGAAATCAATATTGTTTTGTATAATGTTCTATTCATGGGAACACTCCTATATAAAACTTTTCTTGGAGCGAAAAATCAGTTTTAATTATTTTTTATAAAATCTTTGAATTACAGTGTATATTTCAGTCGCATTTTAAGGTCAATAGTTTCAAATGAACTATCGTCTCATAATACGTTATGCAATGGTTTGAACATTTTCAACTTCTCTAAAATGTTAGATCAACCTTAATCCTTATTTGACATGAACAAGATATAGGTTAACTTCTTTTTTCACTGAAAGGGGAGAGGAAAATTCTTTCACTAAATAAAAAAAATCTATATGAGTAGGAGCGCAGATCATACCGTGATATGAAAACATTACACCTTCCACAATCGTGTTTCTGCCTATGGATATTTACCAAACCAACTATTTGAATGGTAATAAATTGCCCTGAATTATATATAATATAAATTATTATTATTATTAATTATATATATATTTTTGTAATGTTTAAAAGGACTTTTGATGGTTAATACATGACTTAATTTCTCAATATAATTCAAGAAAATAAAACGATAACCTGACGTTACAAAGCAATAAAAGGATTATTATAACCATTTACATATTGAAAATTTTGTGCTTTTATTTCAGGTGCAAAAGTGGTTCTTATAAATTTATATGAAATTCACATGAATTTCATGTGAAATGTCATGTGATCGAAAACAATTTTCAAGTGTGTTCCATTCTATATAATCTTGAATGCGTTTGGTTTTCATTTAGAAGGCACTGAGTCCATCACCAAATCAACTATAAATAGTCATTAACAATGAAACGTTCAAAGTATGGATCTGAAATATTATTGTTTACGGAGTATTCCAAAAAAAATACTATTAAAATGTATGCCAAACTGCATTTATTTTGGAAGTCATAAAGTAATTTGGCTTTTGATTCCCCAATCGGTCTTTTCAAAAAGGGTAAGGAATATAAGTCATTGTACCTGAAGGATTACATATGTCACTGATTATAAAACTGATCATATATGGCTTAATGTCCTCGGTCATTTAATATTTTTGAAAATTACGACACAAACCAATTGAATTAACTGCATATTTAGTATATGAGTGGCTACTTTATCCATAACAGTAAGCATGTTATACTTTCAGAAGCAATTTTATTTTTAGAATGTAACATTTAAACCTGGCATGTTTCCGAATTATTTCACAAATAAATACGAACAATTTAGTCGGTTTGACCTTATGCCCTACAGGGAGCATAGCGGAAAGGTAAATTGAGTTGGTTGTTTTCAAACATGACGTATGGTCACTCATTGCAAATTTTTTTTAAAAGAATTCTTTTGTCGTATTAGGCATTGCACAATAATTATTTTGAAATTAATTGTTCAGAGATCATAGTTTGCGCTACTTTCAAACTACTACACTACGTTAATAATTATCTTTTCAGTATTATAACCATTTGATATTGAACATATAACCTATAATTGAATACTAGTATCAAGCAATTTAGTAATTTAGTATATTTCTTTAATTTCCTTTCATTTTAGGCTTTCATGCAAGTCAAACCTAGTTGTCTTGACCAAGCAGGGACGCTTTCCACACTTCATATTTACCTTAATGGACGTCCACAGACTGACTTTCTCTGCGATTAAATTTTTCTCTCGTGTATTTCATACCGTATTTAGTTTCAGTTTGTAAATAAGTAAGACCATTACAACACTTCAAAATAAAGAAATCAAGGAATAGACTATTCAATCTTTTTTTGCTTTCTCTTGATTGCTTCTTCTCGAAAATATGCATGACCTTTTTCCATTTTAAAAACGATTAAGATTCCCCTTTAAAAGAATGTTTTTGCCAAGTTAGTTGAAACATGACCGGTTGTAAAACATTTGTAGATTTTACAAAAAGGACTGACAGATGTCTAGAAATAGAGTAAAATGCAAGTGAGCTTACAATATAGTGTACTTTTTAAGCACTTAAATTAATCTTAGATTGTTATCATCTATGTCTTGCATGGAAAGCAGATCAAAATAAGTTTTTAAAATAAATGTGAATCGGAAGAAAAATAGACTTTAGTAAACAATGTCCTCTCAAATTTAATTTGATTAAAGTTTTTAAAATGAATGTGAATCGGAAGAAAAATAGACTCCATATATATCCTATACCCTGTCCTCTCAAATTTTGAACGATTATAAAAAATCATCATATTACATGATACAGAGACTTCCGGGTGAATGAGTTCTGATACGCCGATGATAGAAATCAATATTGTTTTGTATAATGTTCTATTCATGGGAACACTTTTAATTGAAAGTACTTTTCTTGGAGCGAAAAATCAGTTTTAATTATTTTTTATAATGTATTTTTAGAATTACAGTGTATATTTCAGTCGAGCATTTTAAGGTCACCTGAGGACTCAAATGAACTATTGTCTCATAATACGTTATGATTAAAGGTTTGAACATTTTCAACTTCTCTGAAATGTCAGATCAACCTTAATCCTTATTTGACATAAACACGAGATATAGGTATAACTTCTTTTCATTCTATTGAAAGGGGAGAGGAAAATTCTTTCACTAAATAAAAAAAATCTATATTAGTAGTTGATCTATGATCATACGCTGATATGAAAACATTACACCTTCCACAATCGTGTTTCTGCCTATGGATATTTACCAAACCAACTATTTGAATGGTAATAAATTAGTTTATATAGCACTAAATTATTATATATATATATATATATTTTTTAAAAATTCAACCAATTCCCTTGAAATGGTTAAGCCCATGAGTTAAGCTTTGTCTGTTGTATTGAAGAAATACAATACGTTTTTAATGTCTCAATATTACACAGACAAATTATTGGTATGATTATTATATGAGTTAAGTCTCTATCGATATCGTTAATTTTGTGTTTTCTGGGTACACAGGCAAAAATGATTCTTATAAATTTATATGAAATTCACATGAATTTCATGTGAATTAATTAGCATGAGAAAAGGACGAAAACAATACATTTTTGAAAATTTCAAGTGATTTTGACATTAATAACTTTCATATGAAGTGAACATGTCGCATTGATATCTTTAAAAAAAAAAAGAAAACATCACATGAAAGTGAAAGACTTTTTTAGAAAATATATATAAATGTCATACAAACTTATTCACATGAAATTCGCATGAAAAGTAATTTTTACATTAAATAATGTCTTTTCAAATAAAAAGCTAATGAAATGAATATCATGTGAGCCACTGTTCCCTGTGTGGAGTCCAGAATGTAGCAGGTCATGATATCAGACATTGTATTCGATACCTAATAAAAAGAATGAAGATAACAAACAGTGATCGATCTCAAACATGTAAGGAATGAAGCATATTTCATATAACATAATTTGGGCAGTTTACGCATTATAAACAGCTTCTAAAAAAGCGTAAACTGTCCCAAGTTATATCATATCGTTGAAATAATCTTCATTTCTTATAATTTTATTACAGTGTAGACAATGAGACATTTTTTCCTCCAGAAAAAGGCATCAAAATTAGCATATTTTAAAAGTAACGTCAAGAAGAGTAATACGTTTTTGACGTAACTCATTGATGTGTAACAACTAAAATTAAATTATTCACAAAAATACAAATTTTTGAATGGGGCACACACACGAACCCCTTGGAAATTCAACAGGTGGAAAGGAGGAGTAAGCATATCCTATGGACAGGCCACACACCCCCTGACCTTTTGTTTGTTTTGTTTAATGTCCTTCTAGAGAAGTTTTCACTCATATTACTTGTCAGTGGAGAGCTCCAAATTTTGTCCCATTCTCGGCAATTATTGCCATTGAAAAGTGGGTGATCTTTTTTGGTGCCAGCAGGTACCTACTGCAACGCGGTTCATCAATTTCTATGGTCTTATCCGAATGATCGGTCTCCACGTTCCAAAATGGGATTCGAGCCCGAGATGTAATGATTAACGTCTTACTTTGCGCCAAACTTCCGCCAGAGTTCGTTTATACCAAACGCGGAGTGTGCAGAGGACTATGGGTAATATGACTTAGCGCCTCTAGAGCAGACCCTTTAAACACTGCGCCACGCAGGCGATGTATTCATCATGAAGACTGAACATTCCGATCGATCCGTAGTCGAAATATTAGTCTAAAACAACGGCCTAACAATTTGTATGAAATTAGTCAGACAAAGTACGACGCAATTATGTTATCATTGTCATTATAATGACCATAGAATTTACGGAATGCAGACTTTAAACAACATACAAGTATTTTAAAACCCTGTTACATCAACTTATCTGTCGGAAACTTCCCATGGCTAAAACACTGATCGTTTTCGGATCGAGCATCCTAGGCTTCAGGAGTTTAAATTGGGAGATGCATTTGATAGTGAAAAACCCCTGCATAAATAAGCAAAGTTGACGTTGAAGAAGTTGAAATCATCTTGCTTGTCATACAATTTCATTATCTATTGGACCTTATCGTCTATTGTCAGTAAAACATCCAAATATGAAGACGTTGCGGACTCTGTGATAACTGATATCTTTAACTTCACGTTTACTTGGATGTATCGAATGTTTCAAATAAATAAATGTAACGATTAATAATACGTTGTCGAGATATTTAAAGTCAACTTAAACGCTTCAGCAATTTTATTTATTTTTTAAATTTTTTATTTATATTATTATTTATTTATTTATTTTTTTGTAAAAAGTTTTCTGAATAAATTCTGCTTCAAAAGTTATGAAATCTGGTCAGGTTATGATGGAGCATAATTAGTGACAACGGAGTTCCTACAAATTAAAATTTTGAATACCTCCACGCAATACAATCATTCATAAAAAAAAAAACCAATCAAGATTTTTACTGTTTATATATATTTTGATATCGATCACTGTTTGTTATCTTCATTTTTTTCAAGTATGACATTTTGGAGATGACGAGAAGTCATCAAGCTCAAAAATACAAATAAACAAAACAAATAGGAAGTATAGCAAACACGAACCTCTTCAACAACAAACTAGAATCTCTAAAACAACAAACAAGAAGATCTAAAACAACAAACAATAATCTCTAAAACAACAAACTAGAATCTCTAAAACAACAAACAAGAAGATCTTCAAACATCAGAGGGGCGTTAAGGTGACAAAGAGAAATGAGCATATTCTGTTGACAAGTCACAATTGCAATATGCTCCTTGTCATGATGCGAAACGGAAATTAATGTGTAAAGAATGGTGTAACAATTTCAATGATGATTCACCAATTCAGTTTCAATCCTACATTGAATTGAATAACTCTCGAAATAAAAGACACCACAGAGTCTGACCCATCTGTTTCATATTAGCGTATTTCATTATAGAGAAAGTTATTGATGACCACAACTTGAATTCTTGAAACCGTAGTGACTTCCAATCACTTCCCCGCTATTCAATATATAGCATCGGCTTGCAATTTGGATTTTGATACTCTATTTAAAAAAAAAAGTTGAAGACCACTGATATTGCTCATTCTGGTAGAACTCTTTCAATTCAGTCATTTAAAAAAAATATTTGTCTACAATCTCATATCAAACTTTTAAAGAAGACATGTATGTGTTGATTATGATTTTGATTTTTTTTTTTTTTTTTTGGTCTAGATTTAAAAAAATCATTTTATTCCTGATTCTTGATGATCCCTTTTTTCAATTTTATTATCGATTCATACTTATTTGAATTAAAAGCTTTTCATCGTTACGATCCACGAGTGTTAATTATTCTTAAGATGTCTATTTCTTAATAATCCTCGAGGTGTACTTCAATGATTATCTATTGCTTTTATATGTTAGCACATCATTAGCGCTAATTCCAAATATTGGAATACAGTGACAAAATCTCAGAATTCAAAGACAGTAATATTTCTTTAATTCCCAATGGTAATTCAAAATGGAATATTTCTTAGAACGCTTCCTTGGCACTTTGATTATCAATATTTTCTTAGAAAGGTCAACATTGTTTAATAAACCATGCACGTGTTTAAGCTGATTTAAAAAAAAAAATGTACATGTATGTTTCATAAATGTAATTTTAAAAGAGAAAAAAAATGCAAAAGATTTCCAAGTATGAGAGTACATAATAATCACAGATTAAGAGCTTATTGAACTATTATATCAATCTAATACACTATCTTACGGAAGCCCGTTGAGGCCAGTTCAGAGAGAGAAATATTTCTTATTGCGTTTAATCGCAATAATTATTGCGTTTAAACGCAAAACATTGCGTTTAATCGCAATAATTATTGCGTTTAAACGCAAAACATTGCGATTAATCGCAATAATCATTGCGTTTAAACGCAAAGCACTTTGCGTTTAATCGCAAAAGATTGCGATTAAACGCAATGTACTTTGCGTTTAAACGCAATGATTATTGCGATTAATCGCAATGTCTTGCGTTTAAACGCAATAAAAAATATTTCTCTCTCTGAACTGGCCTCAACGGGCTTCCGTACTATCTAACGAAATTGAAAAAAAAACTTTCTGTACTTTTATTAAGAGAAAGTTTATTATAGCACGACATAGAGCTTGATTCTTTTTTTTCAAATTTACTGATTTAAATATAAAAAGCATTAAATTTGATATACATGTAATTGCGACTTCATTCTTAAATCAGTTCATATACAATCTTAGATCGCAATGAAATCAAATTATTTCAAATTTCTATTATACAAACTTATTGTATTTCCTACATGCACACTCTATCCAGCATTGTTTATTCAAGTATATTTAAGGGCAATCTGAGATTGCTTTGAATGAGAGAAATAATCTTAAGTCTCATTTCGGAAAATTTAATAAATTCCCATTAAATGCACTATTTACATATAGAAAAATAGTAAGTCTCTGCCACTGAGAAAATGATGACAGGAAAAGTTTGAAACATTTTACATCAAATCATTGAATGTTCCAAAGTTTGCCCGCTCTTTCACCCTTATCAGAAGAAAATCTTAAAGCACCAAGCAGTAAAACAATGTGTAGTACTTCAATGCTATATATATTAGCTAGATCTACTTGCAATTTACTTCAACTAACAGTATGGCTGTGTCAACGTATATCAATTTGGTTGTGCTTGCTGGTGTATGCAATGGATTCCTATTTGGGCGTAAGTATCATACACTCGTTCATTTTTTCTTCCAAGATATCCGATGATTTCACATTTTGTTTCAATATTCCAAACCTTGAGATATATCTCTTAATCATATGCAATATGAGACGCAATTAGTACAATGGGTTTTTAATTTTTTCAGCAAAGTCTCATCCCTGGGATGGATTGAAAGGTAAGTGGATGCTTGGGTGTTCTGCTTAGTTACACTTATCCGATGTCTTAAAACAGTATACATGCACAAAGCAGAGTGGGGATTAACGCTGAAGGTGAAATTACAGTACCGTCAAGATTTTGGGAAATCAAGATGCTTGTTTAAGAATTTTGTTTTTTCGTCTCATTCTTTAAAAAAATGTGTCCAAAAGAGATTAGGTGTATAGAATATGAATTTCTTTACAAAACTTTTGTTTTTTTGACATTATGCATATACTGAGATCGTTAAAGGCACCTGATCCCACCTCTGATGTTTTAGGGTTCTGTGTTTGCTCTGCTTCTGATTTAATTTGTTTGAATGAACTTTGTCCTGGAAAGATTTTCATTGCATCCACATATTTTGCAATACCGGTATATTTTAAAAATTATTTTTATTTTACATTATACACATTATACTTATTCATTTTTATACATGTGGTTTAATTTTATATTAGACTATATTTATTTTATGTTATATAAATTTAAAAAATTGAACAAGGATGCATACCTTAAATTCTTTACCTATATTAAAATGTTTGAAAAAAATGAAAATTCATGTGTATAGTTTTTATTCATCCCTTTCAGTGACATGGGGTATAAACCCTCTCAGTAGTACCAACTTTGCCAACATGCCGAGAACAGAGGCTGATGCCAAACATCAAGGCTTTACAATGATATCTGGATGTGGTGAGTAGATGATATCTGTAAAATCAGTATAAATCAAAACTTGATTGTAATATCTAGTTGTGTATCGTAAAATAAGTAGATGAATTCGATTTAAACTTGGATTTTATTATATATGAATTGTAATATAATATGGTGGTTATTACAATTGCCCGGATTAATGTAAATACTCCAAATTCTCTACCTTTATTTTTTATTTTGAACATTTATTTAAAACTTTAAAACCAATTTTGATTCCCCCACAATATACCAAATTATAAAAAAAAATAGTGAATTAATACTTTTCTGTATATATTGTAAATTCGGCTTATTCGGATGGATACATGTGCGTAATTTTTTTTTTGGATTTAGGACATCCTAATTTCCTCGGAAAGAGATACATGAAAAATAACGACCCTGCCGTCATCTTGATATACGACGTTAACGGTTACATCGCTGGTATTCAGGCTGGGGTACAGTTTATACGTTTCTAAAAGGAATTTCATTGAAATACACTGCACTGAAAAGATACGTTTTTCAACTTTCCAATTTGTTTAACAGAACAGAAATTTTAAGGTGGCCAAGTACCGGTTATGCTCAATATTTATATTATCTTTTTTTCATTTTTGTTAAAGTATTATTTAACATCCTTGCTGTATATTTTGGGTAAAATGTGTATGCGTCTTTATAGGTACCAACAGGACTAAGCAATGGTTACCCGGCATCAAATCTTCAAAATCATCCCATGATCAAAGATGGCGACAAGCATTATATGACAGCCTATTTTGTCGCACCAAGTATGAGATATTTTATACCAGTTCTTTTAATATCTTCCGTTGTGCTTTATCATTTTTCTTATGAAATATGCAGCATAATATTTGTCATGACATTATTTATTTTAAAAGGTAAAAATGAAACGCTTTTATATCTTTAGATGATGATTTTATTTTCAGATTCGATATGCACACATGGACGTACCGCAGCTCAGTTTAGCCATCAGGGTACAGGGACAGATCTCTACATACAAAATAGTACTGATCCTATGGCCTCCATCAAAATACCTCATCGAGAATCCGACATTGGATCTACATTGTGGGTCAAAGGCCATTGCTTCCCTGCCATGGGTAATTTTTCATTGTTTGATTTATCATTTAGTTGTTAAAAAATAAACGATATCTTATCGTATTATAAATGGAACAGATCATTTTTAATCAAAAATATTAATTGTCCCTACCTTTTTTTTTTTTTTATAATTTGTGGTAATCGTCAATATTGAACTATTACTAACTAAAGTTTATTAATTCAGTTAATTGTAACCTTGCGAGATATGTGGAGCCTTAGTGCCTTTACATCACATTGGCATTTAATTAAACTGTCATTGTTCTATATTTCGACATGTTCATCACTGGTTTGATACAACTGAACTGATGTTTTTCGAAAGTTTATAGGAGTTTGGGATCTATTACTGCTGATACACTGGTTTGACAACACTGTTGATACATTGTTCTTTACTTTAGTAGTCTTCATTACTGGTTTGACACTTCTTTTGATTTAATTTTGTATTTAAAGGTGTTTATAACTGGTCTGTCACTACTGCTTAAACATTGTTATTTACAATGTTGGTTTTATTGAAAACTAGTAAATTCTTTGTTTTAGACATTTCTCCTGAAATATGTTTCTTTTACTAACAAAAGTTCTTGTCTAAAGAATGGACAGTTACAGGTTTGACGTTACTGCTGGAGAGAATATACTTTGTTTTTACACTGCAGCTGATATATGCACATTGATATTTTCTCTGTGCGCCATGCCAAACTCTGAAAATAACTGGCTTAATGAAATAACTGCTGATACATTTTTCCAATATCTTTTTGTAGATATTCATCTTAATCAAATGTGAAACATTTTAAAAGTTTTTGATGAAATAACAATCATTACTGTTTTGACATTACTGCTAATACATTGTTCTGTACTTGATAGGTGTACAATCATTACTGATTTGACATTACTGATTTCACTTTTTTCATTACTCTTTAGGCTTTCATTACTGATCTGACACTACTGCTGATACATTGTTGTTTACTCTATGGGTTTTCATTACTAAATTAACATAACTGCTGATACTTTTTTTCATTACTCCTTAGGTTTTCATTACTCTTTAGATTTTCATTACTGATTTAACACAACTGCTGATACATTGTTTTTTACCCTTTAGGTGTTCATTACTGGTTTGACACAACTGCCGATATGTCCTGTGATCGATTTTTCCCTGTTTTCCTCCTATACAATGGTGGAGTTCTGAATGCTTTCGGATGGGCCTTTCAAGCTGATCTGTCCTCAACAAGATACGAACATCCTTCACAATCATCATTTGGGGTAAGCATGTTTGACATTTTCTCATTCGCGAAGAACTGTATATATAAATAGTATCTTTTAAGTATCCACTCTCTTATACAGGACTTCATGGTACTTTATAATCACTTTTAAGTGTTTTATTTCATGTTCTTAATAACCGAATTCAAGTATAGGTATTATTTATTTAATGCACTAAAACTAAAGCATATTTACTTTAGTTTCAATGGTTCTTTTAAAACATATCTTCACAATTCAATTAGTAACGTTTTGCGATTATCAAATCTAACTAAAATGTTACTTATTTAATAAGAGAGTTACATGTATCACTGCTAAGTTATGGTAGTTGTTTTAAATCCATCCATAATCATTCTCTATAACTTTCGAAGAAAACAAATGATTTGATTTCAATGCTTTTTTTGTTCTACATTAAGATTTGTTGTTTATGTTTTCCAGGCATTCATGAAGGTTGTGCCAAACTGTCTACGTGACGCAGGAAAACTTTCAACACTACACATTTACCTTAATGGAAACCCACAGACAGATTTGTTGTGCAACTAAAGGTGTTTTTGTATAAAATAATGTAATAAATAAAATTGAATATAAAATCCATTATCTTGTGTATTTTTCGAATCAGTAAATAGGTAGGAAAACTATAATGAAATTAATAATCAGAATACAAAAATACTACCTGCGATTGAAGCTATGAATTTCACATCTATAATTTTTAATCTTTTGACCACTAAATATTTCGATTCTTCGATTATTTGAAAAAAGTAAAAATGCGAGTGAAATTTCATTGAATATTAGAATACTGTAATATAATGTAGATAAATAAATTTTGCGATACCTTAATTACTTTTACTCTTTATCAGCGAAACAAAATTTTCACGAATAATGGTTACTGCTCTTACAATCTTAAAAAATACTAATATACGCAAAAATGGTTCCTTTCCGCAATTACATTTTACGCGAAAATAAAGTTACCGCAAATTAATAATGATTTACAGTATATTGATGTAAGAGATCGATCGAAATTCTCAAATTGAATACTCTCTAGAAATTACAAAATTTGAATTTTCTTTACATCTATAGTTTTGAATTTAAAAGAATAAGAATGATATCTTAAACAAAAAAATATCTTTTCAAAGAAAGTCTATATTTTCAAGTGTGTTTGTTATTGAAGAAGTTGTTCTTTTCAAGTCCCTGTTTCCAAAAATTGCGGAATTATTGAATAGACTGTGTTGAAAATGTAACACGTATTAGGGTGATTTTTGATAGATTTGCCTTCTATGCGACTGATGTTTTTAGATGCTACTATCACTAATACCTTCAGGTACAAGCTTATTTTTGCAATAATTTATTCAGATAGATTATTTTTCAAGTTATTTAAATTCTAACTTTGTCGTGTTTACACTGGGATATTTAAAAAAAATATCAACAGTTTTCATTGATGTGTTTTGATTATAATTTTATTGTTGTTTTAGTTTTACCTATGTCCATTAATCCGATGTTTATTTCCATGTCTTTACAGGTTTCCTCTGTGTCTGTCCGTCTGTTTGTCTAGCTTTCCCTCTGTCTATCTGGCAGTCTACCCCATGCACTTGATTTTTAGCATAATTTTCGAAACAGACTAAATGTTTTGACGTATGAGTGCATCTTGATGAGTTAAAGATCAAGTTGGCATATTGGTTTGCTTAAATTACTTTTCATGGATTTTAAATTTCTAGGCCTTTTCTGGTATTCTTTTTCTAAACACTTGTAAAATATTGAGCTGAATTTCTTTAACAATGAATCTTTGCTCTAGATTACTTGCATGTATGTGGTATTTTAAAATCAAAATTGTATTGTAAAAGTCATCTTATCTTCAAGGTGATTCCCTTAAGGATACTTCAAGAGGAGTTCCTAACTGATGAATTCTGCAAAATTGCCATTTTTCTGTATGAAAACCCTTCATTTTCTTGATATAGTGCATGCAACATCCATCATGATTGCTTCAATATTATTCACTATAAACCAGTAAGGCAATTAGGTTTTCTAACAGTTCTTGTTTCCTATTGACCATTCGTCCTCATACATGTAGTATTACGATTTCATACAAAGAGCAAATGACACACAAGTAGGCAATGGTGTGAAAAGTCAATATTATCGATGAAAGGCAGAAAAATGGAAATATGTTTAATTACCTGCATTGGATACCTGTTAATCTATATAAAGCTATAAATCTGGATTCAAAATATTAACCGGAGGCCATGCTGCTTATTTCCACTGAATCTAATTATCTTCGTATTTGATTTGGACATTATTTAGAAATGACGTTCTCCTGTCTCCTGTTAGTAAAATTAGAATCATTAAATGACTTTTCGGTGTAATTTTTCCCGTCTTTAATATGATGTGTTGCCTAATTTATAGTTTTAAAAAGTTCAATTTCCTTACATATCTCTAGGAAAATGAATTAATAAGGTTGAACATAAAAGAAAAAATTGAAAGTCGGTAAAGATGAATGACACGCTGTGTTTTCGGTTCCATACAAAGTCACCAATCAAAAATGAATGAAATAAATGAACATGAACAGTTACGTTTTGTCGATACGATCTAATATTTCTACCTTAATATTGGTGATAATTGGAAATTTACAAATGTATGAAAACTGCAGGTTTATCATTCATCATGGATTTTTAGTTAGAAATTTGCTTTATTCACTCGATCAAACCATACTACAGGAAACTGACAATCTTACGAAGTAATTCATTAAGAAGTAATGGAATTTATCGAAGAGATTCTACAAAAATTCTGAAAGTGGTCATTAAGGACGTCAAAGTGTTGCATAATTTTTCATAAACTGCGACTCAATTAGTAGTTTTTCAAGATACACAAATCTAATCAATAGAATGTGTATAGATGACATTTTGGAATTTCATGAATTGCTGTATTCTTTAGGTAGAAGTCTTATTACCATGACAATTGGTGATGGTTGTTTATGCTCGAGCGTGACAATGCTGCTTTGCTACATATTTCTCAGTTCCTGACAAGCAAACGTGTACGATGCATTACGGAAGCTGATCAAAAGCCACTTTTGCGCTAGGCCTGCCATTATTGGATGCTGATATTGAAGCTACATATAACCGTTGTGGCTATCGAAAGAATGGTTACTTAATTTTTATTGGTGCATTGTTAATGATGTATTAACTTCCGACCCTATATATACGGCACTTAACTTTCGATGTCTGTACGACCCTGCATCTCGGATCATAAATGGAAAACCAAAACGTTATTTTTTACACAAAACCACCTTAACATGATTTTTATTAAACTGTGTGTAGTACTTTTCGTACCTCATATGATTAAACCCGCTTCCTCCGCCTTAAATATAACAGTTGGGATACTAGCACCACTCAAAGGACCCAAAGTGTTTGGAAACGAAATATTCCATGTGATTAAGGATACATTCATTCTCATTCGAGGTGAATCCAGATTTTCTGAAATTCAGAGACTTGGTGTGAATTTTATTTGGAAATTCCGAGATACCCACTGTGATATTGGACAAGGTCTCTATGAATTAGTGTCCATTATGGACTTTGAGTCGGGTGGAGGACAAGATATAGATGCCTTCATAGGTAATTTTAATGCATTATCCTTTTTTTTTATTTTCAGCTGCTGTATAACAAAAACTAAAATAGGAACAACGATGCATGTTCAAGAAATCTTTCATGATAAGATTGAGTCCACATTATAACTATCAAGTCAATGTATAGACATAGTCATAGACGTTATTTCAAGTATAATATATTTTCCTATGAAATTATTTGACTTGCAAGTAGGACAGCGTTCTTTTTACTAATTTAAAATTAAATGTTGGAATTTGTGTTTTAAATCACTAGTAGAGGATGAAAAATATGATCTTGTTTTTTTTTTTCAAGCAAAAGAAGAAATCTGTATCACATGTATATCTTATTTGACATATTCACAGCATGCAGTGAGTGGATAAAAATGTCTTCTTTTAATGAATATGAATAATCAATATCCCTCTGTTTTTATTTAATAATGCTACAAATTACATTGTTATGATACACACACCTGATAATATTCGAAATGTCAGCTACCCCTTAAACACAATACTTTCTTCAGTTCAAGCTCTTTTGGAAATTTTTGAGAGATGTAGAATATTTGGGATTAACACCAGGTATTTAACAGATTGAAAAACTCGAGAAAAACAATGCAAACACGAGGAAATCTTCATATACTGTTGAAAATTTACTTAAAAGAAAATAAATTATGGTCATTTTCAGTCTGTATTCCATCTAATAATTTCTAAAACTGAACAACGAGGTTACAACACGCTAAAAAGTAAAGTTTGCAAAAATGACTCTGCAACGCCAACCAAATTGAATTCAGTTCTGTAATACTTTTCAACAATGGGTATTTTACTTGAACGTATACAATTGCTTATTCTATCTTTTAAAAAGTTCCGGAAATTTTACCTCAAATCAGATTCTATGCATTGTCATTAGCAATTGACATTTCCAATGTTGTTGCTCTTTGGTATAATGAGTCGTGCTAGATGATAATATAACTTTTTCTCCACTTTTTGTGAAGGTAATCACGCAAGCTTTCAATTGCCTTATCCATATTCCTCACTTAGGCCCCGTTTGTGACGACGTTTGTGAAGCTGCTGGCCATTTGGCGAAAAAATGGAATCTTCCAATGATCAGTTTTGGATGTGCAGAAAGAATACTGTCAAATAAAATACTGTACCCTACCTTCGCTCGAGTCTCTACACCGTACATGGAAATGGAGAAATTCATTGAGGACACAATCAGGCATTTTGGTTGGAATCGCGTTATCGTTGCAGAAGGAGCTGAGAAAATATGGAGAGAATCAGCGGAACATATAAATGTAACAGTATAATTTTCTTAATTGTAACATTAATTAAATACACTAAATTTATTAGTACTGAAATGAGAAGAAAAAAACACAGAGTTTTAGTTTTCTTGATGGATAAAAAATTGATAAATTATGTTCATAAATATTGTGATATGGTTAATTAATGAAGAAATATTGTTAAGATTTTTTAAAATCATTTTCTTTATATAAGATATTTTTCTAGAGATTTTTTTAAAAAATGTATAATGAGAATACATGTATGTGTAGATATTTTGGCGGTTGACTTCTCTTTTTTCTTTGAGATCTTTTGTAATTTTCCTTATCACCATAACTCTGGAAAAAAAGAATGGTATAATTACTTGATTCTCAGTATTATTCTATGATATAATTAGTTATCTCCTTTTTTTATTCTTTCCTCTGTAAAAAGCCGGGTTGTTTTCTCTTGAAAATTTTATTTATTCTTTTCCTAAATCACGCATTTGTCCGCCTACAAATTGATCTATCTAACCTGCGACTCTGGAAATTTTTTTTAGATAATTGGTTGACATTTTCGAATAAGAATCAGTAGTGATACTTAGGCAAAGAGTTGCCAATATGTGTCCTCTTTAAGCAGTTCCTTGTAACACAATCTTTACATTTAATGACCATGCATATAGAATTCCTTCAACAAAGCAAAGAATCAGTCCCTTGGCATCTTTAGCCTGTTACACTCTCTTAGATTTCAAATCATGATTTATCAAATTTCGAGTCTTTTCATTTTCTCGTTCACCATATAAACACGAAAAAAAAAAATAAATAAAAAGAAGGCAGAAATTGCGACTTCTTATTACGTAGACTTTCAATATTATTGTTTTTAAAATTTTATATTTTATAGCAAAATGTAGAACAAGACTATACATGTATCAAAGGAACAAATCAAATTTATCTTGTTACTATGCAACCAACAGTCCCTTAGGCTAAATAGGGAATCCCTAGATAAAAGTACTTTTTTAAAGTTATAAACTCAGTTTAAATTGTGTACAAGGACTAAATGTCCGTTGCTTGTATGTGCAGGTAGGGAAGGAAAAACCAAATATTTTGAACATTATAATACATTGTTTCCATTCTACATATTTCTTGTGAATACCCTCTTGTCATAACTGAAAATTAGTACGACAATATGCTAAGTACCCTAAAACAGATATTTGGCTACAATAAGGAACCGAACGTTAAAACAGAAGTACCTAAAGCATTTATGTCACAATTTAATTTCTGCTTAATCAAATTAGAAGTCATCATAACAATTTTTAAAACACCTTTTGCGCATTAAATTACTTTGCATAAGCTCCGTGTAATTGTATGTCAATTGAACATTATGGCAAAATTTAGTCAAATGCCACTTGTCGGTGGTCAGCTATAGGTACTTGTGCTATATTTGAGTGATTTGTTTATCATTAAAACATGTTTACAGACACTTTGTCATTATGTCAAATGGATCTCCTTCTGCATAAGGTGACGTGATTTGCAAATGACGTCATAAAATCTGTCAATAATTCAGTGTGTATTTAATGGCCTGTTCACAGAGACTTTAATTCGCAGTAAATTAATGCGAAGTAAACTAACGCGAATCAAACTAATGCGAATTAAATTGCGTTCACGCGACAGCTAATGCGAAGTAAACTAATGCGAATTAAAATTTTACTTCTGCAGCCCGGCGTCAGCATAGCTAATATGACGTCATTTGCAAATCACGTCACCTTCTGCAGAAGCAGACCCATTTGACATAATGTGTATACACATTTTAATGATTAACAAAATTTTCCATATTTTTAAAATAGCACAAGTATTTTAGCTGAAAAATTAAGAAAATTAGTCATGAATTTAATCGAATTTTTCCATGTCACACAAACAAAATATATCCAGATTGCTAATTACATTAAATTCTTGTGAACGCAGAAAACGGTAATTTGTTTAATTCGTTAAACTCTCCGTGTGAACAGGGCATTAATTCGCATTAGTTTAATTAATGTGTAAATTTAATCAAATATTCGCATTAGTTTACTTCGCATTAATTTACTGCGAATTAAACTCTCCGTGTGAACAGGGCATTAATTTCTGCTTAATCAAATCAGAAGTCATCATAACAATTTTTAAAACACCTTTTGAGACTTGTTTTCACTTACTCGTAGTAATTGTATGTCAATTGAACATTACAAAATAGGAGCATAGCAAACAGGGACCTCCAAAACATAAGAGGTGGGGAAGTGAGTATGACGTCACCTGTCACACCTGTCGTGTGCATCCAAAAAGTTAGAAAAATCTGTCAATAATTCAGTGTGTATCTAATGGCCTTAATTATTAATTAATATGAAAAACGTCAGCCAGAATATGCCTTAATGATCAATTACTAGTATCCAATTTTCATTCCAATGCGTGGTATATTGAATGTTTAGTCAAGTTATTTATGATTATACAAACTTTTTTTTAAAAACTCTTTCATTTTCCATATGCTCTATATCATCACAAGAATCAATGGAACAGCAATCAAAACATTCATACAAAAATACAGATTGTTCACTGGCGATTAATATCCTACATGTATATATTTGCAAATTCATAATTCTCGCTATTTATTCAACCATTTATTTGGATGACTTAAAAATTTAGATTTGGGGGTATTTTTCTCCATCACAGATAACTGTTTCTCCAACAAAAATGAAATTCAAGATTTTTCCATTTTCATATTTTATGATTAGTAATCTTAAAAATAACTTTCTAAAAATCACATAAGTATTGTGGGGTTATTAATAAAAGGATGCTAAAGTATCAGATGACAATATCTACTTAGTCTTAGAATGTCTATGGATACTGGTCGACCTTTTCACCCGCTTAATATTTATATGAAGCAGAATTTATCAAAAGATCCTACATTAGAAAAAAAGAACAGACATACTATTGTCTTTATTCAGATACATCAGCGATGTTTTAAATTAAATTAAAATTCCATTTTTGACTGGATAAACTCAGTATCCAAGCAAACTCGAAAAGATATCTGTTTCATATCGGCCCCAAGACCATAAACTGAGAACAGACTTCAGTAAAAATTTAAAAGCAGTGTAACTGTTGATAATGTTGATAATGAATCAAAAAGTATATATATTTGAATTCAAACTAGAGAATTGCAATTTATTTTAGCAAACACGTCAAGCAATATCAAAGAATTAAAACAAAGTTAGACTTAAGTTTGTTTACAGTTTATGGTCTTGGGGCCTGATTGTTTTACTAACTTTAGAGGTTAATAGCTAATTAACAACAAACTTGCTATTCCATCGTAAACTTGCCTTTTTATGTAGTAACATTCCGATATATTGAGGGTTATGTCTCTCAATTTATTTGATACTCAAGAGCAAGGTGAATCTTGTAAACCCAGACAAAACTGGCAAATAAAGAACTGATAAACAAACTACCATTTGTTTTTAAAAATACGTTTAAACTAGCACTTCGAAAATTATTCGGTCGTTATAATGATCGCGTTTGTAAATGAAATCTGTGATTGGCTTGTGTTTTGTCTATTTTATATCAATTCTAAAATATTTTAATTCTTAATTTCACTGCGGATTACTCCGTCTTTCTAATCAATACATGAGGTCACGGAAGGTGACCCAGGTCAGCATGGGACGTTTTCTCCTCCTGGACACTTGATCCCAACTCTTGTACTTTAACTATCTCTTTAAAGCATAGTGCCAAGATTATTTTAATCAATCCTTGTTCGATCGTTCCATCAACTTTACTTACATTTCTGCTGAACCATAAAAATCAATCAAAATCGGTACCCCAAGCAGTTCTCATAACCATCACTTGGAATAACTCTTTATACAAAATTTGTACACATTAAAAGAATATATCTATGCTCATTTGACGGAATATTTTTTTATTTAATTATCTTATATCTATAAATAGGTGGAACTTGAAAAACATGGTTTTGATGTGAACTTATTAACAGTTTACAACGATCCTGTATATCTAACACATCACCTTGAAAGAGAATCCAAAACAACAAGGGGTAATCTCTCTCTCAGTCTCTCTCTCTTTGAATTTTTTTATGTTAATAGAATGATCGTATTTAAAATAGTTTTTATAATAGAATTATTTATTAGAAGTATATTCGTAAACAAATGAGTAAAGACAAGTTCCTTCTAGCTACGATCTTCGGAATGGATATTGATTAAAATATAGTTGTTTTTTTTAAATCAATGCTAAAAAGATCTTTTTGCTACATAACAAAAAGACCAGTTACTAGCTATAAAAGTAAAGAGTAATTCTCCTTCCTATTCATACCTGTATAGAGTGGATTTATTTTTTCTGACCATAAGTATTTGTCTTTTAGTTTTCCTAATATATGCTTACCCCAGAGACATCATGGGTATAATGTGTGCTGCGGCTGAAATAGGTCTACTTAACGGAGAGTACGCTTTTCTGACCATCGACTTTGGTCTGGCCTTTGATGAGAAGGAATTCGATGAGAAGAAATGTCCCCATAATGTCACCGATGGTAAGTACCGGGCTATTTTACAATCAAAGCATTTACATTGATTGAGGCTGATGGTCTGCTTGTATATTTCTTCTTTTAATTCATATTTGCTAGAATTTATCGCAGTATGCTTAAAAAATGTTACAATTATTTCTAATTCTTTGATATAATTAAACATAAGGTAGATGAAAATAATTATTATGATTTTTATTAAGATTATTAAGAACGAGGAGAAAAACATATATAAATCTGCTTCTTGTCGTGTATTTTATAAAAATAAATTTAAATTAGAAAGCAAAATTAGAAATCGTCATTCATAAATAAAATCGTATTTTTTTCAATTTATTTTATTTGAAAAGTATTGGAATTTGAGTTTAACAATAATAAATCGGCATATTTATTATATTTTGCATTTTTAACTATGCAACAATTAATAGACAAAAGGAACTTTCTTTTTTCTGGAAGGTCATGCTTAGTACATTTTTTCTTTTCTTTTTTTTTAAACTTCAAAGATAGCCTTTTTACATGCATGAAAAAAGCTGCAGCTTTTTTCTGTCTTTAATTTCTGTGCTTTCTATTAGGTTAATGTAATCTTATAAGGCAATATTTACACTTTATAAATGTGAATATAATTTTATAATGCATCTTTTTAATGCAACCTTTACATTTTTAAAACAAGGAAGGTAAACTTTGATTTATTTTTAAATGTATTGATCTATTATGATGAAAATCGAGTAGGTGTTTGCGTTTTTTATAATACCGAAATTTTTTTGTCGATATAGATTCCGGAAAACTTGTTCCACACCGTTTATGAGAAACCTCCAGGAGACGATTAATGTTAAAACTTTGATGTCATAATGTATATTACGTGATTTTAATTTCCATCTACACGAATGTAATCACTTTTTCAATGGATGTAGATAAGTCGACGTCGTTGTTTAACAAAGCACTGGATGATTTTTCTTTAAAGCTTTGAAAAATAGTTTATTCACTACAATATATTTATAATTAATCAATATAGTACTAGTACCTCTGATAGCTTCTGTTCACAGAAAAGAAAAACACTTTAGTATATATACAGTTAATCGTGTAAGGAAAACATTTCATTGCAAAATGGTTTTTTACCTCAAGATAATTGACATTTCTAATTCTGAAGGGATTGTGGAAATGCACTTCAAAAATGTTATAATAAATATATAATTCATAATTGCATATCGTTCTGCATATCTCTTATTTCTTCAAAAAATAGAAGGAAAAGTCTTTAAATTAATTACCTTGAGAGTATTAGCTTTGCATGGATTCAAAATATTTAAATTGCGTAGACACAGCTAAATTTCGTACGGATATGAACATGTTCCATTTTTATTTAAATGTACTTAACAATAAATAAATGATATGGAAATAAAAAAAACAATATTCAAGCTCAAAAAATATTAAAACAAAACAAATCAAGGGTTAAGCAAACATGAATTTTTATTACATCATAGGTGGGATCAGGTGTCATGAAGAATTGAATATCCCTTTCCGACCAGTCAGACTCGGCTTGTGCTTCTTGTAATGATCGTGTGATTCAGTGTGTGTAAATAATGGACTAACAATATGTATGATAAACTTTCAGCAAGCATTTAACTTAATGACAGGTAGAATTTGCCGATAAAGACCTTGTATCTACCAATAAATGTGTAATGATAATTTCAAAAGAAGATTTTTTAAAAGGAACATCTTTAAAAATATGTTTAAAAAATTAAAGTAATCAATCTTTCAAGATTGAAAATTGCGTATTTGGCATTAAAGCATTTAATGACACAAACTGTCCAGAAGCTTATTGGAAAATAGATGGAACTGATTGTAATTCCATTCAATAATCTCTACAGCAATTTTCAAAACCTAAAGTGCCATTAGATTTGGAGAAATGTTGCTCTTTAAAAAAAAAAAATTTCCAACTATTTACATGGCATCAACATTTCATATATGATCATGGACAATTGCAACTATAGTTCAATACCAACTATATAAATTTAGCAATTGCTAGTAACATAAAGAAAAAAATGTAATATTGTTTTATCTCAAGATACAAGATGATTTCAATCTTGTTAATTTTTTTTTACAATTATACGCTTCGCATTATTCTATCAGGAAGAAGTACTAATGATAATACGAAATGATATAAATAATGCTAGACGTTTGATGATATCTAATACCTCATCTAGATTGGATTTTGTACGGTTTTAATACTAAGGTTTATTCTTGCAATTTCAGGCCAAGATGTATCAATTACATAACATAGTTGGTTTCATTGAACATAAAATTGAAGTGAATATGAACAGTATTATTCGATTTGAATTATTTAAATACAAGGAAGTTTTAAAAACTTAATACTTCACATATGTAAATTTTGATCGGTAGTGTGTACTGAGTATTGTCTCTGATAAAATGACTTGTGAACATTAAGTCAATCACAGATTCCTCTAGACAGTTTTTGGTGGAGAAACATTAAAAAGGCTGTATTTCAGAGATATGATACCTGGAATTCAAAGATAGTTGATATTTTATCCCATGTTCACTTGAATAGGGTTAGGTTAAAAGGTTTAGAAGCGCAAAAACCCTAGCCATAACTTTGAAGCAGAGGAATAGTATAGGCTGAATTAATTATCAAAGTTCGACAGATTTCATTTTTACAAGGATTATGATTCAGGAATTGCAATTACATTTAAGTAATATTGCACATTTTCTTTTATAAATCAATTCTAGAAAAAAGCCATTACTTTTGTTTTGTAAGTTTAATTATGACAATCCATATATGCACTGGAAGCATTCCAGACCGTAACAAGGTACGGTTGTTGACGAACAACAAAAGGCTTTCTGTGAAGAAAGAAAAAAGAGATTAAGAAAGAAAAAAAGTCAAATTTGTCTCTTGAAAACAATAATGCCTAGTATTTGTCCCCAATAAACCATCAAAAGAAACATCTTCCATTTCGTGACAAAGTTCTGATGCATATAGAAATTTGCTATAGATATTATATTTCTCATGGTCATCAGTTTCCTTGCAACTCATATCCCAATTAGGATTTAAAAAAACTGTTCATATATCTTAGAATACTCACAAAGTAGAACAAATATTTCCCTACAAGATGGTAAGAGTCGTGTCCTGCGCCCCGAAATCACAAGAATATTTATGAATCTAGCAAAAAACCTTTGCTTGTTACTATTTGCCTTCTAGATATCCAAACAAACAGAAGAAAATTGTGAAACAGTTAATGCATTTTCACTATATGATCAAAAGACAACAATACTAAATCTACAACCCCTGACCAAGTACCCATGATTTTTAGCTCACCTGAGCCGAAGGCTCAAGTGAGCTTTTCTGATCAAAATTTGTCCGACGTCTGTCGTCGTTGTCGTTGTCGTCGTTGTTGTCGTCGTCGTTGTCGTAAACTTTTTACATTTTCATCTTCTTCTCAAGAACCACTGGGCCAATTTCAACCAAACTTGCAACAAAGTGTCCTTGGATGAAGGGGATTCGAGTTTGTTCAAATGAAGGACCACGCCCTTTTCCAAGGGGAGATAATTATGAATAAGAGAAAAATTAATGGCATTTTTAAAAAAAAACTTCTCAAGAACCACTGGGCCAGGAAAGATGAAACTCGTGTGGAATCATCCTCAGGTAGTGTAGATTTAAATTTGTTCAAATCATGACCCCCGGGGGGTAGGGTGGGGCCAAAATGGCCAATCAAAGTTTTACATAGGAGTATATAGGAAAAATCTTTAAAAATCATCTTCTCAAGAACCACTGGGCCAGGAAAGATGAAACTCATGTGGAATCATTCTCATGTCGTGTATATTCAAGTTTGTTAAAATCCTGACCCCCGGGGGTAGGGTGGGGCCAAAATGGCTGATCAAAGTTTTACATAGGAATATATAGGAAAAATCTTTAAAAATCTTCTTCTCAAGAACCACTGGGCCAGAAAAGATGAAACTCATATGGAAACATCCTCAGGTAGTATAAATTCAAGTTTGCTCAAATCCTGACCCCCGGGGGTAGGGTGGGGCCAAAATGGCTGATCAAAGTTTTACATAGGAATATATAGGAAAATTTTTTAAAAATCTTCTTCTCAAGAACCACTGGGCCAGGAAAGATGAAACTCATGTGGAATCATCCTCAGGTAGTATAGATTCAAGTTTGTTCAAATCCTGACCCCCCTGGGTAGGATGGGGCAAAAATGGCTGATCAAAGTTTTACATAGGAATATATAGGGAAACCTTTTAAAATCTTCTTTTCAAGTACTTCAAAGCCATGATTAGTAATATTTATATGGAATCATCCTCAGGTAGTGTAGATTCAAGTTCATTCAAATCATGATCCCCTGGGGGGGTTTTAATTCAAGCCCAGCCCCCCCCCCACCTCAGTAAACTTTCAGTTCTGATCTGATATGTGCTTCTTCCTAGTCGATGTGCTCAGGTGAGCGCTGTGGCCCCTGGGCCTCTTGTTAAAGAATTATTTTTTTAGTAAGCACTCTTGCTCATTATGACGATGGCCTCATTTAGAATTCTGCTAAATACCAGAGGAAGAGTAATCGATTTTCAACAAAAAATTATTCTGTATTATAAAGATGCAACACTCTTACACCAGAGGTCAAGCATATCACAAATTTGGAAGCAACAGTCTTACTCAGCAGAGCCACGCACTAATTAATTGTCTGCTAAATACCAAGAACTAACTAGAGAGTTTTCACAGAATTGGAAAATGTTCATTATATGGTAAACAGAACTCTACCCTAACACCTAAGCAGACTCACGTGTCATGATTTTCACATTTTTGAATAAAGTACTTTTGCTCTCCACATCCAATTCACTTAATTTTATGTTTAATTAATAACACGTAGTTTGACTGTTGAGTATACTGGGGAAAAAAAGAAGATTTTCACTATCTGATCAATAAGGTCCAGCACTAAATCCAGAATTCCTGCTACTATAAGTTATAACACAAATTCACTAATTTTGAATCCAAATGTCAAAAATGATACATAAAAAAGTACCATATTTGGTTATAAATGGTTTTACGGTTCTAAGGAAGAAGCTGGAAATGTTCAAGCGTTAAGGCACGACGGACGACGCGTTAAATGGATAACAATACCTTACGTCACCCGAGTGACTTCAATACAATCTTCAAATGTTAAGAGTATACTCTTTTTTTTTAATTAAAAAATGTTCGGGTCTTTTATGTTACTTGAACAAACGTTAGTTCTAAACGTGAAATTATATTTATTTTGATTAACGCTCAGACTTTTCTCCCACATGGTCATTACTCCAATGCGTAAAAAAACATTTATGCAAGTAAATTTTCCTACATGTATATAAAATTTCAGAGTTTCATTTTCAAAATGATGCTCAAGAATGACCTGATAATAAACTGACTTTAATACTTCAGTGATAATACTACGTCAATATTCATTTTATAATAACTTTACGTCTGATGTTAAATTACTATGTGATTATGAGTCTTAAGACTAACATCTATATATTGTGTATTATATAAAATGATTACATCAAAAAGATTCAATTATACAGGGAGAAGATGTAGTCCTTTGAAGCCGTTCACAAAATCTTTCGTCATTTTCTTACCTAATATTAGTTGTCCTGGATTAACCTTGACGAGTTTTCAAATATTTTTTTTTTAATTATTAACGTTATTAACGAGGAGCTTAAAATACTGCTTTCAGCAATATTTCTCCTTATGGATAATTTCTTTATCGAACAATTATCTAATGAAACGGAATAATTAAAATGAACAGGATATTTTAGTATAAAAAAGCTTAAAATTTTTACGTATTCAAGTGGAAGAATATGTAGCTAATTCTGTCCTGTTACCGTACGGACTAGCAGTGACAATGCTGATAGGAAGAGTTATCATGCTACTTTGTCACTAAGGTTCTTTCTTTGGTCATCTTCTTGACCAATAAAAAGAAATATTTACTTGTGCTAAAGAAAGATTAAACTATTATATTTTTGATTGCCAAGAGGAGTAACATTCACACGTGTCTCAGGCTATATTTCATTGATTTTTGAGCTAAATTTTTTTTTCTAAAAATTGCGATTTTTTTTTAAATCAAAATTTTCAAAGAATTCTGTCTTTCAGAAAATCTTTGCGAAAAAATTGTATTACCCAACAATTTAAATTGCTTTTTGAAATGCTTTTACTCCAAAGCAAAGATGTTAGATGTAAGACTATCTTACTATATCTAATGTTTTGTCGAATTGTTAATGCACTAGTTAAGTATATTCCATAAGTTTACAGATAATATCTAATCCCAGAACATGGAAATACACTCTATACTTTCTCTAAATTATGCTATGCTCACAATGAACACTTGGACAAACTGATAGAAAGCGATACATAATAGCGATTGTTTGGGGTTGTATAAGTCGCGCATTACATTGGTATTTTTGCTATTTAAAAATGCCAAACCAAGTATCAATTCTAAAAGGAATGATTCCTTTTATGATCATTTTTTTTATATTTCTTTTAAATCAGTTATAAGTTTTCTTTCATAATTTTACTACTTGAAGTTTATGTGTCTTTTTTTCCATAGGAATCTTGGACTTTGCTTTCGATATAGAGTCTTTGGTGAGCTACTTTGCTCATGCAGACCACGGAAACTCTTCAGAATTGGAAACAGAACTAGAACATCCTAAAGTAAGAAAAAAAATTAATCCAAATCAAAATTTTTTTTTCTGTTCTAATGCGTTTATTGATTTTAAGGTGTTCTCTCATGTTATGAAAAATGTTACTTTATTGATTTTAACTTTGAAAACAAAAGTTGCTAGATACTATGATTGAATCCAACAGCAACAGTATCTTTTGGTTTGTCTGCAAAAATGTTCTTTTTTCATTATGCACATTTATCGTTTAACATATTTTATAAGTTTATAAATATATGACATATATGTCTATGGATACCAGGTAGACTATGTCTTAATGGAATGCCTGAGGTTCAGATATTAAGTTTGAATCTAAGACATAAATGTTTCATGCCATTTTTAGGGAGAAGACATTCAAAACTGTAGGGTTTTAATGGGCATTTCATTTTTATCTAAATGTATCTAATCTTATACAAAAAGTACAAAGATAAAGGACATTAACAAAATATGTCAACCTTCAAATACTGTTACAATGGTAGGAATATAAGGTAAGCCTAATGGTGCCAATGTCCATTGATACAATCTAGTGACTTATTTTTACACTTTCAAAAGAAAGGTTTTTCTCTTTAATCATTATTGTTACATTGTATCTCATTATTAACATACTATGAGTCATTTCCGTATTGTGAGATTTCATTTTGGTGGTTTCCTGTTTCTGTAGACAAATATCTCAGATCTAGTAAGTGGTAGTGTATGGCTAACCATTGTACTAACAACGATTTTCTCGCACCTGCACAACTGTTAGATACTAGTATTTAAAGCATGTCATTCTGCATTATGGTTGCACTTTAAAATATTTGTAATGCTGTATCTATATTGTTTAACTTTTCATACTTTGTTATGTTGCATGCCATTAGACGTTCAGATGTACAAATGAGGAACAGATTGATAAGCATATTTGAATTAATCACTGATATAATAAATATATGTTTGCCGTGATAACCTTTGGTGTATTCAGTTTCAGACAATGTACCATTTTACAGCGTAATTTCTTAATTCAAATGTGTGCCTCCCTCTTTTTTGCATTCATAGAATGAAAAAAAAAATCTATTTGACTGCTAGATATAGAAATAAAACTTACTAAAATTTCATTTGATTTTACTTAATTTTAAAGACTGGCTTAAGCTTACATCTTTCTTTTTTATGCATCCTTTTTCAGGGCAGGTAATATTTGATGATGATAATCTGGCTCTCTTTTTTATTAATTTTGCTGCTTTGAAGCTTACTTACTTTTTTAAAAAAATGTTTCGTTATGCTTTGCAGAAAATGTCTGAATTAAAAAATATATATAATTTGTACATTAAACATACAGTATTATTTGATTCCTTTTGTGTTTTAGCCTGCTTGGTACGGTATATTAATTGTCACTAGACAATTACGACAATAAAGATTTAACATATATACATCTAGAAACATATTAGCAGTCTGCTCTTGCTGTCTTTTCTTTTGTCAGTAATTTTTATTCGTCATTTTAAAATTATACAGAATGGAGTCGGACTACATCTTCTATCGGACGCTTTATATTTGTATGCTAAGGCTTTGGATCAGGCTTTGGCGGAGGGATATACCTCGAAAAACACCTCAATTATAGTACAAAATATGCAAAACGTGACCTTAAAAAGTAGGTTTTTTTATTTAAGGATAATGATTGTTATATCAAAAGCATGTTACATTCAAATTGTTGAAGGTGCCAAATAATAATTTATTTTGTCTTTAAGATATATTTTTTTCAAACCCAAATCTTATGAACATGCAAGAAAAAAGAGAGAGAACGAATATGTTTATATATACTAAGCAAATAAATGTTAACTAACATTTTTATCAATGTATTAATTTAGAATTAAGTTAAGGAAATACAGAGATAAAATGGTTCCCTTTTTAATTTTTTTAATTTCCAGCACCATTTGGAAGCTTTACAACCGATGAGACTGGTACGAGAAAAACCACCTTTTCACTGTTTAATATATTTCATGAAGACTTTAATGAAATTGCATCATTTGACAGGTAATATATATATTTTTTAAATGCTTTATGTTATATCTACAAGTATTTACTCGATCATGATAAGGAGCACATGGCGGGTGTAACGGGTCGGAAAGAAACCCCTCCTCTTCCACTGCACCTGATCCGGTCTCTGAATAATTTATAGGTCCGTGTGTGCTCTGCTCCCTATATGTATAGTTTCCATGAACTTTTGATCAGAGTGATTAACAGTGCAGAGAGTTCACGGGGGTGTCTGATCAGTTAACATGAGATACAAACTCCTCCTTGTCACCTAATTCCACCTTTGATACTTCTAAAATTCCTAGATTTTGTCCTTTCCAGTTCTTATTCTTTACTGGATATATGAGATCAAACTCTGTTCGTTTTTTTTCGTTTTTCATATTCAATTTTAGCATGAAATTTGGTTTACTCATTGTTTCAAACTACTGATATACTTCCTTGATAGACTTATGAGATTTTTGCAATAAAAAATAAATGACAAATTTTCTGCAGCACAACAACAACATTTTTTACGAACAAAACCATTCATTGGCCCGGGAGAACTACAATACAACCTCTTGGGAGACCTGTTTGTGGATGGGATGGAGAATTCTGTGTGAAAATCCAGTCTAACACATGTAAGTGCTCTCTTTCTCCCTCTCTCTCTCTCAATTTATTTTCTGCTATCAACTTTCACTTCAATGAAATTTTAAAGTACAAAGAAAGATGCATTTTTCTGAATAAGATTTTATCACCTATTACAGATCTCATCGTCTCTGTGTCTGCAATGGCTGCCCTGGTCGTGCTGCTCTTTGTTACATTTGTTATCATATTCTTCCATATGCGCAAGTAATTTAAAAGTTACATGTACGAAGAATTTGTATCTAAATTATAATTCAAAGGTTCATGGCTAGTTTAGAGGTTTTTCGTTCGCTTTGTCATGTCTATTTTGCAACACATGCATTCATTTTCACAATGCTGAACACATTCTTTGGTTTAATTTCTCAAAGGCATCTCGATAATACAGATACTGTTTGTTAATATTTCACCTTTATATGTTCTAGAAAGAGATTGTTGAAAGAGGAAATGGAAAATATGCAATGGAAGATATCATTTTGTGATCTAGACACCAGTTCTGGCAAAGTATTTCATAGCGTTTGTAGCAAGGTAACATCCAGACACTATTTGGTAACATTAAAAAAACAGTATTGAGGTTAATCATGTTTTACATTCATTTTAAAAGTTCATTTGTTCAGTTAAATCTTCATGACTTTATTTCAGTCCTCTTTTCTGAACGATACAAGAAGCCGATCCCGATCAATAAGCGGCAAGACGGAAATGTCTGCAACTCTCCAGATATTTACTAAAACCGCCAACTACCAAGGTTCCATTGTAGCTATAAAATTCATCAACAAGGCATTTGTTGCCATTACTACGTCTGTTATCCAAGAAATTAACCAGGTATCTTCGTTTTTTTTAATTTGAAATCAGATTTCTGTAGGTTGTTTCATTGTAGATATTTAACAAGATTTCAATTACAAAGAAGCAATCCTAATTAGATAAGACAAGGATTTTGCATTAAGAATCTCAAAGACGTTATTGCACAACATTTTGAGAAAGAATGCATCTAGAGAAAGAAATAATCAGCCGATAAATAAACTGATAAGAATTTTTAAGATTTTAAAATTTTTGCAATACTTTTGATAAATTTCAGATCCGCGGGTTAAAACACAACAATGTATATACTTTGATTGGTGCTTGCGTGGATCCTATGAATATCTATATTGTTAGTGCTTACTATAACAAGGGGAGCTTACTAGATGTTCTGTCAAATACCAACATAAAACTGGATTGGATATTCAAACTTTCCTTTGCTTCAGACATTGCAAAGGTACTTCAATACTTTACGATATGTATTTCAATTCAAAAAGAATGTTTTTTGAAAAAAAAATGCAAAATTGCGCTTTAACCATAAAATACAATCAATTATACAAACCTAAAGCAAATATACCTTTCATTTACCATGCAAAGCATTTATTTAATGAAAGGCAAAACTTGTTACAACATTTTAGTCTTTACAATCAATCTTAGGAATTATTTCGAAATGTTAATTATGAAGGAACTTTATATAAACTCATCGTTATCTATTCAGGTTAAAATAGGTTTTTATTGTTGATACATGGCTATTTCAGACATGCATGTGCCCTATGTTCTAATAAGAGATCACTTAAAGTGAATTTGACCAAAACAGACTTGGATGTTTATTAGCTGCAATAATGTAGCTCTCTCTCTCTTTTGGGGGGAGAGGGATACAACTCCTTAGGATCTCCGAAATGGTGCAGCAGCGACAGCGATTCGCTCCCGCACGGATTTCGGCTCAAAGTGTCAGTAAATGGCTATTTTATTAACATTTCTTACCTTGACTCTAAAAATGTAGTCATTAAAAACGTAAATCAATCCAAAAATATACAGAACGATCCATATATCGGTTATTTTTCGTGTATCTCAACATCACAGCTTGAATTTATCCGCCTTGTTTACTGACCTTGATAGATTGTATTTTGGGAGAGCCAATGAGAATATAGGTTCTATACGAGGGTATCTTTTAGGAATTCTCTTATTTTATGCATAAATATCCTGCTTGCATAGAAATAACGCTTAAAATGGTTTTATTTATCGATGTTTTGTGATACAATTCAGCACAATCATTTATAAACACCGACATTTGCTTTATTAAGTTCTGAATTTCAAGCGAAAGTCTCATGAATCGCGTGAACTGCCATGGCTGTTGAGTAGAACGACTGCGAAACACGCAGAGTTATTTTACAAGTTTTTCGCATTTAACAGACTATGTTGTTGACAGTGAATAAAAATTTCGTCTTATAAGAAGTAAGCTGAATGTAAAAACAATTTATTTTGCCCGCAGTCGCCCCTATTTAAAAAAAATTATTTGCACCATTACGGAGATGTTATGGAATTGTAGCCCTCTCCAGAAAACATCAGATTAAAAAAAGTCGGAGAGGGATACATTATTGCAGGTAGATGTTTATATGTATCTGTAGATCACAATGCAACAAATAAAATTTTTGGAAAATAAAATTTTCAGTTTTTTAGTACAAAAAAGTGATGATAGGGTACAGATTCCTAGATCTGATCATTATTGAAGATTGTAATTATGAAATATCGTACCTCTTTACCTTCTCTTGTGAATTTGTAGGGCATGGCGTACATCCATGATTCAGTCCTGGAATCTCACGGTAAACTGCGGTCTAGCAATGTCTATGTTGACTCTCGATGGATGTGTAAAGTTGGAGATTTGCCTATGCCTCACTTTTGTGATGGCGCAAAAACCTGTGATAATGCAAAAAATTCAGAAAATTTTAGTAAGATTCTAGTTTTATTTTAACAACCTTTAACAACTGTGTATAGTATCTTTTGACAAATTGTTCTTTCCCATTGTGGCAAATCAAGTCTTTTAAATTTATACATGTATACAAGTAAATGATTTCTGTTCATGAAACAGTTTTCGTATGCATCCTCTTTATTCAATCTTTAACATTCTTTAGAACTACTTTGGGTTGCCCCTGAGCTACTACGTCAAGTGTCTATACCACCTAAAGGAACGCAAAAAGGGGATGTCTTTGCATTTGCTATTATTCTACAAGAAATTATCTTGCGTTGTGTGCCATACGAAAACGAGACATTGGAACCACATGGTAGGCTTTGGTCAATACTTCAAGTAGAATAATATATCTGAAGAGGAAGCGAACTAAGCAATTAACCTTTATTACGTCCAGTTCATTGTTTGAAAGGTTTGAACACCAATTAAAAATTTTGTTGCAAAATTAGATATTATTTTATTGTAGAAATTGTACAGAGGGTACGTTTGATAGAATCACCCCCTTTTAGACCTAAAGTTCCAGTCAATGCAGCTGATCGGAAAATAGTGGAATTAATGAGAATGTGCTGGGAAGAAATTCCAATGTTTCGCCCAAATTTTACAACAATTTTATCCGTTTTAAAACAGACAAATAACGGAAGGTTAGTTATAGTTTAAATCGTTTAAATAAACGTAGAGGTTAATTATTTCCAAATCTTAGGGGAAAAAACGATCTTTTCAATTTTATTTGAAGAAAAACCAATTTAGTAGACCAAATGATGCATATGATGGAGAAGTATGCCGATCATTTAGAAGACTTGGTTGGAGAACGCACGCGCCAGTTAGAAGAAGAACAAAAAAAGACAGATGAGCTCCTGCATCGTATGCTTCCATCGTAGGAATATGTTTATGTTTCTGCCTTTATTTGGAATCAGAATAAAATACATCTATAGATATATTACATTTAATACCTCGTCAAGTAATCCTAAGGCAAGGAACAATAATATTATTTTTATAAAGTGCTCTTTATTGATACTTTCTCAAAGAAATTGCACATTTTGATTACAGAAGTATAGCTCATGATTTAAAATACGGAAAACCGATCCACCCGGAAAGTGTTGAGTGTGTCTCTATCTTCTTTAGTGATATAGTACAGTTTACGAAACTGGCATCAGAGAGTACTGCAATAGAGGTACCTGCTTGTTTAGTATTTTCAATAAAAAAAAAATATTAGACCTGTCTGTTTTGAAATTTTGGCATAAGAATTGGTACATTTGCATTATTCTGAGTTCATACATTTTGTGATTAACAGAAAGCGTTCACCTTCCTTTTAGATTGTGAATTTCTTAAACGACTTATACACCTGTTTTGACACCATAATTGAACACTTTGATGTATACAAGGTACGATATTATAAATTCATTCGAGGAACCCTTTTTGAAATGCTGTATTTTAAAAAGTTGCTGATCCGGGAACTTCATTTTCAATTAAGGTAGAAACCATTGGTGACGCGTATATGGTGGTAAGTGGACTTCCGGTTAAGAATGGCTTACGTCATGCCAGTGAGATAGCCACTATGGCCCTTAACCTTCTGAGTTGTGTGACAACGTTTGAGATACGCCATCGTCCAGGAAGACAACTACAGCTAAGGATAGGGATCCACAGTGGTAAGGACATAAAGTGATTCATTAAGCAAGTCTGCTAGAGCTAGGGGATAGGATGACAGATAGATAGTGGTAACTGATAGCGGTAAGGATAAAGACACATATTAACATGACAAGGATACTAGTAAAGGAACAAGGGTATAGGATAGCTGGTGACAGATAAGTAGTTATAATGAAAGGAATACATATATACTTGCAGTGGTAAGAATAAAGAAAGACATTAGCATAACAAATATACAGGTAAAAAGGGATTAGATATGGACAAATAGTGTAAATGACAGGGAAACAGCGTTAAAGACATAGAGACACATTTACAGGGCAGGGATAATGGATATAGGCGAAATGATACTGGCAAATAGTGGTACATACAGGGTTAAAGACACACAGATAGGGATTCACATCGGTAATTGATACATACTGGTGTCAATCACGATAAATGGTAAAGATTGGGCTTATTTGGGATAGAGTAAGGATAGATAGCTGCGAAAACAGGACTAAGAACACACGGCGATATGAACATAGAAACACATTGATATGATGCATTATAAAAATTGAGATAAGTTCTTATTCATAAGTACCATACAGCCTTTACAAATGTACCAAGTAACGCCATCTAGTACGTATATGTATAGTAAAGCACTTCCCCTTTTTAAACATTTTGATTACAACACAGACTTAAAATATAACACCTATCTTTACTAGGCCCGGTGTGTGCAGGAGTGGTAGGTCTTAAGATGCCGAGGTATTGTTTGTTTGGGGACACAGTAAACCATGCCGCAAGGATGGAGTCCTCCGGGTTAGGTGAGATTTATCAGTAGCACTAAATGTAAACATGTACTTACATTTACAAATCCAGACATACTTACCATTTCTCGAAGACTTCAATATCACATGCCTTAATCATTAACCGTATGATATATGACAGTCCTCAACTCATGGTTAATATGTAGATTTAAAAATATAGTTTGTTGTTTTATTTAATTGTTCAGCTCTTCGTATCCATGTAAGTCAACCGTGTCGGAATATTTTGGAGAAACTTGGAGGATTTCATCTAACTTACCGTGGTGAAATAACAATGAAGGTTTCGTATGTCTCCTTGAACTTTCTCAATCTGTAAAGGAAAAAATGAATTACTTACAATGTAGATCAGAAAAGTGTAATCTTACAATCTGATGAAAAACTTTTTTTTATTCTAGGGCATTGGAACAGTGCCAACTTATTTCCTGACAGGAAAGGACGGCTTTACAAAACAACTACCTTCTTTAGATTTAGCGGCCTCCTTAGAAGACCATGAATTCAAATAACCAACAAAGATATGCCAAACCTTAGATAAAAATAGGAGACAACGAATATGACCATGCCAAAATTAAAAAAATAAAATTAATCATATTTTTTAGATTAATGTCAAACTTGTAACATTCAGGAATCCTGTTTTGTAAACGTGTGAAGACTCGGTGACGTTTTACTTGGGTGAGATATTTGGAGACAGAAGTGTTTTTCCAAGTAACTCTTAATATCATAGCGCTACTTAAGTTGCCATATATACCGGTATTGTTCTATATGGGTTCAAATGAAAATACCACTTGAATGATTAATATTTCTTTAAAAATTCTTATTTGTAGATTACTTAAAAAATATTTCAATAAATTTTGATTGTTTTTGTTTTAATTGTTGCTTTCTTTCCTTGATGATAGATGAATGTATTTTGCCATCTATTTTCTTTATGTTTTTCTCAAAATTGATCGAGTTGTTTACGGGTTTGAACACTGCTGTTAATTCTTTTAAATTTTAAGTATGATTTCTGTGTAGGTAAAGAGTTTTGAATATTGAACAAGGTAGTTTTACTAGCGTTCCACTCAATAGAAACTGGATATTACAAAGTAGCAATGAAATCGAAGAACCAGGTTTGTCAGATGAGATTTTTTTATGAATTCCAGATCAAAAATCAGCAGGGAGGGCATATATTTATTGGGCTTTATGTCATGTCTTCGTATAGCCTCTGTCTACAATTTCTACAGTAGACAACAAGAAGTGATTGTAGCTTACTAAATGGGGTTTGGGGGTTGTTAATGAATAAATGTACATTACTGATAGAGTGAAATACAAATACAATGACTTATGTCATGGAAATACTAAAGAGTTCATAATGATACCTCTTATCAAAGCGTGGCTCCGATCCAACATAGCTGGAACAAGATCAAAAGGATATGAGATGTAAAATGTATTTCGGCCCAATGTTTAATTTAGAAGCTAGCAGATTCAAGGTTATTTTAGGAAGGTAAAAATCTGGTAGATTACATGCACAGTTTTTACTATTTTGCTCATAATTTCATATAAGATCTCATTTTGGTCATAAAGTTGATGCCAGGAATAAAAGGCACACACTGATGTAAAAAATAATCTAATTTTATGATACTTTTTAAAAGTAAGATAAAAATATTGGAAAACTATGAAAATTCTACGATATAGTAATCAATTATGTACGAGGGCTGTTCAATAAATAATGTCCTGAACTGTATGACATACAATACAGATTTCACATGACATTAAGTTTGACTTTTTCGCATTATTGAATCTTTAATGAATTTATAAGAGTTTATGTGAATACTTTGCATCACATAGTTTCATTGTGAGAAGCTGGAAAACAAGGGCTATTCGAGACAGTCTATTAAAATGAATGGTAAAGAATCAGTAAACTAGAGTGAGATTAAAGGCTTCTATAAGCTGCTGTAAAACTCGTAAAGAATCCCAAAGAAATATTTACTGAAATATGTAACATTTACGGCAACCAATGTCTGTTTTATAGACAAATGAGCAGTGGATTTAAATGATAATAAATTATATAATGGGCATCAAAAAGGGGTACCGTCATTGCCAACAAATAATATAACAACTATTGTACTGTTTGCCAATTTTCAACAAATTCACTGATGATGTATGATTGACTTTAAGACACATAGCAAATTATATAGACATCATTTCGGGAGTAGTTAACACGGTTTTTAAGAATCGTTTGATAGTAAAAAAGCTTAGTACTCAAAGGTCACCCTATGTTTTGAAAAATGGGTGAAAACGACAACCCTTGTACGAATATCTAAACAATTATTTTAAAAAATGAAAAAATGGAGTTATCCAAGTTTGTTTGAAATTCAAACAGATAATGAAACTTGAATCTATTGCTTAAAACCCTCGAAACAAAATTTCCATTAAGATGTACTTGACAAAAACAGCAAAGGTCTGAGAAGAGCAAAGAATTGCAAGAGCACAAAGACAGATTCATATGCAATTTTCTTAAATATAAGTGGTCTTGTTGTTAAAATTCGTATTCGGGGAGGCAGCTTAATTTCTGGAAGAGTCTAGAAAGCAATTTTTTGCCAAAAAAAAAATCAAAAGGTTAATGAGGGGAAGGAACCAGAATCAGGAATCCACTACATTATATTTCTTCATGACAGCGTCCAAACCCGCACGCCATGAAGAGTAAAGGATTTTTTGGGATAAACAGACAGTGAATATTTTTCACACTAACAAAATTGGCCAGATCTTTCGCCCTTTGACTTGTTTCATTTTCCAAACTTGAAAAAAAAAACCTTTCAGAACGAAGAAACTAGTCCAGGAAATAATAGGATCTGCCATTTTCCAGTATACTATGGGTCATACCTAAAAATGAGTTCTAAAAACAATCAGAAGTTATCAAGTTAAATCATTAAGTCTAAGTCATTGAAAAGCGTCTTTTGCATCTTTCTGAGCACCGGGGACATTATTTATTGAACAGCCCTCGTATGTTCAGGAACTAAGAAAATAGGATCTCGTGTTTTACACAAACTCCTCCGTGAAAATGTATTTTTAATGAACGCTTCTATAATACAGTAAATAGATTGGAAAACCGCTGGTTTAATAGATCTCATAATTACTGCCTGGTGTTTTCATATTTTAGTAGAAGTATTTTGCTCATTCCCTTCCTTTCGGATGATGTTTCTCCATTATTTGTTTTGAGAAAACTTTCTAAGGCGGAAGTCACAGCATGCAAAATCTGTAAAAAGTATTTTAGTATTCGTCTATCGATCTGAGAGTTTGCTGAATAAAAAAAAGTAAAATAATTTCACAGACATTGTTGTTTTTTGCCATTACGAGGGTTGTTCGAAAAGTTCGTGGACTCCTGTAATATCTTTTGTATTTAAGGTCACATGCTAACCAATTTTTGTAGAAATATTTTAACAATAAATCCAAATGATTTGTATTAAAAAAAATTTGTTTGAAGTTAAAGATACAGTTATTAAATCTTGAAATTTCCATGGATTCCGAGGAGTGGAAATGAGGGGATTGCATGGATAAGTGATTAAGCTGGTCGTCAAGGGGGTGTGTCCCCATACCAAACCAGATTTAGAAAAATGTTTTGCGTTCCTTTTTGGAAATCAACCAATGAGAGGCGAGAATATAAACAAAATTAAATTATATCAAGATAAATTTCAAACCTATCCAGAATTTAAAACTGCAAAAATCGGACCGCGGAGCAGGTCAAAATTTAGTAATTCTCACAAACAACACACGCAATGAATGTGGCAATGTCTGTAGTCATATTCACTGTGAAAAGGAGCAAAAACGTAAAAAAAAATCTTAGACTTTGAAATTAAGATCTATTACATTGATTCACATTCCATATTATGGCTAAATATTTTGATTCATTAAAAAGAAATCAATTTTGAAAGATAGGTAGTCCTCATTGAAAGCGGCAAAAATTATTACGTTGTTGAACGTTACAGAGCAGCAGATAACGATGCAAATTTGTGTTATACTCGGGAAAAATCCTTAATTATTTACAAAATGTTACAGGAATATAAATTATATCACAATTAAGTCGTGCATGTGTTTATAAATTGTACAGGTGGTATTTGAGTGACAGAGACCCTGTATCGGACGAGGACAATCTGTGGAGAAACAGTTTATCTGATAAAATCTTTTCAAAAACTATCAAAAATTGGGACGTTATGGAAAGACATAACGCTTCCGAGTTGCTGATCTTGTAAAAGCACCGCTAAGTTGTAAAAGAAATTAAGACATTGACAAAGGAAATTATACAACGAATACAATTGTTAGAAAAATGAATTTCAAATGCTAGAAAAGGATTTTTAATCAGTGATTATTGAAGTAAACTGTAGAAATGTATACGGATAGTACCTTTGAGAAATTCTTGACGCTATGTTTTTGACGTTACATTGCCGTTAAGTATGCTCCGCGGGTACAAAACATGTTGAATTTAAATTGAAGTAAATAAATTTCTATTAAATCGAATGAAATGAAACTTCACACATCAACAAAACAAATATTTTTACACAGGATATTTAGCTTATTTTAAATTTTTTGAAAGTATTGTAACGAAGATTGACATCGTCCACGAACTTTTCGAACAACCCTCGTATTTTTTCTTGATGCAAATTGAATATGAATCATATACTGTTTTTTAATAGGAAAAATGTCATATAACAAGTGAAACCTTCCGCAAAAATAGGTTTTCCGGGAAAGTAAACAACATATTTTATATAGAATTAAACTTAATTAAGCTCCCTTTCATATTGATTACTCTGTAACATACGACACCCCTTTCTATCATTACTTTACTAACGTTTAGACAGTAAGTAACCCTCATGTATTGTAAAAACCCCTCCTTCAATACTTTACTAGAAGCCAATGTTATTTATTCATAATTTAGAAGAAATTACAGGTATCTCTTGCTGGCTCGAACTTCGATCATTATATATTTTAATAATAATTATGAATTTTGATTGCTGATATGAGTCAAAATAAATACCTATGAATGTAAAGATTCTGAATCAACCAATTTAAGTTAATGGAATTTTTTATTTTAGCACAGGGTATAGAATCATCGACATTCTCTCTTCTTTTTTTTTTTAAAAAAAGTGATCGTCCCTGGAAGACACCGACCAATGATCTCCCTGGCAGGTTTTTCACCTGTCAGTACCAGAATTCTGGTCACGGCACTAAATGTTACGGGGAGTAGAAAATGCCATAGGAGGGTATAAATTAGTAATCGGTATGTCCGTCCGTCCGTCTGTCTGTTATGCTTTGGGGTACCCATCTCTTATCCGCAACTCCTCTCTTACCACTGATTGAAATTTAATGAAAATCTCACAGAATATTTATTACATATTGCCATTGTGCACCTCTATTTTACTTTTTGATCCGACACATATTTTGGGTTTCCCATAGCAAAACATGGACACTGCCATTTTATACATATGGAAGGTGGGGGTATCATTATCTGGGTACCGACCATTTTCCAGTACAGAAATAACTATTTCTGGATAAAATGCAGTCTTTTCGACTTTAAAGGATATCGTTGTTATTCTTGTTTCATCATCTACTTTTTCAATAACTTACATCGTTTTAGAAATTGTTCATACGTAGAGCATCCACTTCTGTATCGAATCAACTGAGAGATATAAAACCTAAGTGAAACAAACGATATGCGTTCTTGATCTTTAACTCATCAAGATGTACTCACATAAAATAAATAGCTCGATATCTGTGCACAATCATGTTGAGTGAAAGTGCGAAAAACCAAATAGGACAGATTGTGAGACAGACAGACAGAGAGACAGCTAG